TACCTGAAGCTTCGTGCGGAGCGACAGACCAGGTAGCTTCCACACAGCGTTACGCAACCGATGAAAAGATATTGCCGCTCGACTGATTCGGAGCGAGACCTCTGCTTGCTGTTAAACCGGAGCCGGTCATGAGCACACTGCCCAGGTATGGGAAACTCTCCACTCTCTCCACCCCATCACCAATTGGGAGTTGTGGGAGTAGAGTGTCCTATGGTACACAATACCCAGGCACACACACACACAGACTCACACTCACACACAGACTCACACACATAGACTCACAAACATAGACTCACACTCACACACATGACTCACGCACAGACTCACACACAGACTCACACACACACACATAGACTCTCACACACACATAGACTCACACTCACACATAGACTCAGACTCACACACATAGACTCACACACATAGACTCACACACACACATAGACTCACACTCACACATAGACTCACACACACACACATAGACTCTCACACACACATAGACTCACACACACACATAGACTCACACTCACACATAGACTCAGACTCACACACATAGACTCACACACACACACATAGACTCACACACACACACATAGACTCTCACACACACATAGACTCACACACACACATAGACTCACACTCACACATAGACTCAGACTCACACACATAGACTCACACACATAGACTCACACACACACATAGACTCACACTCACACACAGACTCACACACACACACATAGACTCTCACACACACATAGACTCACACACACACATAGAATCACACTCACACATAGACTCAGACTCACACACATAGACTCACACACACACACATAGACTCTCACACACACATAGACTCACACACACACATAGACTCACACTCACACATAGACTCAGACTCACACACATAGACTCACACACACATAGACTCTCACACACACATAGACTCACACACACACACATAGACTCTCACACACACATAGACTCACACACACACATAGACTCACACTCACACATAGACTCAGACTCACACACATAGACTCACACACACAGACTCACACACACACACATAGACTCTCACACACACATAGACTCACACACACACATAGACTCACACTCACACATAGACTCAGACTCACACACATAGACTCACACACATAGACTCACACACACACATAGACTCACACTCACACACAGACTCACACACACACACATAGACTCTCACACACACATAGACTCACACACACACATAGACTCACACTCACACATAGACTCACACACACACACACAGACTCACAACACTCACCCGTGTACTCACCCTTTACACTCACCAATGCAGCCGTCACTATATCTCTATACACGTGAACTTCAAATTGGATTGTTGTCTCTTTTTATTTTTATTTAAATCAAAAACACGCAACGATATCGACTCCGTGGGCAGCCGTGTTCACTTGGGAACGCTGCGAGTGAGGGCGTCCCACACATTGAGAGGCATGGACAGCAAATAGAGACAACCAGACCCAGGGCTCGAACCCAGGCTCTCAGTGTCTCTGACACGGCCATTGTGAACCCACAGAGAGAGACACCCAGACCCAGGGCTCGAACCCAGGGTCTCAGTGTCTCTGACACGGCCATTGTGAACCCACTGAGAGAGAGACACCCAGACCCAGGGCTCGAACCCAGGGTCTCAGTGTCTCTGACACGGCCATTGTGAACCCACTGAGAGAGAGACACCCAGACCCAGGGCTCGAACCCAGGGTCTCAGTGTCTCTGACACGGCCATTGTGAACCCACTGAGAGAGAGACACCCAGACCCAGGGCTCGAACCCAGGGTCTCAGTGTCTCTGACACGGCCATTGTGAACCCACAGAGAGAGACACCCAGACCCAGGGCTCGAACCCAGGCTCTCAGTGTCTCTGACACGGCCATTGTGAACCCACTGAGAGAGAGACACCCAGACCCAGGGCTCGAACCCAGGCTCTCAGTGTCTCTGACACGGGCTAGGGATTGAACCCAGCGGTGACGGCGTTGGGGGCCGACTCATGTCCCGTGGCTGCTGCTGATGCTACTGCTGCTGATGCTGCTGCTGCCTGCTGCTGGTCACGTTGGGAAGCCTCCAGTAGACAAGGCACAGCTGCAGGAACACGGAGCCGACAACAGGGGGCAGAATGTCACGTCAAAGTCATTAATCGGCAAATATTTCCAACGTAATGACTCGTTACGAGGGGAAAGTGGAGTGGAACGCTGTTCAGGATTTGGGGTCGTGAAATTATTTTTGGCGTGATGCCTTGCTGGGAATTCATTCATTTCGTTCATTGATTTTTTTTCACACATCTCGTTCATTATTTAATTCACTTCGTTCATTCTTTCGCTGATTTCGTTCATTTTTTCATTCTGTTCGCTCATTCGGTTCATTCTTTCACTCATCTCGTTAATCATTTCATTCATTAAATCCTTTATTAAATCCTTTATATTAAGTTCACTTGCTTGCTTGCTTGCGCGCTTACGACCGTGCAAATCTTTCGGTCGTTTTTTAACCCACTTCCCGTGATCCAACCGGGCTGACATTTTGCACACAGACTCGTTGTGTGTGACAATTGATTTTCGTGAAAAAATTTTTCCAAAAATTGACACTGTTTAGGAATTTTTTTTATATTTAATTACCAATTGCTTAATGGTGGCAGGCAATCATCTGACCCATAGGTGGCAGCCATCTCAAGCCAGAGGACGAAAGGACTCTAGCCGCCACGCATATAAAGGATTTATAGTGAAGAACTTTGTTTTTACGGGTTAATTTTTTTTGTTCAAATCATTTAATTCATTATTTCGTAAAAAAATATTCATTCCCTTTGTTGGTTCTTTCATTAATTTAGTCCATTCTTTCACACGCATAGCTCATGACTTAAGAAATCTCGTTCATTATTTAATTAATTTCGCTCGCGCTTTCGTTCATCCTCTTCGTTCATTCTTCAAATAGGCTCGTTCATTATTTCGTTCATTCTTTCACACACCTCGTTCATTACTTAACTAATTTCGTTCGGTCTTTCATTTAAATGAGTTCAATTTCGTTCATCCTCTCCGTTCATTCTTCCATCCATTTCGTTCATTCTTCCAATCCGTCTCGTTCATTCGTTCAATTTATGTTGTTCATCCGTCCACACATCCGTTCGTTCGCTCGTCGTGCCGAGTCGGCACGGGGTCGTAGCGTCAAGCGCCGTCACCGCGCTGGCAAGGAGCGATGCCGCCGCCGCCGCTGCCGCTGAGAGCGTCTCTCCAGTCGGTTGTTTCATCCACGCGGTGACGGCTCAAACAAGCGGCTCGTCATCGTCGTCGTCGTCATCATCGTCGTCGTCGTCGTCGTCATCGTCGTCGTCGTCGTCGTCGTCATCATCGTCGTCGTCGTCGTCGTCATCATCGTCGTCGTCGTCGTCATCATCGTCATCATCGTCGTTATCGTCATCGTCGTCGTCGTCATCGTCGTCGTCATCATCGTCGAGGTGGTCAACATCTCCTGGCCACCGCGGGGTCCAGGTGGGTCGTGGTGGGGGGGGGCAGGTGGGTTGTGGTGGGGGTGGGTGGGGGGGCCTCACCTGCGCAGGCTGCCGGCTCGCCGCTCCACGCGCCGCCTGCGCCGCACTCCCGGAGCGGCGACCCGCGCAGCACGAAGCCCACGTGGCACCCCGACACGCACAGCCTGGCGCCACCACCACCACCAGTGCCACCACCAGTGCCACCACCACCGCCACCACCATCGCCACCACCACCACCAGTGCCACCGCCACCACCACCACCAGTGCCACCACCACCACCACCAGTGCCACCACCGCCACCACCACCACCACCACCGCCACCACCACCACCAGTGCCACCACCACCACCGCCACCACCACCGCAGCATCGCACGTGGCCATGCTCAGGCGCGGGCAGCACGGGGCAGGGGCGAGACGTGGGGGGCGGGGCAGCTGTAGCAGCTGTGTCAGGGGCAGCTGTGCCAGGGGCAGCTGTGTCAGGGGCAGCTGTGTCAGGGGCAGCTGTGTCAGGGGCAGCTGTAGCAGCAGCTGTGTCAGGGGCAGCTGTGTCAGGGGCAGCTGTGTCAGGGGCAGCTGTAGCAGCAGCTGTAGGGGCAGCTGTGTCAGGGGCAGCTGTGTCAGGGGCAGCTGTGTCAGGGGCAGCTGTGTCAGGGGCAGCTGTGTCAGGGGCGGCTGTAGCAGCTGTGTCAGGAGGGGCTGTGTATGAACAGTAGGTAGCAGCAGCAGTAGCAGCAGCAGCAGAAACAGAAGTCACAGTAGTGGCAGCAGAGGTAGCAGCAGCAGTAGCAGCAAGAGTAGTCACAGTAGCAGTAGCAGCAGCAGAAGTAGCAGTAATCGCGGCAGTAGCGCTAATAGCAGCAGTAGTAGCAGCAGTAGTAGTAGTAGCAGCAGTAGTAGCAGTATGAGTAGCAGCAGTAGTAGCAGCAATAGAAGTAGCAGCAATAAAATTAGCAGCAGTGGCAGCAGTAGTAGTAATCACGGCAGTAGCTTTCATAGTAGCTGTAGTAGCAGCAGCAGAAGTAGCAGCAGTTGTAGCAGTAGAAGTAGTAGCAGCAGTAGTAGCAGTAGAAGCAACAGCAGAAGCAGTAGGAGTAATCACAGTAGTAGCAGCAGCAGTAGTAGCAGCAGCAGAAGCAGCAGTAGTAGCAGTAGTAGCAGTAGCAGCAGCAGTAGCAGCAGTAGTAGCAGTAGTAGCAGCAGTAGTAGCAGCAGTAGCAGAAGTAGCAGCAGGATAAGTAGCAGTAGTAGCTGGGATAGCAGCAGCAGCATTATCACAAACACAGTCATTTTCATAACTATCACGATCATCATCATCAACGTGGGCACAGCATTCATCACCAGCCATGGCCTATCCACTGCTGGATGAAGGCCTCCCCACAGTGTAGCCTTGTTAACCCCACCACTCACTACCCTGCACACCGATGGACATTCCACATTGATATGCCTGGGGCTGAGTCCATCCATAGGACAAACACCACCGTTGATCCTCCACCCCCCCCCCCCCTTCCACAACCCACTCACAAAGGGGTGCTTATTTTATCCATCCTCGGAGAGAGGGAGCGATGATTGCCTCCACGTCAACCTCACAGCATTCATTCCCTGGCCCAGCCAATGGGAGGCAGAGTGGCGTTGTGTCTATAGGACCTGGTCCAGCCAATGGGAGACAGAGTGGCGTTGTGTCTATAGGACCTGGTCCAGCCAATGGGAGACAGAGTGGCGTTGTGTCTATAGGACCTGGCCCAGCCAATGGGAGACAGAGTAGCGTTGTGTCTATAGGACCTGGTCCAGCCAATGGGAGACAGAGTGGTGTTGTGTCTATAGGACCTGGCCCAGCCAATGGGTGACAGAGTGGTGTTGTGTCTATAGGACCTGGCCCAGCCAATGGGAGACAGAGTGGCGTTGTGTCTATAGGACCTGGCCCAGCCAATGGGAGACAGAGTAGCGTTGTGTCTATAGGACCTGGCCCAGCCAATGGGAGGCAGAGTGGCGTTGTGTCTATAGGACCTGGCCCAGCCAATGGGAGACAGAGTGGTGTTGTGTCTATAGGACCTGGCCCAGCCAATGGGTGACAGAGTGGTGTTGTGTCTATAGGACCTGGCCCAGCCAATGGGAGACAGAGTGGCGTTGTGTCTATAGGACCTGGCCCAGCCAATGGGAGACAGAGTGGCGTTGTGTCTATAGGACCTGGCCCAGCCAATGGGAGACAGAGTAGCGTTGTGTCTATAGGACCTGGCCCAGCCAATGGGAGGCAGAGTGGCGTTGTGTCTATAGGACCTGGCCCAGCCAATGGGAGACAGAGTAGCGTTGTGTCTATAGGACCTGGCCCAGCCAATGGGAGACAGAGTGGCGTTGTGTCTTGTCTATAGGACCTGGCCCAGCCAATGGGAGACAGAGTGGCGTTGTGTCTATAGGACCTGGCCCAGCCAATGGGAGACAGAGTGGCGTTGTGTCTGTAGGACCTGGCCCAGCCAATGGGAGACAGAGTGGCGTTGTGTCTATAGGACCTGGCCCAGCCAATGGGAGACAGAGTAGCGTTGTGTCTATAGGACCTGGCCCAGCCAATGGGAGACAGAGTGGCGTTGTGTCTATAGGATCTGGCCCAGCCAATAGAGATTCATAGAGATCCATAGAGGCCAATGAAGACTTGTAGAGACCTAATAGAGACTCATTGAGACCCGGATACTCATAGAGAATCATCGATACTCATAGATACCCAGAGAGACTGAGGAACCCATAGGAACTCCCCCATGGAGACTGAGAGAGACTCATAGACACCTATAAAGACTCACCCATAGAGACCCAGAGAGACTCATAGACACCCATAGAGACTCACCCATAGAGACCCAGAGAGACTCATAGACACCTATAGAGACTCACCCATAGAGACCCAGAGAGACTCATAGACACCCATAGAGACTCACCCATAGAGATCCAGAGAGACTCATAGACACCCATAGAGACTCCTCCATATATACCCACGTGCAAAATGAACACAGGATCATGATTAGCATTACGATATTATTATCCTTTGTTATTATTATTATTAAAAATAATAAACCACGTGGCACTTACATGAGGGGGCAGCACTAGTCCAAGGTGCGGCCATTTTCTCGCAGGCCTCTCCATCGTAGCCCTCCCAGCATGCACAGCGGCGGCCCTGGAAGACCTCCACGCAGTCGCCCTGCCCGGAGCACGCCCCGGGCTCGCAGGAGTCTGCGGACCATTGAGGACATCGTGGAGATTGTGGACATCGTGGAGATTGTGGAGATTGTGGAGATTGTGGAGATTGTGAAGATTGTGGAGATTGTGGAGATTGTGGAGATTGTGGAGATTGAGGAGATTGTGGAGATTGTGGAGATTGTGGACATCGTGGAGATTGTGAAGATTGTGGAGATTGTGGAGATTGTGGAGATTGAGGAGATTGTGGAGATTGTGGAGATTGTGAAGATTGTGGACATTGTGGAGATTGTGAAGATTGTGGAGATTGTGGAGATTGTGGAGATTGTGAAGATTGTGGAGATTGAGGAGATTGTGGAGATTGTGAAGATTGTGGAGATTGTGGAGATTGTGAAGATTGTGGACATTGTGGAGATTGTGGAGATTGTGAAGATTGTGGAGATTGAGGAGATTGTGGAGATTGTGAAGATTGTGGAGATTGTGGAGATTGTGAAGATTGTGGACATTGTGGAGATTGTGGAGATTGTGAAGATTGTGGAGATTGAGGAGATTGTGGAGATTGTGAAGATTGTGGAGATTGTGGAGATTGTGAAGATTGTGGACATTGTGGAGATTGTGGAGATTGTGAAGATTGTGGAGATTGAGGAGATTGTGGAGATTGTGAAGATTGTGGAGATTGTGGAGATTGTGAAGATTGTGGACATTGTGGAGATTGTGAAGATTGTGGAGATTGTGAAGATTGTGGAGATTGAGGAGATTGAGGAGATTGTGGAGATTGTGAAGATTGTGGAGATTGTGGAGATTGTGGAGATTGTGGAGATTGTGGAGATTGTGGAGATTGTGGAGATTGTGGAGATTGTGAAGATTGTGAAGATTGTGGAGATTGTGGAGATTGTGGAGATTGTGAAGATTGAGGAGATTGTGAAGATTGTGAAGATTGTGGAGATTGTGGAGATTGTGGAGATTGTGGAGATTGTGGAGATTGTGGAGATTGTGGAGATTGTGAAGATTGTGAAGATTGTGGAGATTGTGGAGATTGTGGAGATTGTGGAGATTGAGGAGATTGTGAAGATTGTGAAGATTGTGGAGATTGTGGAGATTGTGGAGATTGTGGAGATTGTGGAGATTGTGGAGATTGTGGAGATTGTGGAGATTGTGAAGATTGTGAAGATTGTGGAGATTGTGGAGATTGTGGAGATTGTGAAGATTGAGGAGATTGTGAAGATTGTGAAGATTGTGGAGATTGTGGAGATTGTGGAGATTGTGGAGATTGTGGAGATTGTGGAGATTGTGGAGATTGTGGAGATTGTGAAGATTGTGAAGATTGAGAAGATTGTGAAGATTGTGGAGATTGTGGAGATTGTGGAGATTGTGGAGATTGTGGAGATTGTGGAGATTGTGGAGATTGTGGAGATTGTGGAGATTGTGAAGATTGAGGAGATTGTGAAGATTGTGAAGATTGTGGAGATTGTGGAGATTGTGGAGATTGTGGAGATTGTGGAGATTGTGGAGATTGTGGAGATTGTGAAGATTGTGAAGATTGTGGAGATTGTGGAGATTGTGAAGATTGAGGAGATTGTGAAGATTGTGAAGATTGTGGAGATTGTGGAGATTGTGGAGATTGTGGAGATTGTGGAGATTGTGGAGATTGTGGAGATTGTGGAGATTGTGAAGATTGAGGAGATTGTGAAGATTGTGAAGATTGTGGAGATTGTGGAGATTGTGGAGATTGTGGAGATTGTGGAGATTGTGGAGATTGTGGAGATTGTGGAGATTGTGAAGATTGTGGAGATTGTGGAGATTGTGGAGATTGTGAAGATTGAGGAGATTGTGAAGATTGTGAAGATTGTGGAGATTGTGGAGATTGTGAAGATTGTGAAGATTGTGAAGATTGTGGAGATTGTGGAGATTGTGGAGATTGTGAAGATTGTGGAGATTGTGGAGATTGTGAAGATTGAGGAGATTGTGGAGATTGTGAAGATTGAGGAGATTGTGGAGATTGTGGAGATTGTGGAGATTGTGGAGATTGTGGAGATTGTGGAGATTGTGGAGATTGTGGAGATTGTGGAGATTGTGGAGATTGTGAAGATTGTGAAGATTGTGGACATTGTGGAGATTGTGAAGATTGTGGAGATTGTGGAGATTGTGAAGATTGTGAAGATTGTGGACATTGTGGAGATTGTGGAGATTGTGGACATTGTGGAGATTGTGAAGATTGTGGAGATTGTGAAGATTGTGAAGATTGTGGAGATTGTGGAGATTGTGAAGATTGTGAAGATTGTGAAGATTGTGGACATTGTGGAGATTGTGGAGATTGTGGACATTGTGGAGATTGTGAAGATTGTGGAGATTGTGAAGATTGTGAAGATTGTGGAGATTGTGAAGATTGTGAAGATTGTGGAGATTGTGGAGATTGTGGAGATTGTGGAGATTGTGAAGATTGTGAAGATTGAGGAGATTGTGAAGATTGTGGAGATTGAGGAGATTGTGGAGATTGTGGAGATTGTGGAGATTGTGGAGATTGAGGAGATTGTGAAGATTGTGAAGATTGTGAAGATTGTGGAGATTGAGGAGATTGTGGAGATTGTGAAGATTGTGAAGATTGTGAAGATTGTGAAGATTGTGGAGATTGTGGAGATTGTGAAGATTGTGAAGATTGTGAAGATTGTGAAGATTGTGAAGATTGTGGAGATTGTGAAGATTGTGAAGATTGTGGAGATTGTGGAGATTGTGGACATTGTGGAGATTGAGGAGATTGTGGAGATTGTGGAGATTGTGGAGATTGTGAAGATTGTGGACATTGTGGAGATTGTGGAGATTGTGAAGATTGAGGAGATTGTGGAGATTGTGGAGATTGTGGAGATTGTGGAGATTGTGGAGATTGAGGAGATTGTGGAGATTGTGAAGATTGAGGAGATTGTGGAGATTGTGGAGATTGTGAAGATTGAGGAGATTGTGGAGATTGTGAAGATTGTGGAGATTGTGGAGATTGTGGAGATTGTGAAGATTGAGGAGATTGTGGAGATTGTGGAGATTGTGGAGATTGTGGAGATTGTGGAGATTGTGGACATTGTGGAGATTGTGGAGATTGTGGAGATTGTGGAGATTGTGGAGATTGTGGAGATTGTGAAGATTGAGGAGATTGTGGAGATTGTGGAGATTGTGAAGATTGAGGAGATTGTGGAGATTGTGGACATTGTGGAGATTGTGGACATTGTGGAGATTGTGGAGATTGAGGAGATTGTGAAGATTGTGGAGATTGTGAAGATTGTGGACATTGTGGAGATTGTGGAGATTGAGGAGATTGTGGAGATTGTGGACATTGTGGAGATTGTGATGATTATGGAGATTGTGGAGATTGTGGACATTGTGGAGATTGTGGAGATTGTGGACATTGTGGACATTGTGATGATTATGGAGATTGTGGAAATTGTGGAGATTGTGATGATTGTGGAGATTGTGGAAATTGTGGACATTGTGGTGATTGTGGAGATTGTGGAGATTGTGATGATTGTGGAGATTGTGGAAATTGTGGACATTGTGGTGATTGTGGAGATTGTGGAGATTCTGGAGATTCTGGACACACGGCGTCAACCCACACAGTGTATTCCGTGCTCTGTACAGGGAAATTGAGTTGTCACGTCCGTGCGGCGTGCAGCTGTTTCAATATAATAATGTTTGTGTCTATTTGTTTGTGTTTCTCCCTTGTGATGGGACTTTGTAGGATGAACGTTGAGATTTATGAGGGGCACGGGGCGTGACCAGTAAGGTCTGACTTGGTCTGTAGTAAGGTCGGGCACCGATAAGGGGTTGACGGGTTGTCGCGGACCACGTGGAGGATGATGGGGCACGGGACACGGGGATTGGTTGGGATCATTTCGATTATTCGGCGTCTCGATAATTTGTCTGATGTTGTAAATTTCCACGTGACGATGACGACGATGATGGGCCATTCTGTTGAGCGCTGTCGTTTGCGTTGGCCAGGTAGCTTCTGAACAATAAGTGGATGCCTCAGTGGGCGTCGCCTGTGTAGCATGGCGATGGTTGAGTGTTGTATTCGCATGTTTTTGGTGATCTGTTTATACCTTTCTTGTACTTTGCTCTGCTATCGCGTTTGTGTAACTGTGTTGTTGTTGTAACGTTCTTACCTCGTGCCACTTAACTGGGACATCTGTGAGTAAAATAGCTCATCGGATTCCTCCTGCAGTATCAATAATGATTCTGATTCTGACTGTTGGGGCAAGTGCTGTTAGTGGCGAGTAGCAGCGCCTATGAAGGCCGGAACGGCACACGAGGGGCTGGGTTGGCCAGCACCACCCGGCCGCCTTTGTCTCCCCTGCAGCGATGTTGACACACCGCACCAGATAACTCATTTGAGGCTGAGCCGACCTAGGCGAGTCCCCCCCTGGGGACCGGTTCAAAAAGACCATCGCATGAAGACCATCGGGTTTGTCTTTTGTTTGCTGTAACGTTCTGACGCCGTGGCTTCCTGCTGGACATCTGTTACAAAGAGCTTTACAGATCATCAGATTCCTCCAGAATGAAGAACATTAATGGGATGCGTGGTCACCGTTGGTAGCGCACGTGCCGTTTCCGCGTGTGCCACCGTTAGCCACCAAGTGGCGGCGAAGCCACCACGGCGCCCGTGCCAGGCTAGGTGCACTCTGAGGCTATCGCGTGAAGTGTCGAAGGCTCGCTGCTGACAACAGGTCACGGGACAGGCCCCAGGTGGTGCCATGGGTCGACTGAGAGATGTACACCACCTGTGCCCCCCTACTGTGCCAACTCGCGGCGTTTTATCCGCCCGGCGCTCCGCTCATTGTTGTGAGCGTCGCTCCTCTGGCTTCCGTTGTTGTTGGAGGGCGGCTGCCTCCAACTTCCCAGTAGCGTCCTTCACGAGCCTTCTCCATAATAAACTACAGACTAAACTATAAGTGGCTTAAATTTCGATTTAAAGCTTTCGTGACTGCAGGGATTCATCTTCTTGGTTCTTTCGGTAAAGTCACGTAGAAGGGAAATAATAAAATAATGAAAATAAAACATAATAAAATACAATTCTCACGACGTTTAAGCCACAACGCAAGCAGCCGTCCTCAGGTGAAGAACAGCGTCTGTCGGAAAGACAGCGTCTGTGGCTTATCGCGTGGAAATGTACAGCAGCAGCCAAAAACTATGAACACGTGTTGCTAAATGTGGGGGGGGGGGGGGGGCCGGAGGACCCGGAGAAAAATCCACGCGACCGTGGGGAGAGAGAGACGCAGACTTATAAAATACACAGCAGGCGTCAGGGTCGCGTGTCGAACCCACGACCTCTTGCACACCAGGCGAGGTAGTTAACATCTCCTAGCCAACGTGATGATGATGAGAGAGAGAGAGACGCAAACTCCAAATATACAGCAGGCGTCAGGGTCGGGATCGAACCCACGACCTCCTGTATACCAGGCGAAGGTAGTCAACATCTCCTAGCCACCGTGATGATGATGAGAGAGAGAGACGCAAACTCCAAATATACAGCAGCAGGCGCCGTCAGGGTCGGGTGTCGAACCCACGAACTCACCTCTGAAGCAAAGAGCCCTCTTCCTCTTGCGACAAGATTCATCGTTCCAACGCCCGTGTGCCGGATCTTCTACACCACCATCACCTCCACCATCTGGTACATCAACATCACCATCACCTCCACCATCTGGTACATCATCATCACCTCCACCATTTGGTACATCAACATCATCATCATCACCTCCACCTGATACATCATCATCATCACCATCATCATCTGGTTCATCATCATCATCACCTCCACCATCTGATACATCAACATCACCATAACATCCAACATCTGGTACATCATCACCTCCAACATCTCCACCATCTGGTTCATCATCATCATCACCTCCACCATCTGGTACATCCTCATCATCACCTCCACCATCTGGTACATCAACATCACCATCACCTCCAACATCTGGTACATCATCACCTCCAACATCTCAACCATCTGGTACATCATCATCAACATCACCATATCCGCCATCTCATACATCATCATCATCAACATCACCATATCCGCTATCTGGTTCATCATCATCATCACCTCCATCTCCACCATCTGATACATTATCATCATCACCTCCATCATCTGGTTAATCATCATCATCATCGTCATCACCTCCATCGCCACCATCTGGTACATCATCAGCATAACCACCACCTCCATCATCATCGTCATCACCTCCATCATCACCATCGTCGTCACGATCATCATCAGCTGCTCCTCCACCTGCCTCACCTCCCCCGCCGCTCCTGCCGGCCTTCACGTACATCTCCACGCAGTCTTCGTTGCTCTTGCGATTGTTCGGCTCCCCGGGAGCCCAGTTGAGGTACGTGGCCTCTGACGTTCCATTGAGCCACTTCCACGACCCTCCACCTCCTCCTCCTCCACCACCACCACCACCACCACCTCCATCCCTATCCACCTCTTCGCCCTCCTTCCCGTCAGGGCTCCTCCTCAGGCCGATCCAGAAGTAGCCTCGGTCCGTGGGCAGGGTGGACGCGAGGAGGCGATTGAGGGTCGAGTCGGCGACGAACGCCAGGTCCCGATGCCTTCGGCGACAGAACTTGAGGGCGTCCGACCATTGCAGGGTCAAGTTGGAGAAGTGAAAAGTCCACGGGGTCACGTAGTCTGCGAGGCGTGCAACGCAGACGACGACGACGATGGCGGCGGCGGTGGTGGCAGCGACGAGAAGGGAGAGGAAGAATCGACAAGAAGTTTCGTTTACACCATTGGAACCTCATTTTCCAGTAAAAAATATGATAATTGGTTTTTTACCCTTCTATCTGGCAACAAAACTGACACCTTTTTTTTACAAGGAGTCATGTTTACATAGACCACAATACCTGCAGTTGTAATGCAAACAAAAAACACAACTCTGATAATGGTGTGGACCAATCAACTTCAAGGACAGTGCATATCATTATCAGAGTTGTGTTCTTTGTTTGCATTCCGACTGCAGGTATTGTGGTCAATGCAAACACGACTCCTTGTAAAAAAAAAGTGTCAGTTTTGTTGCCAGATAAAAAGGGTAAAAAAACAATTATCAAAACCCCCCTATTATTATATTTGTATCTCTCTCTCGATCTCACTAAACCAGCATGAGCCTGCCGTAAACCACGTGGCTCCCGTAAACCACGTGGCTCCCACGTGACCACGCCCACCACTCTGAACCCCTCCCCCAACCCCTTCTGACTCCGCCCCCTTTTCCCGCCATGCTGCTGGGTGCAGCAGCTCCCTACTGCTCGCTCCTCCTGCCTCGTGATCAATCCACTGATGACGACGAGGACGATGATGATGACGATGATGATGACGACGATGATGATGATGATGACGATGACAACGATGATGACGATGATGATGACGACGATGATGATGATGATGACGACGATGACGACGATGATGATGATGATGATGACGATGAAGATGACGACGATGATGACGATGATGATGACGACGATGATGATGATGACGACGACGATGATGATGATGACGAAGATGACGATGATGATGACGATGACCATGAGGATGATGACGATGATGAGGATGATGATGGCACTGACAATGATGATGACAATGACGATGATGACGACGATGATGACGATGATGACGACGACGATGATGATGACGATGATGACGAGGATGACAATGATGATGATGATGATGACGACGATGATGATGACGATGATGATGACGATGACAATGATGATGATGATGATGACGACGATGACGACGACGATGATGACGATGATGATGACGATGATGATGACGATGACAATGATGATGATGATGACGACGATGATGATGACGATGATGATGACGATGATGATGACGATGATGATGACGATGATGACGACGATGATGATGACGATGATGACGACGATGACGACGACGATGATGACGATGATGATGACGATGATGACAACGATGATGACGACGACGATGATGATGATGACGATGATGATGACGAAGATGACGATGATGACGATGACAATGATGATGACGATGATGATGATGACGACGATGATGACGATGACGATGATGATGACGATGACAATGATGATGACGATGATGATGACGACGATGATGATGACGACGATGATGATGACGATGATGATGACGATAATGACGACGAAGATGACGATCATGATGACGACGATGATGACGATGATGATGACGATGATGATGATGACGATGATGACGATGATGACAATGATGATGATGACGACGATGATGACGATGATGATTACGATGGTGATGACGATGACGACGATGATGACGACGACGATGATGATGATGATGACGACGACGATGATGATGACGATTATGATGACGATGATGACGATGACAATGATGATGACGACGATGATGACGACGATGATGATGACGATGATAATGACGATAATGACGACGAAGATGACGATCATGATGACGACGATGATGATGACGATGATTAGTCTGATGATGATTATGTTTAGAGGATTATTTGGCTGACGATCAAGTTGAAAATATGACATTGGTGCTGCTGATGCTACTGCTGCTGTTGCTGATGATGCTGATGCTGCTGATGATGATGCTGATGATGCTACTGCTGTTGCTGATGATGATGCTGTTGCTGATGATGCTGATGATGCTGATGATGATGTTGATGATTATGCTGATGATGCTGATTATGCTACTGATGCGACTGCTGTTGCTGATGATGCTGATGATGCTACTGCTGTTGCTGATGATGATGCTGTTGCTGATGATGCTGATGATGATGCTGTTGCTGATGATGATGATGCTGATGATGATGATGATGTTGCTGATGATGCTGATGATGACTCACCGAGCGACATGAATGCGAGCAGAAGCATAAGCTGGAAGCTGCCCATGCTGAGAGTGGAGACCGCGAGACGACGGCGAGACACACAGAGACACAGACAGAGACACAGAGACACACAGAGACACACAGAGACACAGAGACACACACAGAGACACACAGAGACACAGACAGACACACAGAGACACACACAGAGACACACACAGAGACACACGCACAGACAGCAGGCGAGACTGGGACACGGAGACACAGACAGAGACACACGCACAGACAGAGACACGGAGACACAGGCAGAGAGACACCGACAGACACGGGAGGGAGACACGGAGGGAGAGGCAAAGTCCCTGGGGGGGGGGGGGGGTAAGGAAACTCCGCAATCCCTTTCCTGTTTGTGGACTGCAGCCCACCCAGCAAAGAAATCCGCGGAAGCCCCGAGGCGCCCCCCCTACCCCCCCCCACACGTCCCACGCGCATCTACAGAGCCCCTGGCGTTGACACGGGAGCCTTGAAGTGACGGCTCTGTGAGCCTCAGGCCGCGGTCTTCAAAGGTGGCTCAGCGTTGATTTGACACGGCCGTGTACGGACCCACAGAGAGAGAGACACCCAGACCCAGGGCTCGAACCCAGACTCTCAGTGTCTCTGACACGACCATTGTGAACCCCCTGAGAGAGAGAGACACCCAGACCCAGGGCTCGAACCCAGACTCTCGGTGTCTCTGACACGGCCATCGTGAACCCACTGAGAGAGAGAGACAACCAGACCCAGGGCTCGAACCCAGACTCTCGGTGTCTCTGACACGGCCATTGTGAACCCACTGAGAGAGAGAGACAACCAGACCCAGGGCTCGAACCCAGACTCTCGGTGTCTCTGACACGGCCATCGTGAACCCCCTGAGAGAGAGAGAGACAACCAGACCCAGGGCTCGAACCCAGGCTCTCGGTGTCTCTGACACGGCCATCGTGAACCCACAGAGAGAGAGAGACAACCAGACCCAGGGCTCGAACCCAGACTCTCGGTGTCTCTGACACGGCCATCGTGAACCCACTGAGAGAGAGAGACAACCAGACCCAGGGCTCGAACCCAGGCTCTCGGTGTCTCTGACACGGCCATCGTGAACCCCCTGAGAGAGAGAGACAACCAGACCCAGGGCTCGAACCCAGGCTCTCGGTGTCTCTGACACGGCCATCGTGAACCCACAGAGAGAGAGACACCCAGACCCAGGGCTCGAACCCAGGCTCTCGGTGTCTCTGACACGGCCATCGTGAACCCACTGAGAGAGAGACACCCTGACCCAGGGCTCGAACCCAGGGTCTCAGCGGTGCTGGTTCAAGCCCTGGGTCTGGGTGTCTCTCTCTGTGGGTTCACAATGGCCATGTCAGAGTCATTGACAGCCTGGGTTCGAGCCCTGGGTCTGGGTGTCTCTCTCAGTGGGTTCACAATGGCCGTGTCAGAGACACTGAGACCCTGGGTTCGAGCCCTGGGTCTGGGTGTTTCTCTCAGTGAGTTCACAATGGCCGTGTCAGAGACACTGAGACCCTGGGTTCGAGCCCTGGGTCTGGGTGTCTCTCTCAGTGGGTTCACAATGGCCGTGTCAGAGACACTGAGACCCTGGGTTCGAGCCCTGGGTCTGGGTGTTTCTCTCAGTGAGTTCACAATGGCCGTGTTAGAGACACTGAGACCCTGGGTTCAAGCCCTGGGTCTGGGTGTCTCTCTCAGTGGGTTCACAATGGCCGTGTCAGAGACACTGAGACCCTGGGTTCGAGCCCTGGGTCTGGGTGTTTCTCTCAGTGAGTTCACAATGGCCGTGTCAGAGACACTGAGACCCTGGGTTCGAGCCCTGGGTCTGAGTTCACCGTGCACCCGAATAAAAAACAAACTGGTGACGCCATCCCGAATCAGTCAGAATCAGAATATTTATTTATTCTGCAGGAGGAATCCGATGGGCTTTAAAGCTCTTGACTCACAGAAAGTACAATCAAGGTAAACAAATCACCCAGACACAAAATCGATACAACACTCAACCATCCCCATCCTACCAGGCCAAGACACATTCGAGATTTACAACATCATAATTTACGATTAAATACGACTCCAATAACTTAAGTCACGATGATCACAACGTAATGCCGGTCCTGACAACAGAGTGACGATTTAGCAATAGAGCAGAGTTGGTGATCTCACTCCCACTTACACCACAACTACCACCACCACCACCACAACTACCACCACCACTACCACCTACACCACAACTACCACCACCACCACCTACACCACCACCACCACTACCTACACCACCACCGCCTACACCACTACTACCACCACCTACACCACCACTACCACCACCACTACCACCTACACCACAACTACCACCACCACCTACACCATCACCACCACCTACACCACAACTACCACCACCACCTACACCACAACCACCACTACCACCTACACCACAACTACCACCACCCCCTACACCACTACTACCACCACCTACACCACAACTACCACCACCACCTACACCACAACCACCACTACCACCTACACCACAACTACCACCACCCCCACTACTACCACCACCTACACCACAACTACCACCACCACTACTACCTACACCACAACTACCACCACAACTACCACCACCACCACCTACACCACCACTACCACCACCACCTCCACCATCACCTACACCACAACTACCACCACCACTACTACCTACACCACAACTACCACCACCACCACCTACACCACCACTACCACCACCACCTACACCACAACTACCACCACCACCTACACCATCACCACCACCTACACCACAACTACCACCACCACCTACACCACAACCACCACTACCACCTACACCACAACTACCACCACCCCCACTACTACCACCACCTACACCACAACTACCACCACCACTACTACCTACACCACAACTACCACCACCACCACCTACACCACCACTACCACCACCACCTCCACCATCACCACCGCCTTTACGCATCACAGGATAAATAAATATACAATGAATTGTAATACCTTAAATATTATTCAAGTAGTTATCTGTTACAACATTACTATTTCATTATTATTACGATTTAATAACGGTTCAAGTTTTCAAATGAGGCTTCTGTATGGGACGAGGGTTCTGTATGGGACGAGGGTTCTGTATGGGACGAGGGCTCTGTATGGGACGAGGCCTCTGTATGGGACGAGGGTTCTGTATGGGACGAGGGTTCTGTATGGGACGAGGGTTCTGTATGGGACGAGGGTTCTGTATGGGACGAGGGTTCTGTATGGGACGAGGGTTCTGTATGGGACGAGGGTTCTGTATGGGACGAGGGTTCTGTATGGGACGAGGGTTCTGTATGGGACGAGGGTTCTGTATGGGACGAGGCATCTGTATGGGACGAGGCATCTGTATGGGACGAGGGTTCTGTATGGGACGAGGGTTCTATATGGGATGAGGGTTCTATATGGGATGAGGGCTCTGTATGGGACGAGGGTTCTGTATGGGACGAGGGTTCTGTATGGGACGAGGGTTCTGTATGGGACGAGGGTTCTGTATGGGACGAGGCATCTGTATGGGACGAGGGTTCTGTATGGGACGAGGGTTCTATATGGGACGAGGGTTCTATATGGGATGAGGGCTCTGTATGGGACGAGGGTTCTGTATGGGACGAGGGTTCTGTATGGGACGAGGGTTCTGTATGGGACGAGGGTTCTGTATGGGACGAGGGTTCTGTATGGGACGAGGGTTCTGTATGGGACGAGGCTTCTGTGTGGGACGAGGGTTCTGTATGGGATGAGGGTTCTGTATGGGATGAGGGTTCTGTATGGGACGAGGGTTCTGTATGGGACGAGGGTTCTGTATGGGACGAGGGTTCTGTATGGGACGAGGGTTCTGTATGGGACGAGGGTTCTGTATGGGACGAGGTCTCTGTATGGGACGAGGCCTCTGTATGGGACGAGGTCTCTGTATGGGAGTCGAACCTGCGACCCCTAAGGCTGTGAGATTCCAGGAGGGTCACGTGGGGCTCGGTCCCAGTGTGAACTCGCTACAAGTTCCAGCCGTGGTCAGACTCACGACTTCTACTGCGACGTCTCGCGGTGAGATCTGCAATGACAAACGTGGAGGGTTTCAGCAGCAGCATCAGCAACATCCTCATCAGCATCATCAGCAGCAGCAGCATCATCACCATCATCAGCAGCATCATCACCATCATCAGCAGCAGCAGCACCATCATCATCACCATCATCACCGGCAGCAGCATCATCATCAGCAGCAGCATCATCATCATCAGCAGAATCATCATCATCAGCAGCATCATCATCATTAGTACCACCACCGCCATCACCATCATCGCCACCACCACTATTACCGTCACCACCACAACTATCATCATCACCACCACCATCATCATCACCACAATCACCATCAACACCAACATCACCACCACAGCTATCATCATCACCACTATCATCATCATCATCACCACCACCACCATCAACACCACCACCACTACTATCATCATCAACACTATCACCACCACCACCACTATCATCACCACCACCACTACTATCATCATCATCACCACGACCACCGCCACCCCCCAAGCTCTCACCTCTCTGGGCTCCGCGAGTCTCCGTCTACACAAAGTCCGCAGCCTCCTGTGGTGACGACTTCCACTCCCCTCGCTCCGTGAACGTCTCGTGGTGTGGCAGGTCACTGGAAGACATCGACACCACCACTACTATCATCACCACCATCGCAACCAACAACATCACCAACAACATCACCACCACCATCGCAACCAACAACATCACCACCACCACCAACATCACCACCATCACAACCACATCACCAACAACATCACCACCAACATCACAACCAACAACATCACCAACAACATCACCACCACCACAACCAACAACATCATCACCACCACCAACATCATTACCGCCACCACCAACATCATCATCACCACCACCAACATTATTACCGCCACCACCAACAACATCACCACCACCACCAACATCACCACCACCACAACTAACAACATCATCACTACCAACATCATTACCGCCACCAACAACATCATCATTATCACCATCAACACCACCACCACCGTGAGTGGGTGAGTGAGTGGCTTAGTAATTGGGTGAGTGACTGCGCCAGTGGGATAGTCAGTGAGTGAGTGAACGAGCGACTTGGTGAGCGAGCGAGCGAGTGACAGGGTGAGCGATTGAGCGAATGGGCGAGCGAGCGAGTGACTGGGTGAGTGAGTGGATGAGTTAGTGAGTGAGCGACTGGGTGAGTGAGTGACTGGGTGAGTGAGCGAGCGAGCGACTGGGTGAGTGAGTGAGCGACTGGGTGAGTGAGTGGGTGAGTTAGTGAGTGAGCGACTGGGTGAGTGAGCGACTGGGTGAGTGAGTGACTGGGTGAGTGAGCGAGCGAGCGACTGGGTGAGTGAGTGAGCGACTGGGTGAGTGAGTGGGTGAGTTAGTGAGTGAGCGACTGGGTGAGTGAGTGACTGGGTGAGTGAGCGAGCGAGCGACTGGGTGAGTGAGTGAGCGACTGGGTGAGTGAGTGGGTGAGTGAGTGAGCGGCTGCTTCACTCATCACGTCTGGGCGAACAGAGAAACGTGCGCTGTGATTTACGGCTGAGCGGATCGAGTGTGGGTCAGCCTACCTGGTCCGACGCCTCTCCAAGTCACAGGCACCTGGGAAGAGAATCGCAGAAGAGGTTCTGAGTCATCGCGTGACAGTGCAGGACACAGAGAGAGTGCACACCACAGACAAAGGTCCCCCGTGTAGCCCTGATCCACTGTTAGGGCAAGTGCTGTTAGCGGGTAGCGTCACTGATTTATGTGACCTCACTCACACACTCACTCACCCAATCACACACCCACAGACTCACACACACTCACAGACTCACACACACTCACACTCACTCACACACTCTCTCACTCACACTCTCTCACTCACACACTCACACACTCTCTCACTCTCTCACTCTCACACTCTCTCACTCTCTCACTCACCCACTCTCTCACTCACCCACTCTCACACTCTCTCACTCACCCACTCTCACACTCTCTCACTCTCTCACTCTCACACTCTCTCACTCTCACACTCTCTCACTCTCACACTCTCTCACTCACCCACTCACACACTCACACACTCTCTCACTCTCACACTCTCTCACTCTCACACTCTCTCACTCTCACACTCTCACTCACACACTCTCTCACTCACCCACTCTCTCACTCACCCACTCTCACACTCTCTCACTCACCCACTCTCACACTCTCTCACTCACCCACTCTCACACTCTCTCACTCTCTCACTCACCCACTCTCTCACTCACCCACTCTCACACTCTCTCACTCACCCACTCTCACACTCTCACACTCTCTCACTCTCACACTCTCTCACTCTCACACTCTCTCACTCACCCACTCTCTCACTCACCCACTCTCACACTCTCTCACTCACCCACTCTCACACACTCTCACTTACACACACTCACTCACTTACACACATTCTCACACTCTCTCACTCACACACTCTCTCACTCACCCACTCTCACACTCTCTCACTCACCCACTCTCACACTCACTCACTCTCACACTCTCTCACTCACCCACTCTCACACTCTCACACTCTCTCACTCACCCACTCTCACACTCTCTCACTCACCCACTCTCTCACTCACCCACTCTCACACTCTCACACTCACCCACTCTCACACTCTCACACTCTCTCACTCACCCACTCTCACACTCTCTCACTCACCCACTCTCTCACTCACCCACTCTCACACTCTCACACTCTCTCACTCACCCACTCTCTCACTCACCCACTCTCACACTCTCTCACTCACCCACTCACCCACTCTCTCACTCACCCACTCTCACACTCTCTCACTCACCCACTCTCACACTCTCACACTCTCTCACTCTCACACTCTCTCACTCTCACACTCTCTCACTCACCCACTCACACACTCTCTCACTCTCACACTCTCTCACTCACCCACTCTCACACTCTCTCACTCTCACACTCTCTCACTCACCCACTCTCTCACTCACCCACTCTCACACTCTCACACTCTCTCACTCACCCACTCTCTCACTCACCCACTCTCACACTCTCTCACTCACCCACTCACCCACTCTCTCACTCACCCACTCTCACACTCTCTCACTCACCCACTCTCACACTCTCACACTCTCTCACTCTCACACTCACTCACTCACCCACTCTCTCACTCACCCACTCTCTCACTCACCCACTCTCACACTCTCTCACTCACCCACTCTCACACACTCTCACTTACACACACTCACTCACTTACACACATTCTCACACTCTCTCACTCACACACTCTCTCACTCACCCACTCTCACACTCTCTCACTCACCCACTCTCACACTCTCACACTCTCTCACTCACCCACTCTCACACTCTCTCACTCACCCACTCTCTCACTCACCCACTCTCACACTCTCACACTCTCTCACTCACCCACTCTCTCACTCACCCACTCTCACACTCTCTCACTCACTCGCTCACCCACTCTCTCACTCACCCACTCTCACACTCTCTCACTCACCCACTCTCACACTCTCACACTCTCTCACTCACCCACTCTCACACTCTCTCACTCACCCACTCTCTCACTCACCCACTCTCACACTCTCACACTCTCTCACTCACCCACTCTCTCACTCACCCACTCTCACACTCTCTCACTCACCCACTCACCCACTCTCTCACTCACCCACTCTCACACTCTCTCACTCACCCACTCTCACACTCTCACACTCTCTCACTCTCACACTCTCTCACTCTCACACTCTCTCACTCACCCACTCACACACTCTCTCACTCTCACACTCTCTCACTCACCCACTCTCTCACTCACCCACTCTCACACTCTCTCACTCACCCACTCTCACACTCTCACACTCTCTCACTCTCACACTCTCTCACTCTCACACTCTCTCACTCACCCACTCACACACTCTCTCACTCTCACACTCTCTCACTCACCCACTCACACACTCTCTCACTCTCACACTCTCTCACTCACCCACTCTCTCACTCACCCACTCTCACACTCTCTCACTCACCCACTCTCACACACTCTCACTTACACACACTCACTCACTTACACACATTCTCACACTCTCTCACTCACACACTCTCTCACTCTCACACTCTCTCACTCACCCACTCTCACACTCTCTCACTCTCACACTCTCTCACTCACCCACTCTCTCACTCACCCACTCTCACACTCTCTCACTCACCCACTCTCACACACTCTCACTTACACACACTCACTCACTTACACACATTCTCACACTCTCTCACTCACACACTCTCTCACTCACCCACTCTCACACTCTCTCACTCACCCACTCTCACACTCTCACACTCTCTCACTCACCCACTCTCACACTCTCTCACTCTCACACTCTCTCACTCACCCACTCTCACACTCTCTCACTCTCACACTCTCTCACTCACCCACTCTCACACTCTCTCACTCACCCACTCTCACACTCTCTCACTCTCACACTCTCTCACTCACCCACTCTCTCACTCACCCACTCTCACACTCTCTCACTCACCCACTCTCACACACTCTCACTTACACACACTCACTCACTCACACTCTCATCCCCTCACCCCCTCACCCCCCTCACCTTTCCTCCTCCTCCACAGCGCCACCGCCAGCCCCGCTGCCCCCCCCCCCCAGCGTGGCGAGCACTCACACACTCACACACACTCACCTTCTCACACTCACTCACTCACACACTCACTCACACACTCACACTCTCACACACTCTCACTCACACACACACTCACACTCACTCTCACACTCACTCACACACTCTCACACACTCTCACTCACACACACACTCACACTCACTCACACACTCACTCACACACTCTCACACTCACTCACACACTCTCACACTCACTCACTCACACACTCACACACACTCACACACACTCACTCTCACCCCCTCACCCCCCTCACCTTTCCTCCTCCTCCACAGCGCCACCGCCAGCCCCGCTGCCCCCCCCCCCAGCGTGGCGAGCACAGCGGCTGCCCCGGCAGCTGCTGCCCTCTCCCCCGCCCTCCTGCGCCCTGCAGACAACGACAAAGATCCCCCGTGTAGCCGTCACAGGATGTGTGAGCAGCAGCTGTGAAGGCTGCCGGCGCTGTGGCACACGAGGGGGGGGTGGGTGGCTACCACCACCACGCCCGGCCGCCTTTGTCTCCCCCAGTGGCGATGTTTACTGCACCACCGCTACGCCAGGTTACTCATTTGAGGCTGAGTTGATCTAGGGGAGTCCCTAGATCGACTCGGCTTCGGAGCTCGCTAACCACTGCACCACCACTCTGACATCAATCACGTGGTGGGCACGTCACGCGGTGGGTAAATCACGTGGTGGGTACGTTACACTGGGTACGTCACGTGGGTACGTCACGTGGCCACATCACGTGGGCACATCACATCACAATGGGCACGTCACGTGGGCACGTCACGTGGGCACGTCACATGGTGGGTACACTGGGCACGTCACACTGGGCACGTCACGTGGGCACGTCACGTGGGCACGTCACGTGGGCACGTCAGCTCACAGCACTGCACGAGGAGTGAGGGAGAGTACGCACCTGCCATAGACACATCCAGATCAGCTGTGGTAGGATCGGCTGCTGTAGGTTCTTCGGATGTTGTAGGTTCAGCTGTTGTAGGATCAGCTGTTGTAGGATTGACTGTTGTAGGATTGGCTGTTGTAGGTTCAGCTGTTGTAGGATCAGCTGTTGTAGGATTGACTGTTGTAGGATTGGCTGTTGTAGGTTCAGCTGTTGTAGGATCAGCTGTTGTAGGATTGACTGTTGTAGGATCAGCTGTTGTAGGTTCAGCTGTTGTAGGATCAGCTGTTGTAGGATCAGCTGTTGTAGGTTTGGCTGTTGTAGGTTCAGCTGTTGTAGGTTCAGCTGTTGTAGGATCAGCTGTTGTAGGTTCAGCTGTTGTAGGTTCAGCTGTTGTGGGATTGACTGTTGTAGGATTGACTGTTGTAGGATTGACTGTTGTAGGTTCAGGTGTTGTAGGTTCAGCTGTTGTAGGTTCGGCTGTTGTAGGTTCAGCTGTTGTAGGTTCAGCTGTTGTAGGTTTGGCTGTTGTAGGTTCAGCTGTTGTAGGTTCAGCTGTTGTAGGTTCAGCTGTTGTAGGTTCGGCTGTTGTAGGTTCAGCTGTTGTAGGTTCAGCTGTTGTAGGTTTGGCTGTTGTAGGTTCAGCTGTTGTAGGGTCAGCTGTTGTAGGTTCAGCTGTTGTGTCGGCTGGTCCTGCACGAGAGAAACAAGAACGTTAGAGACACCCAGACCTGAACTTGAACCCAGACCCCCAGTGTCTGTGACACGGCCACTGTGAACCCCCTGAGAGAGAGAGAGACACCCAGACCTGAACTTGAACCCAGACCCCCAGTGTCTGTGACACGGCCACTGTGAACCCCCTGAGAGAGAGAGAGACACCCAGACCTGAACTTGAACCCAGACCCCCAGTGTCTGTGACACGGCCACTGTGAACCCCCTGAGAGAGAGAGAGACACCCAGACCTGAACTTGAACCCAGACCCCCAGTGTCTGTGACACGGCCACTGTGAACCCCCTGAGAGAGAGAGAGACACCCAGACCTGAACTTGAACCCAGACCCCCAGTGTCTGTGACACGGCCACTGTGAACCCCCTGAGAGAGAGAGAGACACCCAGACCTGAACTTGAACCCAGACCCCCAGTGTCTGTGACACGGCCACTGTGAACCCCCTGAGAGAGAGAGAGACACCCAGACCTGAACTTGAACCCAGACCCCCAGTGTCTGTGACACGGCCACTGTGAACCCCCTGAGAGAGAGAGAGACACCCAGACCTGAACTTGAACCCAGACCCCCAGTGTCTGTGACACGGCCACTGTGAACCCCCTGAGAGAGAGAGAGACACCCAGACCTGAACTTGAACCCAGACCCCCAGTGTCTGTGACACGGCCACTGTGAACCCCCTGAGAGAGAGAGAGACACCCAGACCTGAACTTGAACCCAGACCCCCAGTGTCTGTGACACGGCCACTGTGAACCCCCTGAGAGAGAGAGAGACACCCAGACCTGAACTTGAACCCAGACCCCCAGTGTCTGTGACACGGCCACTGTGAACCCCCTGAGAGAGAGAGAGACACCCAGACCTGAACTTGAACCCAGACCCCCAGTGTCTGTGACACGGCCACTGTGAACCCCCTGAGAGAGAGAGAGAGACACCCAGACCTGAACTTGAACCCAGACCCCCAGTGTCTGTGACACGGCCACTGTGAACCCCCTGAGAGAGAGAGAGAGACACCCAGACCTGAACTTGAACCCAGACCCCCAGTGTCTGTGACACGGCCACTGTGAACCCCTTGAGAGAGAGAGAGACACCCAGACCTGAACTTGAACCCAGACCCCAGTGTCTGTGACACGGCCACTGTGAACCCCCTGAGAGAGAGAGACACCCAGACCTGAACTTGAACCCAGACCCCAGTGTCTCTGACACGGCCACTGTGAACCCCCTGAGAGAGAGAGAGAGACACCCAGACCTGAACTTGAACCCAGACCCCAGTGTCTCTCACACGGCCACTGTGAACCCCCTGAGAGAGAGAGAGACACCCAGACCTGAACTTGAACCCAGACCCCAGTGTCTCTGACACGGCCACTGTGAACCCCCTGAGAGAGAGAGAGACACCCAGAGACCTGAACTTGAACCCACCTATCACGCAGAGCGCTCGCTTCTTCTTGCCGCAGTGTTCGTCGTTCCAGCGGCCGTGCCTCGCGTGGCGCACTGCCACGTGGTCGGCCCCTTCCCTCGTCACGTGGTCGTCCCCCGTCACGTGACCGGCCCCTTCCCTCGTCACGTGGTCGTCCTCCGTCACGTGGCCGGCCCCTCCCCTCACCACGTACATCTCGACGCAGTCTTCTCTGGCGAGGTTGTTCGGTTCGGACGGGGCCCAGTTCAGGAATCCGTCGGCGGAGGAATTGTCGATCCATCTCCACTGCAGGCCGCCCACCTGCGTCGGAGGCGGGGTCAGAGGTCGCCGTCTTATTGGGGAATCCGAAGAGCCGCAAAGCTCTTGTTCGTAGTGGCAGATGGAAGCGGATGCATTCAGATTCGGATGAGATTGCATCGATGATGGTGATGATGATGATGTTCATGATGGTGGTGGTATCGATAGCGATGTTGATGATGTTGATGGTGTTGTTTTTCATGTCGATTGAGTTGTTGATGGTGATGGAGTTGTTGTTGATGGTGATGTTGATGAAAACTACATCCCATGAAAACGCACAGGCCCTTGTTGGTGGTGGTGCTGGTGGTGGTGATGGTGGTGCTGGTGATGGTGGTGCTGGTGGTGCTGGTGGTGGTAGTGGTGGTAGTGGTGGTGGTGGTAGTGGTGGTGGTAGTGGTGGTGCTGGTGGTAGTGGTGCTGGTAGTGCTGGTGCTGCTGGTGGTGCTGGTGGTAGTGGTGTTGGTAGTGCTGCTGGTGGTGCAATCCGAACCTTCCGCAGTCCGATCCAGAACTTGCCGTCGCTCTCCGCCGCCAGTGCGGACGCGAGTCTCGCGTTGACCCCGGCGCCGGTGACGACCGCCAGGTCAGCGCCGGCCTCCCGGCAGTAGTCGCGAGCCCTCCGCCAGGTCGTGGCGTGTGGGGACACGTGGAGACGCCACCCGCCTGTTGCCGTGTTCAGATTCAGTTTTCACGTATCAGGTAGAGACACAGACTCACACAGAGACCCATATAATCACACAGAGACCCACAGACTCACACAGAGACCCATAGACTCACACAGAGACCCACAGACTCACACAGAGACCCACACTCACACAGAGACCCATAGACTCACACAGAGACCCACAGATTCACAGAGACCCACAGACTCACACAGAGACCCACACTCACACAGAGACCCATAGACTCACACAGAGACGCACAGACTCACACAGAGACCCACACAGAGAGCCACAGACTCACACAGAGACCCACATAATCACACAGACTCCCACAGACTCACACAGAGACCCACAGACCCACACAGACTCACACAGAGACCCACAGGTGCCAACAGACTCGCACAGAGACGCACAAACTCACCGGCTATGACTGTGAATGTGATTGCGGAGAGCAGCAGCATCTTGCGCTGATGTCGGTATCCCGTTCGTGAATCTGCTGGCACCACGGGCAAGGGTGACACGCGGAGTGACTGCCGCACAGACACACACACATACACACACACAGACATGCACAGACACACACACAGACACGTGAAATCACGCACCTTACCCAAACGACGACTCGGATCTTCAGGTAGCGCTGTTAAACACTCGCAATTGTGACGTCTCTCTCTCTCTGTCTATCTGTGTCTCTCTGTCTCTCTCTGTGTCTCTGTGTCTCTCTCTCTGTCTCTGTGTGTTTTTGTGTCTCTGTGTCTCTCTCTCTGTGTCTCTCTGTGTCTCTGTGTCTCTGTGTGTCTCTCTGTCTCTGTGTGTCTCTGTGTCTCTCTCTCTGTCTCTGTGTGTTTCTGTGCGTCTCTGTGTCTCTCTCTGTCTCTGTGTGTCTCTGTGTGTCTCTGTGTGTCTCTCTGTGTCTCTGTGTGTCTCTGTGTGTCTCTGTGTGTCTCTGTGTCTCTCTCTGTGTCTCTGTGTGTCTCTGTGTCTCTCTCTGTCTCTGTGTGTTTCTGTGTGTCTCTGTGTCTCTCTCTGTCTCTGTGTGTCTCTGTGTGTCTCTGTGTCTCTCTCTGTGTCTCTCTCTGTCTCTGTGTGTCTCTGTGTGTCTCTGTGTCTCTCTCTGTGTCTCTGTGTCTCTGTGTGTCTCTGTGTCTCTCTCTGTCTCTGTGTGTCTCTGTGTGTCTCTGTGTCTCTCTCTGTCTCTGTGTGTCTCTGTGTGTCTCTGTGTCTCTCTCTGTCTCTGTGTGTCTCTGTGTGTCTCTGTGTGTCTCTGTCTCTCTGTGTCTCTGTGTGTCTCTGTGTCTCTCTCTGTCTCTGTGTGTCTCTGTGTCTCTCTCTGTCTCTGTGTGTCTCTGTGTGTCTCTGTGTGTCTCTGTGTGTCTCTGTGTCTCTCTCTGTGTCTCTCTCTGTCTCTGTGTGTCTCTGTGTGTCTCTGTGTGTCTCTGTGTGTCTCTGTGTCTCTCTCTGTGTCTCTCTCTGTCTCTGTGTGTCTCTGTGTGTCTCTGTGTGTCTCTGTGTCTCTCTCTGTGTCTCTGTGTGTCTCTGTGTGTCTCTGTGTGTCTCTGTGTGTCTCTGTGTCTCTCTCTGTGTCTCTGTGTGTCTCTGTGTGTCTCTGTGTGTCTCTGTGTGTCTCTGTGTGTCTCTGTGTGTCTTCTGTGTCTCTGTGTGTCTCTGTGTGTCTCTCTGTGTCTCTGTGTCTCTCTCTGTGTCTCTGTGTGTCTCTGTGTGTCTCTGTGTGTCTCTGTGTGTCTCTGTGTGTCTCTGTGTGTCTCTGTGTCTCTGTGTGTCTCTCTGTGTCTCTGTGTCTCCGTCACCCACGACTCTCTCCTTCTCCCTCCTGCTAACGTGTCCCTCTTATACCCAACGCCGGTACCTTCGAGTGAGACGCCCCTCGTGATCTCATGGAAAGAAACGCGAAGTGCGTGACCGTTTCCTCTCTGGGAGACGACACGGGCGGCAGAGAGAGACACACGGAGAGAGCGAGGAAGGTGAAAATTGAGGAAAATCTAATTTGGGGAGCCGGGAAGACCCCCCCCCCCCTTCTCCCCCGAGGAATCAATTCGCACGGAGTGTTGGAAATTCCACACCACCACCACCCTCCCTCCCTCCCTCCATGCGCTCCGCAACAAATCCCGGCGTGGTCAGAAGGGGAGGAAGCGCCTGTTAGTTTAGCTTAGAGGGTTATTGTTTAAAAAAAAAGTTAAGAAAATAAACTCCAAACTAAACATGTTTTGCATTCGACAATTCCCAGCGGACCTCGCGGGACCAGCCGTGCCGATGACCAGAGGTTGGAAATTCCCGCCACGTGATTAAGTTGTAGTTAGCAATGAGTGTTGATGATGGCCATTGATGATGATGAATTACGATGAATGACCATCACCATCATCAGGGGTCTCGTGGAAGGCGGGAAGGGAGCGTCTGGGGAGTGGCACGTGGTCTGTGAGGCGTGCAGAGCGGCGAGTCGGTGATAAACTCACTCAGCAACTCACCAACTCACCAAGTCACTCACCAACTCACTCACCAGCTCACTCACCAACTCACTCACCACTCACTCACCAACTCACTCACCAACTCACTCACCAACTCACTCACCAGCTCACTCACCAACTCACTCACCAGCTCACTCACCAACTCACTCACCAAGACACTCACCAACTCACTCACCAACCCACTCACTAGCTCACTCACCAACTCACTTACCAACTCACTCACCAACTCACTCAGCAAACTCACCCACCAACTCGCTCACCAGCTCACTCAGCAAACTCACTCACCAACTCACTCACCAGCTCACCCGCTCACCAACTCGCTCACCAACTCACTCACTCACCAACTCGCTCACCAACTCACTCACCAAACTCACCATCGATGAACTCACGTGTTGTGTGTTTATGTATGTTGATGTATGATGTGTGTTGATGTATGTTGTGTGATGTATGTTGTGTGTTGATGTATGATGTATGTTGTGTGTTTATGTATGTTGTGTGTTGATGTATGATGTGTATTCTTGGTTCTTTCGGTAAAGTCACGTAGATAGAAAATAAATAAAATACTAATAATAAATAGAAAAAAATAAAAGCAAAAAACCCACGACGTTTCGATCACAACACGAGCGGTCTTCATATAAACAAAAATATTTTCTCTCCGCCTGATGGTGGTGGTGGTGGCGGTGGTGGTGGCGGTGGTGGTGATGGTGGTGGCGATGGTGGTGGCGATGGTGGTGGCGATGGTGGTGGTTGTGGTGGTGGTTGTGGTGGTGATGGTGGTGATGGTGGCGGCGGTGGTGGTTGTGGTGGTGGCGGTGATGGTGGTGGCAGTGATGGCGGTGATGGTGGTGGCGGTGATGGCGGTGGTAGCGGTTATGGTGGTGATGGTGGTGGTGGCGGTGATGGTGGTGATGGTGGTGGTGATGGTGGTGATGGTGGTGGTGGCGGTGATGGTGGTGATGGTGGTGGTGGTGATGGCGGTGGTGGCGGTTATGGTGGTGATGGTGGTGGTGGCGGTGATGGTGGTGATGGTGGCGATGGTGGCGGTGATGGTGGTGGTGGCGGTGATGGTGGTGATGGTGGTGGTGATGGTGGTGGTGATGGTGGTGGTGGCGGTGATGGTGGTGATGGTGGTGGTGATGGTGGTGATGGTGGCGGTGATGGTGGTGATGGTGATGGCGGTGGTGGTGGTGGTGATGGTGGTGATGGTGGTGGTGGCGGTGATGGTGGTGATGGTGATGATGGTGATGGTGGTGGCGGTGATGGTGGTGATGCTGATGATGGTGATGGTGGTGGCGGTGATGGTGGTGATGGTGATGATGGTGATAGTGGTGGTGGTGGCGGTGATGGTGGTGGTGATGGTGGTGGTGATGGTGATGGTGGTGGCGGTGATGGTGGTGGTGATGGTGGTGGTGGTGGTGGTGATGGTGGTGATGGTGGTGATGGTGACGGCACTGGACGTGGCTGCCTGTAACCCGCACTGTGGAGGCGTGGGGTTGGTGAACCACACAGAGATGGGGCGTGAAACTCCCTCCACTACCCCTCGGCATTGAGGGTCGTCATGTCCCGGCTTGGAGCCAGGGAACGATGGCTCGAACCCAGGTCCCCAGTGTAGATGACTCAGTGTCTCTGACACGGCCCTTGTGAACCCCATGAGAGAGACACCCAGACCCAGGGCTCGAACCCAGGATCTCTGTGTCTCTGACACGGCCATTGTGAACCCACTGAGAGAGAGAGAGACACCCAGACCCAGGGCTCGAACCCAGGATCTCTGTGTCTCTGACACGGCCATTGTGAACCCCCTGAGAGAGAGACACTCAGACCCAGGGCTCGAACCCAGGTCCCCAGTGTCGATGACTCAGTGTCTCTGACACGGCCATTGTGAACTCACAGAGAGAGAGAGACACCCAGACCCAGGGCTCGAACCCAGGTCCCCAGTGTCGATGACTCAGAGTCTATTGCGTGGCTCATCGAGTGGAAATTCACAGCAGCAGCAGCCAAAGACTCCGAGCCGCGGGCTGCTGACGTTGATTCTAAATGTGGAGGGAAAATGCGGAGGACCCCGAGACAAAATCCACGCGACCCACAGAGAGAGAGACGCAGACTCCAAATATACAGCAGCAGGCGTCGTCAGGGTCGGGGTCGAACCCACGACCTCCTGCACACCAGGCGAGGTAGTCAACATCTCCTAGCCACCGTGATGATGATGATGAGAGAGACACGCAAACTCCAACTATACAGCAGCAGCAGGCGTCAGGGTCGGGATAGAACCCACGACCTCCTGTACACCAGGCGAGGTAGTCAACATCTGTGGCCACCGTGATGATGATGATGATGAGAGAGACACGCAGACTCCAAATATACAGCAGCTGTAGGCGTCAGGGTCAGGATGGAACCCACGACCTCCTGCACACCAGGCGAGGTAGTCAACATCTCCTAGCCACCGTGATGATGATGATGATGAAACACGCAGACTCCAAATATACAGCAGCTGTAGGCGTCAGGGTCAGGATGGAACCCACGACCTCCTGCACACCAGGCGAGGTAGTCAACATCTCCTAGCCACCGTGATGATGATGATGATGAGAGAGACACGCAAACTCCAAATATACAGCAGCTGTAGGCGTCAGGGTCAGGATGGAACCCACGACCTCCTGCACACCAGGCGAGGTAGTCAACATCTCCTAGCCACCGTGATGATGATGAGAGAGACACGCAAACTCCAAATATACAGCAGCTGTAGGCGTCAGGGTCAGGATGGAACCCACGACCTCCTGCACACCAGGCGAGGTAGTCAACATCTCCTAGCCACCGTGATGATGATGATGATGAGAGAGACACGCAGACTCCAAATATACAGCAGCTGTAGGCGTCAGGGTCAGGATGGAACCCACGACCTCCTGCACACCAGGCGAGGTAGTCAACATCTCCTAGCCACCGTGATGATGATGATGATGAGAGAGACACGCAAACTCCAAATATACAGCAGCTGTAGGCGTCAGGGTCAGGATGGAACCCACGACCTCCTGCACACCAGGCGAGGTAGTCAACATCTCATAGCCACCGTGATGATGATGATGATGAGAGAGACACGCAAACTCCAAATATACAGCAGCTGTAGGCGTCAGGGTCAGGATGGAACCCACGACCTCCTGCACACCAGGCGAGGTAGTCAACATCTCCTAGCCACCGTGATGATGATGATGATGAGAGAGACACGCAGACTCCAAATATACAGCAGCTGTAGGCGTCAGGGTCAGGATGGAACCCACGACCTCCTGCACACCAGGCGAGGTAGTCAACATCTCATAGCCACCATGGAGCCACCCGCAGCGCCGCTGCTGCTGACCCAGCGTCTCGCCTCCTCCTGCACGTGGCGCCGAGACGCGTCCGGGGCCCCTCCCCCCTCCCCCCTCTCTTCTTCTCCCCTCCCTCCTCCTCCACTCTCCCTCCCTCCTCCCCCCTCCTCCCTCTTCCCCCCCCTACCTTCCTTGTAGTAGCATCTACACGTGTAGATGCTACTACGCGTGTAGCTACTACTACACGCGTAGTAGCTACTACTACACGCGTAGTAGTAGCTACTACTACACGCGTAGTAGTAGCTACTACTACACGCGTAGTAGTAGCTACTACTACACGCGTAGTAGTAGCTACTACTACACGCGTAGTAGTAGCTACTACTACACGCGTAGTAGTAGCTACTACTACACGCGTAGTAGTAGCTACTACAACACGCGTAGTAGCTACTACTACATGTATTACACATGTAGTAGTAGCTACATATGTAGTACACATGTAGTACCCATGTAGTACACATGTAGTAGCTACGGGCCCCGCACTTTCAAGGCCCCAGCGCTAAACGCTTTCAAGCTATCAATTCCGGTTCAGTGATTCTGCACTTGCTCTATTACGCTAGTACTATACCGCCTTCGACTTTTACAAACGACCGGTGTGTTTAAAGTTAGCAATTTGTCGTACTATCTGGCTGTATAGCAAATGAAAAAATACAATTACTTTACTGGGCAAGCAAATCATTTGCGTGTTTTTAATAGTTATGTTTTTTTTTAAACGCAGGGCCTCTTTATAACAACACATACACCAGGCTCCGCACCAGCTCCATGCGGCAAACTTCACACGCAGCGAGCGGCTCCAAGTCGCCCTGTGGGACAGGCGACGAAGCCCCCAGAGCGGCGCTGGCGAACAGAATTCGCGGTCGGCTCAGGACGAGGAGCTTTGAAACCTCTCGGGGTCCCGCCGGGATTGCCTCGGGGTGAGCCGCCCGTTTCCTCGCACTGCGCATCAACAATGATCTGGCTCAGAGCATCTTCTAATAATACAAACTCCTCATGGGACCTCCCTTGCCAGGGCCACAAAATGGGAAGAGGTTTCCACTTTTTTCTGGCGACAAAACAGGAGTCGTGTTTAGATCTTGATTTGAGACCTTTTGCGACTGCAGGAATCCATTCTCTTTGGTTCTTAGGGTAAAGTCACGTGGGTAGAAAACATAAAACCAAATAAAAATATGATATATTTTAATTTTGTTACATTTTTGTACCTAAATTTTTTTTTTACATAAATAAAAAATAATTATATATCACCATATATATTTTTTTCTTTAGTTTAATTTTCTACCTACGTGACTTTACCGAAAGAACCAAGAATATCTTAACATCGCTGCTTTGTTGCCAGAAAAAAGGGGAAATCCTATTCCCAATACGAATCATCATCATCATCGTCATCATCGTGGTGGTGGTGGAGGAGCGACTCGTGGTGGTGGTGGTGGAGGAGCGACTCGTGGTGGTGGTGGAGCGACTCGTGGTGGTGGAGAAGCGACTCGTGGTGGTGGTGGTAGTGGTGGTAGTGGTGGTGGAGGAGCGACTCGTCAATAAAAACGAGCGGAGTGCCGGGAAGATGGAAACGCAGCGAGTTGGCACAGTAGGGGGCACAGGTTGTGTGCATCTAGCAGTCATCTCAGTCGACCCATGGCACCACCTGGGTCTGTCCCTTGACAACACAACATACACACACACGACACACACTACACACAACATACACACACACCACACACACACTACACACAACACACACACCACACACACCACACACGACACACCACACACACCACACACACACCATACACACACGCACGACACACAACATACACACACACGACACACACTACACACACACCACACACACACACGACACACACCACACACGACACACCACACACACCATACACACACGACACACACACCACACACAACACACGAGACACACCGCACGTGGCGTTGGTGCTGTATTGTCGTCACGTGTCGCCAACGCCGCTGTTTACAAACATCGAGTCAACGATGGGCACACGAGACAAATAAATAGGGCGCCCCACGGGAGAGAGCCCAGCAAGCTGAGCGAGTTGAGAGAGAGCCTATATTCTTAGGTTTTTTTCACGTAGGTAAAAAATTTTAATTAATAAAAGTAAATTTCGATTTAAAGCTTTCGTGACTGCAGGGATTCATCTTCTTGGTTCTTTCGGTAAAGTCGCGTAGAAGGGAAATAATAAAATAATAAAAAATAAAACATAATAAAATAATTCATTCTCACGACGTTTCGGCCACAACGCAAGCAGCCGTCCTCAGGTGAAAACCAGGTCTGTCGGGGAGACAGCATTCAGACGCCTGAGGACGGCTGCTTGCGTTGTGGCCGAAACGTCGTGAGAATTATTTTATTGTTTTATTTTAATTATTTTATTATTTTCCTTCTACGTGACTTTACCGAAAGAACCAATAAGATAATAAAAGTAAATTAAAATAAAAAATCACGATGTTTCGGAGGCAACACAAGCTTCCATCTTCACCTGAAGACGGAAGCTTGTTGCCTCCGAAACGTCGTGATTTTTTTTATTTTATTTTACTTTTATTAATTTTAATTTTTTACCTACGTGACTTTACCGAAAAAACCTAAGAATATAAATCCTTGCAGTCACGAAAGCTTCAAATCTAGAGAGAGCCGAGTTGAGAGAGAGCCGATATCGTGAGCCGAGTGAACGCGACCGCGTTTCCAGTTCACGGAGCCGTCTTTGCCGCTGTGCGTAAATCTAAGTTGTCTTGTGGTTGTTGTTGTTGTTTGACTTGCATCCCACTGGGATTTTTGCACACAGCGTTAGTGTACGGTGATTTTTTCTGCAATATTTTGCTGTCTTTTCTTGGATTTTCTGTTTGCACTCAGTCACTTATTCACTTGAAGATGTTTTCTTGTTCATGTTTTAGTTTTTTGCGGTTGCACCCGATTCAAGAGCCGTATGGCTCACAGGGCTATGTACCTAATACATGAACTTGAACTTGATAAGTCAGCAGCCTTCAGACAATCCCCGCGTCTCCGTCGGCTGTGTGGAACTTCCACATTACTGTGACGGGAGGCCAATGTCGAGAAGACTGTCCGTTCTAGTTGTTAAATGTGACAACACTTCACCATGATAATCTGATGTGCTAGTATCACCATATGATGAGCCAGTGTTTTTAATTCGCTGTCGTTGGCTATCAGGATTGTCATTTAACTCACCGGTGAGTGGGTAGGTGGGTGAGAGATTTAATTTGTGAATTAGTGGGTGGGTGAATGAGTGAATGAGTGAGCAGGTGAGTGAGTGGATGAGTGAGTGGATGAGTGAATGAGTGAGTGGATATGAGTGAAAGAGTGAGTGAATTAGTGGGTGGGTGAGTAAATGAGTGGATGAGCAGGTGAGTGGATGAGTGGATGGCTGAGTGGATATTATGAGTGAGCAGCTGAGTGGCTGAGTGGGTGAGCGAGTGGGCGAGCGAGTGGCCGAGTGAGCGACTGAGTGAGCGTGTGAGCATGCCAGTGAGCGAGTGACTGGGCGACTCGCTGAGTGAGCAAGTGGGTGAGCGACTGAGCGTGTGGGTGAGCGAGTGGGTGAGCGAGTAGGCGAGCGAGTGGGTGAGCGAGTGAGAGACATGTGGACCGTGACGCCAGTCGGATTAAACAGTTTATAGACAACGCTGCGTTCACCAGGGCTGCCTGCTCAGGGATCGAACCCACGGCCCCCTCCCATAGCAGGCGAGGCAGTCAACATCTAGCCCCACGTGCTCCGGTGCCGATCACTTCAATGGCTCCTCCAACCCCTCGGGGTGACACATCCTTTCCGCTGCTCCGTATTCTCCCTCCCTCCCTTCCTTCCGCTGCGTTGGCCGTCACGGCTCTTCGCTGGCCCAGCAGCCATCGCCCGCCGTGAGGGCGCGGGGAGACGCGCCACGGCCTGCTCAAGCCACGCTGTGCCCCTCCTACCACAACAAGCGCCACAACAACCACCACAACAAGCACCACAACAAGCGCCACAACAACCACCACAACAAACACCACAACAAGCACCACAACAACCACCACAACAAGCGCCACAACAAACACCACAACAAGCACCAACCATCACACTTCAACGCACTCACTCGCTCAACCACCCACTCAGACACTCACCCACCCATTCATACATCAACTCACTAATCCACCCACTCACTCACTCACCTATCCACCCACTCACTCACTCACTAACCTATCCACCCACTCACTCACTAATCCATCCACCCACTCACTGACTAACCCTCCACCCACTCACTGACTAATCCATCCACCCACCCACTCACCCATCCACCCACCCACCGCAGGCCACTTCAACCATCTCCCTGCCGCTCCCCTCGCACCACTCCACTGCGGAAGAGCCTCCTCCTCCTCCACTTCCTCATCCACCACCACCACCACCTCCACCACCTCCTCCTCCTCTCCTCCACCACCACCACCTCCTCCTCCACCACCACCACCTCCTCCTCTCCTCCTGTGCCCTGAGGGTGCTACATTGCTGCACGAGTCTCCCCAAGTTGCTCCCATCCCCCAATCCTCGGGGGGGGTCACAGGTCGGTCGTGTCCACCACGCACTTGATGAACAAGGTGTCGTCCCGCACGTAGGTCTGTTCCGACGAAACTAGGCGGGCGAGGGGGCAGAAGAGGGGGCAGCCGCTGGCCACGTTGAGGTCCCCGGTGGGGCGCTGGAAGGAGGAGGTGGTGGCGTCCGGGCGGAAGGCGTCGACCACGTGGTCACGGCGCGAGCTCTGGTCCAGCAGCATCAGGGTCACCTGGGGAGGGCGCGGGGGGAGGGGAGGAGGGGTCACGGTGGTAGTGTTGGTGACGGTGGTGGTGTTGGTGGTGGTGGTGATGGTGGTGGTGGTGATGGTGGTGGTGGTGTTGGTGGTGGTGATGGTGGCGATGGTGGTGGTGGTGATGGTGGTGGTGATGGTGGTGATGGCGATGACGGTAGCGGTTTACGGTGGTGGTGGTGATGGTGGTGATGGTGGTGATGGTGATGGTGGTGGTGATGGTGGTGGTGGTGTTGGTGGTGGTGGTGATGGTGGTGGTGGTGTTGGTGGTGGTGGTGATGGTGTAGGTGGTGGTGGTGATGGTGTAGGTGGTGGTGGTGATGGTGGCGATGGTGGTGGTGGTGATGGTGGTGGTGATGGTGGTGATGGCGATGACGGTAGCGGTTTACGGTGGTGGTGGTGATGGTGGTGATGGTGGTGATGGTGATGGTGGTGGTGTTGGTGATGGTGGTGTTGGTGGTGGTGGTGATGGTGGTGGTGATGGTGGTGATGGTGGCGATGGTGGTGGTGGTGATGGTGGTGGTGATGGTGGTGATGGCGATGACGGTGGCGGTTTACGGTGGTGATGGTGGTGGTGGTGGTGTTGGTGATGGTGATGATGGTGGCGATGGCAGTGGTGGCGACGATGGTGGCGGTGATGGTGGCGGTGGTGATGGTGGTGATGGTGGTGGTGATGGTGGTGGTGATGGTGGTGGTGGTGATGGTGGCGATGGCGGTGGTGGTGACGATGGTGGCAGCGATGGTTGCTACGACGATGCTGCTACTGCCGCTTTATGATGCTGGCGACGCCACCGCTACTTTAGGATGCTGGCGACGACGGTTGCTATGACAACGGTTGCTACGCTGCTGCCGCTGCCGTCACCTTCTGGCGGAAGGGCCAGCGCAGCGTGGCGTCGTGGTCGCCCCGCATGAGCACGAAGAAGAGCGACAGGTGCGAGTCCTTGCCAGCGCCGTCGCCGCTGGGGTACAGGCGCAGGCACATCTTGTAGCCGTAGCGGCTCGTGAAGAACGCTGCGGCGGGCACACGGGGGGGGGGCACCGATGATGACCGTGGCGGTGGCGGTGGTCGCCGCAGCCACACGGAGAACCAAGGGGCGGCGTAAAGACAACGGCCATCACCACCATCACCACCACGATCACCACGATCACCATCATCACCACGATCACCACCACCACGATCACCACCACCACCATCGTGATAACCAACGTGAGTGTGTGGGTGACGCTGTGCTTTATCCGCCCGGCGCTCCGCTCGTTGTTGTGAGCGTCACTCCTCTGCCCTCCAATTAATTACCACAAAACCACCGACAAAAAACAACAACAACCGCCATTCGCCACTAAGTGGCGGTGACGTCACTATGACGCTTGTGCCAGGCCAAAAAACACACACACACACAAACACCGTGCTCGCTCATCCGTTCCCGGCGCTAGCGCCAATCCGCTGCGGTGCCGTGGGCGGCGCTAGCGACCTGGCGAGTAGACGGCGAGCTGGCGCCCGCTGGCGGCGTCGCTGCGGCGCCGGCCCACGTCGCCGACCCGCCACACGAAGGAGCCGTCGTGGGACGAGAGCTCCAGGGTCGAGAGGCGCAGCGTCATGTCGGCCAGCGCCACCTCCCGCAGCGCCAGCTTGCGCTCCAGCGCTTGCAGCTGGGTAGGGGGGGGGGGGGCAGAGAGAGCGGTGGCGCCGCGATTAGCGCCGCGCTACAAAGAGCTCCCCGGGCGGAGAGGCCGAGTTGGATTCCGGCTCATGCCGCCAACAGCGGTGACGGATTTGTGTTCACAGAGTGAGTGAGCGTGAGTGTGTGTGGAGTGTGTGTACCACAGAGTGAGTGAGCGTGAGTGTGTGTGTCCATGATGACAGTGGCATTGCCCTTGTCGGCTGAGAGGATGACAATATAAACAATGTTTATTTTACTAGGCAAGGCCCACTGAGCTATGCAGGTCTTTGTAGAAGCGACCAGGCCACAAGTGATAGCTGAAAGGAAGTGGCTTGCCATCATCGTATGGAAATGTATAGCAGCAGCCCAATACTCTTAAACGCATGTTTCATAGATGTGGAGGGGAAAACCGCAGGGCCCGGAGAAAAGTCCACGTGAGAAAAGTCCAAATATACAGCAGCAGGCGTCAGGGTCGGGATTGAACCCACGACCTCCTGTAGACCAGGCGAGGTAGTTAACATCTCCTGGCCACCGTGATGATGATGATGATGAGAGAGAGACGCAAACTCCAAATACACAGCAGCAGGCGTCAAGGTCAGGATGGAACCCACGACCTCATGCACACCAGGCGAGGTAGCTAACAGCTCGCGGCCGCAGCGTCACAAGGCGAGAGGGGGGAGCTTCGTCTGTGAGGGTGGAGAGGGTGAAGGGGGTGAGGGGGGAGGGTGAAGGGGGTGAGGGGGGAGGGTGAAGGGGGTGAGGGGGGTGGGTGAGGGGCACGATACGAGATTTAACTTGGGGGCACTTCCTGTACAGAGGGGGGCGGGCGGCACTTCCTGGTAGAGAGGGGCGATAATTCCTGTAAATAGGCGCGGCACTTTCTGTCAAGAGAGGCGGGACTTCCTGAAGAGAGGTGTGTGCGTGTGTACGTGTGTGTACGTGTACGTGTGTGTACGTGTACGTGTGTGTGTACGTGTGTGAAGGTGTAGGTGTGTGTACGTGTGTGTGTATGTGTGTGTGTGTACGTGTGTGTGTACGTGTGTGTGTGTGTATGTGTGTGTGTGTACGTGTGTGTGTACGTGTGTGTGTGTGTAGGTGTCGTGGTGACGTCACCGCCACTTAGTGGCGAATGGCGGTTGTTGTGTGTAGGTGTGTGTGTAGGTGTGTGTGTAGGTGTGTGTACGTGTGTGTTTGTACGTGTGTGTGTACGTGTGTGTGTACGTGTGTGTGTGTGTAGGTGTGTGTGTATGTGTGTGTGTACGTGTGTGTGTACGTTTGTAGGTGTGTGTGTAGGTGTGTGTGTGTGTATGTACGTGTGTGTATCGGTGTTTGTGTACGTGTGTGTGTACGTGTGTGTGTACGTGTGTGTGTGTGTAGGTGTGTGTGTATGTGTGTGTGTACGTGTGTGTGTACGTTTGTAGGTGTGTGTGTAGGTGTGTGTGTGTGTATGTACGTGTGTGTATCGGTGTTTGTGTACGTGTGTGTGTACGTGTGTGTGTACGTGTGTGTGTACGTGTGTGGGCGGAGCCAGGCGGGGCCAGCCGGAGTGTGGGCGGAGCCAGGCTAAACGGGAGAGGAATGGTTGAGTGGTGGTGGTGGTTGAGTGGTGGTGGAGTGGTGGTGGAGTGGTGGTGGTGGTGGTGGAGTGGTGGTGGTGGTTGAGTGGTGGTGGAGTGGTGGTGGTGGTGGTTGAGTGGTGGTGGCGGTGGCGGCGGTGGCGGTGGTGGTGGCGGTGGCCGAGTGGTGGTGGTGGCCGCACCTTGCCGGTGAGCGTGGCGACGGCTCCACGCTCGGCCTGCCGCCGCGTGTGGGCCTCCCGTGCGGCGGCGGAGCAGCGCTCGGCCTGGCGGTCCAACGCGGCCACGGTGGCCTCCAGCGGGCCCAGCGAGCGCTCCAGCCTGGCGCAGCGCTGCTCCAGCGCCGCCGGAACCACCGCCGCCAACGCCGCCGCCTCCTTCCCGTCGCCTGGCGCCGCTGTCAACCGCACCGGCGAAATCGAAAATAGAAATTAATCTACGTAACAAAGGCTCATTCCTAGCAGCGGCTTTAACCGCACCACCTCTACATAACAAAAGGCTCAGTCCCATGTACACGCACCTTTACATCAGCCGCACCTTAACTCTTGGAACCTCCCAGTTCAACCAGTCTACACAACAAAGACTCATTCCTAACAGCGGTTTCAGCCACACCACCTCTACATAACAAAAGGCTCAGTCCCATGTACACGCACCTTTACATCAGCCGCACCTTAACTCTTGGAACCTCCCAGTTCAACCAGTCTACACAACAAAGACTCATTCCTAACAGCGGTTTCAGCCACACCACCTCTACATAACAAAAGGCTCAGTCCCATGTACACGCACCTTTACATCAGCCGCACCTTAACAACTCTTGGAACCTCCCAGTTCAACCAGTCTACACAACAAAGACTCATTCCTAACAGCGGTTTCAGCCGCACCACCTCTACATAACAAAAGGCTCAGTCCCATGTACACGCACCTTTACATCAGCCGCACCTTAACAACTCTTGGAACCTCCCAGTTCAACCAGTCTACACAACAAAGACTCATTCCTAACAGTGGTTTCAGCCGCACCACCTCTACATAACAAAAGGCTCAGTCCCATGTACACGCACCTTTACATCAGCCGCACCTTAACAACTCTTGGAACCTCCCAGTTCAACCAGTCTACACAACAAAGACTCATTCCTAACAGCGGTTTCAGCCGCACCACCTCTACATAACAAAAGGCTCAGTCCCATGTACACGCACCTTTACATCAGCCGCACCTTAACAACTCTTGGAACCTCCCAGTTCAACCAGTCTACACAACAAAGACTCATTCCTAACAGCGGTTTCAGCCACACCACCTCTACATAACAAAAGGCTCAGTCCCATTTACACCTTTACAGAAGCCGCACCTTAACAACTCTTGGAACCTCCCAGTTCAACCAGTCTACACAACAAAGGCTCATTCCTAGCAGCGGCTTCAGCCGCACCGAACCTCACAATAATAATATCCAGGGGCCTACCTTGGCTCCTCCCACCCTCAACCAGTATATATATACAAGGACGGTTTTCTTGGAATTTCTCATTTACTTGATACAGCAGTCGTGCTGTGACGGTTCCACCTGAAGACGGAAGCTTGTGTTACCTCCAAAACGTCGTGATTTTTATTTAAATTTTATTTTACTTTAATTAATTTTAATTTAAATTTTTTACCTACGTGACTTTACCGAAAAAACCTAAGAATAGAAATGAGGTGAATTAAAAAAACTTGTGGCGCGCTCGCTCACGAACTTATCGTTGATAAGCTATCGAGATCACAGATTCCCTGCTCACAATCACTATAATTGGAATGTAAAAACTATTTTATTATTTTACCAGCTAAGGCTCTTTTTTAGAAGCTACCTGGCTCTCACAAATGATAGAAGCTCAAGGATTTGGCTTATCACGTTTATCTAGATAATATATTAAGGGGAAATTTGTGAATGTGTGTGTCTGTTCGAAATGTTTAGCGTACTTCCCGACATGCAACAAACTTGAAATTTGGCATGTGGGCAGCTTCCAGACTGTACACAATGCAAAAAGAATAAAAATAGACTTTAGTATTTTGGGGGGGGGGCACAATAATGGATGTATTTTGCACGTCAAGTGAGCGGTGACGTCACATCTGTGATGTCACCCGCACGCGGCAGCGACAAGAATCCCAGCCGGGCAGTCTTAGCGAGTTTGCGCATCAAACAGAAACGGGAGTGAAGTGAAACCGCCGGCTCCTCACCGGCTCCTCCTTCAGCCCCGGCGGCCGCCGACGGCCTCCCGACACGTCTGGCGGCCCCCCCCCCGCCCCTCGCCGCCACCGCCACCTCCAGCCGGGACAACCTCAGCGCCAGCTCGGACAGGCGGCCGTCCGAAGCCGGATCCAACTGCGGGACCGATGCCCCCGCCGCAGCTGCAGCCGCACCACCACCACTGCCGCCGCCACCGCCGCCGTCACCGGCTGCTTCGGCGGTGGCGGCGCAAGCGGCCTGAGTCGGCAGCAGGCCGTGCAAGCGCAGCAGGAAGGAGCGCAGGATGGCGACGTGGGAGGCGGTCGCCAGCTGCTCGTGTCCCGCGAGCTTCTCAGCCTCGGCCTGCTCGGCGGGGAGTTGGCGAGTTAGCGGCGACCAGCGCGGGAAGTTGCTGCTGCTGCTGCTTGTCTACTGGCGGAAACCGAGCCGTGCCGTGCTGACGTCGCCAGTGCGGCGGGTGATGCGGTGGACGAGCGGAGACACGCGTGGGTGACGTGGTGGACGGGCAGAGGAGCGTGTGGGTGACGTGGTGGACGGGTGGAGGAGCGCGTGGGTGACGTGGTGGACAAGCGGAGACACGTGTGGGTGACGTGGTGGAGGGGTGGAGGAGTGCGTGGGTGACGTGGTGGACGGGCGGAGGAGCGTGGTGGGCGAGGCCGCGTGCTATCGCCGTGACGCACCTGGAAGGGGCACCCGATGTCTGCGAAGCGGCAGGGCCGCTTGACGCGGAGGCACGACTTCTCATGCAGAGGCAGCTGGGAGGGCGGCAAAAACAACAAGTTCCAGACGGCCACGCGGCCACGTTTCCACCACCACCCCCCCTTGGAGCCTTTCAAGGGCCGCTGCAGGCGCCCTGCGCCGCACAGGAGCTGCGGGTGTGCAGAACGCGCACACGCCCACACGTACACACACACGTACACACACACACGTACACACACACGTACACACACACGCACACACACACGTACACACGTACACACACACACATACACACATGCACACACACACGTACACATACATACACGTACATACACACACGAACACATACACACGTACACACACACGCACACACACGTACACACACACGTATGTACACAAACACGTACATACACACGTATGTACACAAACACGTACATACACACTCGTACATACACACACACTGATACACGCACACTCGTACACACACATGTACACTCGTACACACATGTACAGACACGCGTACATGCACGTACACACGTATCCACGCACGGACACATACACACAACATACACACACGTACACACACACGTACATACACACACGTACATACACACGCATGGACACACACACGTACATACACACGTATGTACACAAACACGTACATACACACTCATACATACACATACACTGATACACGCACACTCGTACACACACACGTACACACGCACGTACACACGTACACACGCACGTACACACGCACGTACACACGCACGTACACACGCACGTACGCACGTACACACGCACGTACACACGCACGTACACACGCACACACGCACGTACACACGCACACACGCACGTACACACGCACACACGCACGTACACACGCACGTACACACGTACACACGTACCCACGCACGTACACACGTACACACGTACACACACACGTACACACGCACGTACACACGTACACACGCACGTACACACGCACGTACGCACGTACACACGCACGTACACACGTACACACGCACGTACACACGTACACACGCACGTACACACGTACACACGCACGTACACACGCACACACGCACGTACACACGTACACACGCACGTACACACGCACACACGCACGTACACACGTACACACGCACGTACACACGCACGTACACACGTACACACGCACGTACACACGTACACACGCACGTACACACGTACACACGCACGTACACACGTACACACGCACGTACACACGCACGTACACACGTACACACGCACGTACACACGTACACACGCACGTACACACGTACACACGCACGTACACACGTACACATGCACGTACACACGCACACACGCACGTACACACGTACACACGCACGTACACACGCACACACGCACGTACACACGTACACACGCACGTACACACGCACGTACACACGTACAGTCGCACGTACACACGTACACACGCACGTACACACGTACACACGCACGTACACAGGTACACATGCACGTACACACGTACACACGCACGTACACACGCACACACGCACGTACACACGTACACACGCACGTACACACGCACACACGCACGTACCTTCTCTCTGGGTATCTTGCGCTTCCCGCACGCAGTGCAGGTCGTGGGGAACTTTGGGCAGGTGAGGTCGTGCTCCTAAAACACAAAAGCATCAACCCCCGGTGTAGCCTCACAGGCTGTCGGGGCAAGAGCCGATCCCGACCCTGACGCCCGCTGTATATTGCGTGTGTGTGTACGTGTGTGAGTGTACGTGTGTGTGTGTATGTGTGTGTGTACGTGTGTGAGTGTACGCGTGTGAGTGTACGTGTGTGTGTGTACGTGTGAGTGCACGTGTGTGTGTGTACGTGTGTGTGTACGTGTGAGTGTATGTGTACGTTTGTGTATACGTGTGTGTGTGTACGTGTGAGTGTACGTGTGTGTGTGTACGTGTGTGTGTACATGTGTGTAAACGTGTGTGTGTGTACGTGTGAGTGTACGTGTGTGTGTGTACGTGTGTGTGTGTACATGTGTGAGTGTACGTGTGTGTGTGTACGTGTGTGTGTGTGTACGTGTGTGAGTGTACGTGTGTGTGTGTACGTGTGTGAGTGTACGTGTGTGTACGTGTGTGAGTGTACGTGTGTGAGTGTACGTGTGTGTGTGTGTACGTGTGAGTGTACGTGTGTGTGTGTGTGTACATGTGTGTGTGTGTACGTGTGTGTGTGAGTGTACGTGTGTGAGTGTACGTGTGTGAGTGTACGTGTGTGTGCGCATTCTGCACACCGGCAGCTCCTGTGCGGTGCAGGGTGCCCGGCAGTGCCTGCAAGGCGCTGTGCGTGCGGGGCAGCTCTTCTGGGCGTGCTCCGCCAACTCGCGGAGTCGCACGCGGCCACCACACGCAGGGCACGCGGCCCAGCGGAGCTCACAAGACGACTCGTGACCCTAGCACACACACACGCACGTACACACACACGCACGTACATGTACACACACACATGTACACACATGCACACACACACGTACACACACGCACACACACACGTACACACACACACACACGTACACACACATGTACACACGCACACACACACACGTACACACACACGCACACACACACACGTACACACACACGTACACACACACATGTACAAACACGAACAAAACAATAACAACCGCCGTTGGCCACTAAGTGGCGGTGACATCACCACGGCACTTGTGCCAGACTATGCGCACGTTAAGGCCACGTCAAGTGTCGAACATCCACTGGCAGGTCACGGGACAGACCCAGGTGCTACGGGTTGACTGAGATGAGTGGTCGATGCACCACCTGTGCCCCCTACTGTGCCAACTTGTTGTGCTTTAGCCACCCGGCGCTCTGCTCGTTGTTGTGAGCGTCGCTCCGCTGCCCTCTGTTGTTGTTGGAGGGCGACTGCCTCCAACTGCCCAGTAGCAGCGTCCTTCATGAGCCTCCTCCACAGAGGCCGATCTTGACACCGCTGGTACCAGTCATCAGCAAGTCCACTCAGCTCCACGTTTTCTTGTACTACATCACTCCATCTCTTCTCTAGCCCGTGCCGCGCCCCTTTAGCTCTTTCTGGCCGAACAAAAGCTGTTTAGGCATGCGGTGGCTGGGCATGCGGGCTACATGACCCAGCCATCGCAGCCTTGCCTGCCGGAGGAGCTCACCGATGGGACTTTGTCCAGATCTTTCAAGGATTTGTGAGCTCCTCATACAATTCAGCCTGCAGGTTAAACCCAGGATGGATCGCAGGCAGGCCAGGCTGAATGTTTCTAAATGGCGAAAATGTTCCATTAGGGGGGGTCCACGTTTCGCAAGCGTAGACAAGGAGGGGAAAATAAAAGACCCAAAGCTTCGTGAGGAGTGACAGACCAGGTAGCTTCCACACAGCATTACACAGCTGATGAAAATATATTGCCGCTCGACTGATTTGGAGTGAGACCTCTGCTGTTAAACTGGAGCCGGTCATAAGCACACTGCCCAGGTATGGGAAACTTGCCACTCCCTCCACGACTGCCCTATCACCAATAGGGGAGTTGAGAAGGTGGAGTGTTTGATGGCACAAAATACCCAGGCAGGTGCTTAGTTTTGGTGGCGCTGATGGTAAGGCCCCACCTCTTAGTGACACGCTCCAGTCTAAGCAGCAGCGCCTCCAACTCCTCTGAATGAGCAGCAATCACCAAATCATCGGCATACATAACATGGTTGACCAATAGGAAGCCATCCCTCGATCGCTCCCGGGCATCGATCAGCCTCCCATAATATCTGTACCAGATAGAGATTCCTCCGATACAGCAATGGAAGGCTTTTCAAACTACGTGGTCAAAAAAATGTTAAATAATGTAGGAGCCAGAGGACATCCCTGTCGCACCCCAAGGCGAAGAGGGAATGGCTCCGACTCCCGGCCACGCAGCTTTACCCAGACTCTGGATCGCCTTCCGTGCTTCAACAGATGGCACTCCAGCCAGCTACTCACAGGGGGTCACTACTTCTTCCAATATTTGAGGCACCGCAGCCTCAGCAGGGTCATCCCCACATTGCCCCATGATGTTTTCAGGACTGTGGGATTTCCCCTCCCTCAAAATCCTACAAAAATGCTCACCAAACCTGCAAACCTGTTCCTGGGATTGGAGATCAGATCAGGATGGTGATAGGTGTGGTGCCGCAAGTAACTTTTTTGATGGAATTGACGAGTGATTTATGATCATGGGCTACTGAGGCAGATGCCATCTCCTCAGCAGCCCGTGATGACCAGTCATCCTTGCAGCACGTCACGGCTCTCCGAACCTCCGAGCGAAGGCTGCGGTAAGCCTCCTCATTCTCTGACGTGGGATGCTGTAGCCGATGAGAGTGGGCCTGTCGCTTTTTCTCAGCGAGCCAGAACACTTCCTCTGTCAGCCAGGGTCTCTGGGGAGGTCTAAACCGCGTATTAAAAGCAGCCGCTGCAGCTGCATGATCCACAGTCCTAAACCTCGCCCATTTACCCTCGACATCAGGAGGAGTGGGGGACGATGCCAACCCCAGCTGCAAGCGATGATGAAATTCTCGCTTGAAACTTTCATCAACTAGCTGAGGCCAGGCCACTGTGGGTTTGAATGGGGTCCTAGATGGACATCCACCACTGGAATTGAATAATGGCAGGCGCATCTTACAGATGACAAACCGATGGTCAGTGGTGGGCAGATCAGCTCCACGGTAGGTCCTGGTGTCAAGGACATGAGCCCGCATCTGCTGCTCTATCACGATGTAGTCCAGCAGATGTTCTTGCTTGGACCCGGCATGCATCCACGTTTTGTAGATGCGCCGATGCCGGAACAGCGTGTTGGTAATTACAAGCCCATGGGCTACACAGAAGTCTAGCAGCCTCCTACCCTTGTTATTGAGCTGATCTGGCCCATGCCTTCCAGTGCGGTAACCACCACAAACACAAAGATCCCCTGCATAGCCTTAACAGACTGTTGGAGCAAGTGCTGTTAATGAGCACCTATGAAGGCCGGAACGGCACACGAGGGGGTGGGTGGCCAGCACCACGCCCAACCGCCTTTGTTTCCCCAGTGGCAATGTTTACACACCGCACCAGGTACTCATTTGAGGCTGAGTCGATGTAGGAAAGGCCCAGGACTGGTTCAAATAATCGTCACTGGTGTTGGCCGTGAGCGGGTTTCGAAGTCGGGTCGGCGGGTTCATAGCGCAGTGCACTAACCACTACACTACCGCTCCCCACAACTGTACACACACACGTACACATACACGTAGTACACACACATATACACACACACACATCTACACACACAAATATATACACACACACATATACACACGACAGCAAATGAGCTGTCTCTACCCTGGTCTCTCCTTGAACTCATCCACTCACTCACTCACACTCACTCACACTCACTCACTCACACACTCACTCACCCACTTACTCACTCACTCACCCACTCACTGACCCACTCACTCACCCACCCACTCACCCAGCAAATGAGCCGTCTCTATCCTGGTCTCTCCTTGAACTCATCCACTCACTCACTCACACTCACTCACACTCACTCATCCACTCACTCACACTCACTCACTCACACTCACTCACACACTCACTCACTCACCCACTTACTCACTCACCCACTTACTCACTCACCCACTTACTCACTCACTCACCCACTCACTGACTCACACACTCACTCACTCACCCACCCACCCACTTATCCACTCAAACGCTCACTCTGTAGAACACAAATTCCACACACATTTCCAGAAGGAGACGAGCGGAGGGACGAGCGGTGGGGCGAGCGGAGAGACGAGCGGAGGGGCGAGCGGAGGGGCGAGCGGAGGGACGAGCGGAGGGACGAGCGGAGGGACGAGCGGAGGGGCGAGCGGAGGGCGAGCAGAGGGCGAGCGGAGGGCGAGCGGAGGGCGAGCGGAGGGACGATCAGAGGGGCGAGCGGAGGGGCGTTGACCGCTCACTCACATCGTAGTCTCTCACGATGCCGGACCACGAGCAGCCCGGGTTGGTGCAGCGAGCGGGGAGTTGGTCCACCTCACGGCGAGTCGCCCGGTCAGGGAAACACTGGTGGACAACGCAAGGGGGATGAGCGGCAGCTGTTGTTGTTGTCATCGTTGTGGTGGTTGTGGGAGATATTGCGTCTGTGATGGTCACTGGGGCTGTGCAGTGCGTGGTGAGGCTGTTGTGGTGGTGATAGTTGTGGTGGTGGTGGCATTGTGTGGGTGCAATGATTCTTGTGGTGGTGGTGGCATTGTGTGGGTGCAATGATTCTTGTGGTGGTGGTGGTGGCATTGTGTGGGTGCAATGATTCTTGTGGTGGTGGTGGCATTGTGTGGGTGCAATGATTCTTGTGGTGGTGGTGGTGGTGGCATTGTGTGGGTGCAATGATTCTTGTGGTGGTGGTGGTGGCATTGTGTGGGTGCAATGATTCTTGTGGTGGTGGTGGTGGTGGCATTGTGTGGGTGCAATGATTATTGTGGTGGTGGTGGTGGCATTGTGTGGGTGCAATGATTCTTGTGGTGGTGGCATTGTGTGGGTGCAATGATTCTTGTGGTGGTGGTGGTGGCATTGTGTGGGTGCAATGATTCTTGTGGTGGTGGTGGCATTGTGTGGATGCAATGATTCTTGTGGTGGTGGTGGCATTGTGTGGGTGCAATGATTCTTGTGGTGGTGGTGGCATTGTGTGGGTGCAATGATTCTTGTGGTGGTGGTGGTGGTGGCATTGTGTGGGTGCAATGATTCTTGTGGTGGTGGTGGTAATGGCATTGTGTGGGTGCAATGATTCTTGTGGTGGTGGTGGTGGCATTGTGTGGGTGCAATGATTCTTGTGGTGGTGGTGGTGGCATTGTGTGGGTGCAATGATTCTTGTGGCGGTGGTGGTAGTGGTGGCATTGTGTGGGTGCAATGATTCTGGTGGTGGTGGTGGTTGTGGTGGCATTGTGTGGGTGCAATGATTATTGTGGTGGTGGTGGTGGTGATGGCATTGTGTGGGTGCAATGATTCTTGGGGTGGTGGTGGTGGCATTGTGTGGGTGCAATGATTTTGTGGTGGTGGTGGTTGTGGTGGTGGTGGTGGCATTGTGTGGGTGCAATGATTCTTGTGGTGGTGGTGGCATTGTGTGGGTGCAATGATTTTTGTGGTGGTGGTGGTTGTGGTGGTGGTGGTGGCATTGTGTGGGTGCAATGATTCTTGTGGTGGTGGTGGCATTGTGTGGGTGCAATGATTCTTGTGGTGGTGGTGGTAGTGGTGGTGGCATTGTGTGGGTGCAATGATTCTTGTGGTGGTGGTGGTAGTGGTGGTGGCATTGTGTGGGTGCAATGATTCTTGTGGTGGTGGTGGTAGTGGTGGTGGCATTGTGTGGGTGCAATGATTCTTGTGGTGGTGGTGGTAGTGGTGGTGGCATTGTGTGGGTGCAATGATTCTTGTGGTGGTGGCGATTGTTGTGGCGTGTCACCTGGTTGTTGGGCGACGAGTACAATTCCTCTTCGTGAGTTCCTTCTTCCTGACAACGAGGGCACAACCATTGCTCTGGCCTGCGGGAGCAACAACCACAACAACCTCAACAACCGTATAATACAATCACCTCCCTCGGCTCAAGCTCCCCCCCTCTCCCCACTCACGCACAAAGATCCCCCATATAGCCTTGTCAGACTGGTGGGGCAAGTGCTGTTAGCAAGCACCTATGAAGGCTGGAACGGTACACGAGGAGGTGGGTGGCAAGCACCACGCCAGACCGCCTTTGTCTCCCTAGTGGCAATGTTTACACACCGCACCAGGTACTCATTTGAGGCCGAGTCGACCTAGGGGAAGCCCGGGACCGGTTCAGATAATCGTCACTGGTGTTAGCCGTGATACGAAATGGAACCCGGGTCGCCAGGTTCGTAGTGCTACACTACCGCTCCCCTCACACACACACACATACACACACACAGACACACACACAGACAACAACAACCGCCATTCGCCACTAAGTGGCGGTGACGTCACCACGACGCTTGTGCCAGGCCATGTGCACCTTGAGGCCACGTGAAGTGTCGAACGCCCGCTGGCAGGAGGTCACACACACACAGCCATACATACAGACACACACACGTGAGTGTACCCCCCCCCCACCTCGTGGCCAGCTTGCTGTGGCACCCGTGGCAGAAACGGTGGCCGCAGGGCGCCTGCACGGCCGCCCTGAGCAGGCGGCCGCAGGCGCCGCACAGGTACTTGAAGTCGGGCTCGTGCCGCAGCACCTCGAGCGGGTACCCGTCCCGCACGGGGGCCGACAGCACGGCCAACGCCTCCCCCATGATCCTCGCAATGCCTCCTCCTCCTGGCCCTGCTCCTCCTTTCTCCAGAGCGGTGGCAGCGTGCGAAGGCCCTGGGAGCGGGGAGACCGTGGTGGGTGTCTGCGTGCATGGCGAACGCCTCGGGTTCGGGCGCGCACGCGAAGGTAATGGAGGGATGGGGAGATGAGTAACGGGGAGGGGGAGAGGGTGGGGGGGAGGGGTGGGGGATATGCAGGGAGAGAGAAAAACAGGGAGGGAGGGACGGAATTGAGAAGGGGGAGACAGAGATGGGACAGGGAGGGAGAGATGGGACAGGGAGAGAGACGGGGAGGGGGAGACAAACAGAGAGGGAGGGAAGGAATAGAGAAGGGGGAGACAGAGATGGGACAGGGAGGGAGAGACAGACACACAGGGAGGGAGACAGGGAGGGAGAGACACACAGGGAGGGAGTGTATAGAGAAGGGGGAGAGAGATGGAACAGGGAGAGAGAGACAGACAAAGAGGGAGGGAGACAGGGAGGGAGAGACACACAGGGAGGGAGGGAAGGAATAGAGAAGGGGGAGACAGAGATGGAACAGGGAGAGAGAGACAGACACACAGGAAGGGAGACAGGGAGGGAGAGACAGACAGGGAGGGAGGGTATAGAGAAGGGGGAGAGAGAGAGAGATGGGACAGGGAGTTGGGATATGGAGGTAGTGAGATGGGATGGGGAAACAGAGGAGTGTTTTGTTAATCACTCTACCGAGCTGTGTCCGCCCTCTCCTCTACGAGCCGGGCGCCGGGTGGCTAATGCACAGTGAGGGGGGGGGATCACGGATGGATGTGCATCTCTGCCGAGCCACCTCAAGTGGTCAACCCACGGCGCCCGGGTCCGCCGCGTGACCTCCTGCGAGCGAGCGTCGCTTCAAAAAGTGCACGTAGCCTGGCACAAACGCCACGGTGACCTCACCGCCACTCGGCGGTAGCCGCTGTTGCGTTCCTGAAGAACACGGCGTTGTGGATAAACCGCGTTACAATAAATACCGTGTGCTGTAGGGGGGCGAAGTCGAGTCCGCGATAACGCCGCGAGATGCGTGCTTGGCTCAGTAGGTGGCACAGGTGGTGCATCGACCAGCCATCTCAGTCAGAGCCAGGTGCCATGGGTCTGTCCCGTGACCTCCTGCCAGTGGGCGTTCGACACTTCACGTGGCCTCAAGGTGCACATGGCCTGGTACAAGCGTTGTGGCGACGTCACCGCCACAGTGGCGAATGGCGGCGGTTGTTGTTGTTGTTATCACTACCCCTTGAGCATTCCGTCAACTCACGCGCACACACACAGCTCCCTACCTCACAGTCGATCCCATATCCTTCACGCGCATCCGGGAACCTCACTCCAAAGTGAAGGGGGCTAACCCAAAGAGCCTACAGATACCCGAGGTTCAAGAAAGCCACTCGTATTAATAAGAGTACTTTTGGGCCCTACTCTTCCACACTTGGTCGCTACCAATGTGCTGGATTAGGTCGGCGTTTAAGGCTCTTACTCCGGCAGCTGAATGAATCAAACCTCTGGGGTGGAAGATCTTTATACCGCTGGCAGTGCAGAGGCGGGGAAATTTTTTAAGATTCTGTTTAACGCACGGCGGTGCTTATTACAATGAATCATTGAGGATTTCCCATTGACCGTACCGGCTTTCAATAATACAGTACGGAAAGTCCTCGCTTAACAATAACCTATTGAAACTGAACTACTCTTATATTTGACCAGGGAAGGCCCCGCTGAGGTATACAAGTCTTTTTCAGGAGTGACCTGGCCACAGATGACAGCTCAACGATTGGCTTATCACACGGACATTTATAGCAGCCGAATACTCTTAAACCACGTGACTTTGATTATAAATGTGGAGGATTTTTCTCCGGAGGACCCAGGGAAAAATCCACACGCCCACGGTAAGAGAGAGACGCAAACTTCAAATACACAGCAGCAGGCGTCAGGGTCGGGGTCGAACCCACGACCTCCTGCACACCAGGCGAGGTAGTTAACATCTCATAGCCACCGTGATGATGATGAGAGAGAGACGCAAACTCCAAATATACAGCAGCAGGTGTCACGGTCGGGATCGAACCCACGACCTCCTGCCTACCAGGCGAGGGAGTTAACATCTCCTAGCCACCAGCCATGGTTAATCCACTGCTGGATGATGAAAACCTCTCCCATTTCTTTTGCACGACGATCCTGCGACGTTTGCGACCTCCCGAACGATTGAATCGACGTGCCGAAGATGCGTGGTGCCACGTGCGCCTTCAGATGGGAAATAACACTACCTGCTCTCTTCGGCGATAAACATCAGCAACGGCAAATACAGGGTGTTCAAAAGAATGTTAACACTTACATGGGACTATCGTTTTTCATGGAAAAAGAACGGATAACACAGTGTGACGTGAAAACATTCCTGCGGAGGGAGCTGGTGGGTTGCTCGGTCAATGGCCTGCAGGGTCAACGGCCAGGGCGTGGTGTATTCCGCAAATATGGCCGACTGTGAGGGCGGGCACAAGCCGGCGTGAGTAGGTTAAACGTTGAGTTTTATAAGGGCACCACGGGGTGACCAGCCCCTCCCCACCCAGCCCCACCCCCCACCTAGCCCCTCCCCACCCAGCCCCACCCAGCCCCACCCCTCCCCACCCTCCCCACCGAGCCCCTCCCCACCCAGCCCCTCCCCACCCTCCCAGCCCCTCCCTCCCCACCCAGCCCCTCCCTGCACGCCGGACGGACACAATAATCCTCTGTGGGCTGATGGAACCAGTGGGTTCCTACCAGTATAACAAATGTGATGTCAGTAGCTTCAGAAAGTCAGAGAGTCTCTCTCACGTGTTTGCCATCGTTGTCAATAGGCCTCGGGCAAGGTAAGGTAAAAGTTAAAATGTAAAAAAAACCTACCTTTACCCTATCTTTTACCTTGCCACAATACAATCACTCTACCCTACCTTTCACCCTTCAGCAGGTAAGGTAAAAAAAAGGTAATGGGTAAAAAGCAACGAGCCTACCTTTTACCCTACCTTTTACCCTACCTTTTACCCTACCTTTTACCCTTACCGCATACAAATTACCCGATTACAGGGTAATTACTGGGGTACTACTTACTACACATGAACAAGGTTCATAACGGTAAATGCTATAAGGTAGAGCGCTTTATTCATATAGAATACTCTCCATTATTCCAATTTTATACGCTTGTTGTTGTTGTTGCATCCTAAAATCTTGTAACTCAATTTTAACCCACTTCCCAATGTGGTATCGACTGCAAACTTGGTATACTTATGTCATACTGATGACAATACTATATTCTATCATAAAAAAAACTAATATTATTAAACAATATTTTGTATATGTTATGTTTCGGCTTGGGTCTAATTGTCCACGCTCAACTGACGTTGGCTGTAATTGGCCACGGTCCCTTACGTTGTGGCAAACTTCGGGGCCACTTCCTGGAGTCGTGGAGTTCTGCCATCACGAGTACATCTAATAAAATTGTGTTTTTTAAAAAGTTTGTTTTAATATTACTTGTTAAATGGAGGCCACGGACTGCGCCACGGAGCTTCTAGCGGTAAACAAGGCGCCGTATTTACCGGGTAATACCTCGCGCTACCTTTACGCTACCGGGTGATTCTTCCGAGCTACCTTACCCTGTACCCTTGACCTTACCCCTTGGCATGTCGACACCTTTACCCTTACCCTTTTACCCGCTAAAAGGGTAAATTACCTTCCCTTGCCGAGGCCTACTCCAGAGCCCGGAGGCAGCAACATTTCTCGTGGTTTTGTTGCAAATTCTCAGAAGCGTTAAATACATTTTTATTCTTTGGGACTTTTGGTAAAGCCGCGTAGATAGAAAATAATACTGGTAGGAACCTCCTGGTTACACCAGCCCACAGGGGATTATTGTGTCCGTCCGTCCGTCGTGCAGGGAGGGGCTGGGTGGGGAGGGAGGGGCTGGGTGGGGAGGGGAGGGTGGGAAGGGGCTGGGTGGGGAGGGTGGGGAGGGGCTGGGTGGGGGAGGGTGGGGATGGGCTGGGTGGGGAGGGTGGGGATGGGCTGGGTGGGGAGGGTGGGGAGGGGCTGGGTGGGGATGGGCTGGGTGGGGAGGGTGGGGAGGGGCTGGGTGGGGAGGGTGGGGATGGGGCTGGGTGGGGAGGGTGGGGATGGGCTGGGTGGGGAGGGTGGGGATGGGCTGGGTGGGGAGGGTGGGGAGGGGCTGAGGTGGGGATGGGTGGGGAGGGTTGGGGATGGGCTGGGTGGGAGGGTGGGGATGGGCTGGGTGGGGAGGGTGGGGATGGGCTGGGTGGGGAGGGTGGGGAGGGGCTGGGTGGGGAGGTGGGAGGGCTGGGTGGGGAGGGTGGGAAGGGGCTGGGTGGGGAGGGTAGGGATGGGCTGGGTGGGGAGGGTGGGGAGGGGCTGGGTGGGGAGGGTGGGGATGGGCTGGGTGGGGAGGGGAGGGTGGGGAGGGGCTGGGTGGGGAGGGGCTGGGTGGAGAGGGGAGGGTGGGAGGGGCTGGGTGGGGCTGGGTGGGGCTGGGTGGGGAGGGGCTGGTCACCCCGTGGTGCCCTTATACAACTCAACGTTTCACCTACTCACGCCGGCTTGTGCCCGCCCTCACAGTCGGGAATATTTGCGGAATACACCACGCCGCCGTTGACCCTGCAGGCCATTGACCGTGCAACCCGACGTTCCTACCAGCTCCCTCCGCAGGACAGTGTGTTAACAATATCACAACAAGAGTGATCTCAAGAAGAGTGATCTTGTTGTTGTTACCAGACTGTTGAAACAGACTTCAGGGGCGAGTGCTGTGGACGAGTCGCGCCTGTGAAGGCCGGAACGGTAACACGAGGTGGACGGGCAAGCGACCACGCACGGCCGCCTTTATCTCCCCAGTGGCGATGATTGTTGTTATTGTTGTTCCACACTTCGAGCCCGTTCGAGACGCTGCTGGCGGCCGTGAGCGGGAATCGAACTCAGGGCCGGGTTGGTGGCTGAGCGTGTAGCGCGCTAACCGCTGCGCCACCGCTCCCCTCACAGGGCGGAATTCCCCTTAAGGACGTTAAATTTGAGACGATACATCCCAACGACAAAAATTAACTTCTGAACGACTTGTTTGTTTTGTTGTAAGCTACCCGGCACGTGGGCGTGTTGCCGTTTTATTTTTAACGTTTTAAAAGGTTTATTAACGACTTAGAATGACGATTTTTCGCGCGGATTTGACTTACCTACTCGGGCCGCATTGCGAGCGGTGGAGGGAGAGACACGCGGTCGCAGTCGAGTGGCACCAACTCGTTAGTTAATAACCAACTTGACCATTTAGTTTGTTATTGTTTACACCTCGCCTCGAAGGCGTTTTCAAACACAAATTCTGGGACGCTGTAGCCGTGGTAGAAGTGAAACTTGTATTGTTTAAATTGTCATTACGTCGGTGATGTAATAACTAATGAGACTTTTTTTCTAAATCCCTTTTTTTGTTAAACGCTGTCTTTGGTGCTAAATTGATATTCGCACTGTTAAAATGTTGAGCAAATAAAAAAAATGTAATTTTAATCTCGAGAAGAAAAACAATAAATAAATTTTAGTCGGAAGTGGAGGGGCACGCGCGCGCCAACTTCCGCTAAATCTACTTGAATTTTCTTTTTTATAACCAATTAAATCGTAATTTGTCCACCCTATTACAATTGTTTTCTCTAAGTGAAGCTCACAAAATTGCGTTGGAAATAATTTTGTTTGAAATTAATTTACCCGAAATATCTAAATTATTCGCATTGAGGCATCTTGGCCTACTACGGTGGCCGCTGAGATCCAAGTCCGCGTTTCGTTATTCCGATCCAATCCACTTCAGCAGGATGCAAAATTCACACAAACAAGGCACATTAAATTTCGATTTAAAGCTTTCGTGACTGCAGGGATTCATCTTCTTGGTTCTTTCGGTAAAGTCACGTAGAAGGGAAGTAATGAAATAATAAAAATAAAAAATCATAAAATAATTCTCACGACGTTTCGGCCACAACACAAGTAGCCGTCCTCATTAACTTTACTTTGAATGCAGTAAGTTTGTTTCAACACATCAAATACATACCATTCATAGTTACAGGGGTATTGCTTTAGTTCCTCGACCTAATTGGCTTTCCGAGCCGAATTCGATCAATATTATTATTATTTATTATCACACAGGATTTGTTTTTAAATGGAATGACAGAGCCGCAGTGAAGCGATGGAACAGACCCAGGGTGACCTCCTCCAGCGAATTACTTCGGCTGGTCGCCAGGGGATGGAGACCATCCATGGAGCAGTGGATAGAGCGTAGCTGCTGCTGCTGATGAAGATAACCAGTGGCCATCATATGCTGACACTGCCAAAACCATGAGAATGTGGACATTGTATACGGGCACACGATCCAGTAGCTCCTCCCACTACTCCGGTAGCTCCTCCCACTACTCCGGTAGCTCCACCCACTACTCAGGTAGCTCCACCCACTACTCAGGTAGCTCCACCCACTACTCAGGTAGCTCCACCCACTACTCAGGTAGCTCCACCCACTACTCAGGTAGCTCCTCCCACTACTCAGGTAGCTCCTCCCACTACTCAGGTAGCTCCTCCCACTACTCAGGTAGCTCCTCCCACTACTCATGTAGCTCCACCCACTACTCAGGTAGCTCCTCCCACTAGTGTGCTGTCGACACGTGAATCACTCTCAAGGTTGACGTCAGTTTTGTAACGATGTGCCGCCAACGTCCCACGTCACTTTACCGGTGAAGTGACGTCACTTTACCCGTGAAGTGACGTCACTTTACCCGTGAAGTGACGTCACTTTACCGGTGAAGTGACGTCACTTTACCGGTGAAGTGACGTCACTTTACCGGTGAAGTCTACGTCACTTTACCGGTGAAGTGACGTCACTTTACTGGTGAAGTCACGTGACTTTACCGAAAGAAACCAAAGAGAAATCTTTTTTGAGCAAAAAAACGGGACCCTTTGTCATTTTTGTAACCCCTCTTGTATTTTCTCTCTCCATACAATCTCCTTGATGACGATCGCCTGCGAGAGAAGGCACGGACACATCGAGTCGCGACGCCTTGACACCGCGCGGCAACGGGGAGCGACACCTCTCTGAGATCCATTCAGTCGGTTTGCTCCGAGCCCAGCGGGTCTATTACTCGTACTCTGGGGGTGACATCACCACCAACACCCCACTCCACCACCAACACCCCACTCCCCTCCACCACCACCCCACCTCCACCACCACCCCTCCCCCCTCCCACCACCACCACCACCCCTCCCCCCCTCCACCACCACCACACCCCTCCCCCCCTCCACCACCACCACCCCCACTCCACCACCACCCCTCCCCCCCTCCACCACCACCCCTCCCCCCTCCAACACCACCACCCCACTCCACCACCACCACCACCCTCTCCCCTCCACCACCACCACCCCCCTCCACCACCACCCCTCACCCCTCTCCCCCTGGGGGTGGCATCACCACCCCTCCCCCCTCCCCCCCCAAAGGGGGCAGCGCCACCAATGGGGGGGGGGGGGGGCCTTTGTGGGGGGTGCGTGACACGTGCCCACATTGGCTCCAGGTGGTGAACCATCGACGACACAAACTCAGCACGGCCCACGCGAGTTCCACACTTTACTTCTCCGCGTGATTATTAAAAACACAAACTGTTTACGACTGAGAACCAAAGAGCAGTGCCGGATGATCCTAGTAGCACAAGTAGCTACATACATGTAGTAGCTACATGTACTACACGTGTAGTGTAGTATCTACACACATGTAGTAGCTACACACATGTAGTATCTACACATGTAGTAGCTACACACATGTAGTATCTACACACATGTAGTAGCTACATGTACTAGCTACATGAACTACACGTGTAGTAGCTACTACACGTGTAGTAGCTACACACATGTAGTATCTACACACATGTAGTATCTACACACATGTAGTATCTACACATGTAGTAGCTAAATTTCGATTTAAAGCTTTCGTGACTGCAGGGATTCATCTTCTTGGTTCTTTCGGTAAAGTCACGTAGAAGGGAAGTAATAAAATAATAAAATAAAACATAATAAATAATTCTCACGACGTTTCGGCCACAACGCAAGCAGCCGTCCTCAGGTGAAGACCAGGTCTGTCGGAAAGACAGCGTCTGAATTCAGACCTACTCTTTGTTCATTCAGACGCTGTCTTTCCGACAGACCTGGTCTTCACCTGAGGACGGCTGCTTGCGTTGTGGCCGAAACGTCGTGAGAATTATTTTATTATTTCCCTTCTACGTGACTTTACCGAAAGAACCAAGAAGATGTAGTAGCTACTATACATGCAGTAGCTACTACACGTTTAGTAGCTACTATACATGCATAGTAGCTACTACACGTGTAGTAGCTACTATACATGCATAGTAGCTACTACACGTGTAGTAGCTACTATACATGCAGTAGCTACTACACGTGTAGTAGCTACTATACATGCAGTAGCTACTACACGTGTAGTAGCTACTATACATGCAGTAGCTACTACACGTGTAGTAGCTACTATACATGCAGTAGCTACTACACGTGTAGTAGCTACTATACATGCAGTAGCTACTACACGTGTGTAATGAGAGCGCCACCTCCTGTGTGACATGGGGTGTTGTCTAGGGGAAGGACAGACAGTCCCCAGACTTGTGGTCGCGAAAGCCTCCCACGTGTTCAACTGGTTGAGAAGCTATAATAAGAGTTTTCCCCTTTTTTCTGGCAACAAAACTGAAACCTTTTACAAGGATTCATGTTATTGCATTAACCACAATACTTGTGGTCAAAATGCAAACAAAAAAACACACTGATAGTATACGCATTGTCCTTGAAACTGATTGGTCCACACCAGAGACGGCTTTCTTTTGAGCCTCGTCTCAATGGTGTGGACCAATCAGTTTCAAGGACAATTCATATATTATCAGAGTATTGTTTTCTGTTTGTATTTTGACCACAAGTATTGTGGTTAATGCAAACATTATTCCTCGTAAAAAGGTTTCAGTTTTGTTGCCAGAAAAAAATGGGAAAACCCCTATTATTATATTTTGGTACTGGCAAAGGAGGTCTAATGATGGGTGAGAAGCTTTTAACAACAATGATCACAACGTTTTGTTTAAGTGCACGTTGTTTATTTATTTATTACTGCGGTCCCACTCGAGGTACACGGGTCCTGCCAGCTGCTGGCATTGCGGGTGGCGATGGTGCTGCTGCTGCTGTGGTCTGTAGCCGAGGGGCACCCCCAGTGGCAGCTGACCCTGTGTGTTGCTCTACCAGTCGGGGTGGCGATGTTGCTGCTGCTGCTGTAGTCTGTAGCCGAGGGGCACCCCCAGTAGCAGCTGTCCCTGCGTGTTGCTCTACCAGTCGGGGAGGCGATGGTGCTGCTGCTGCTGCTGCGAGATGCAAGTCGAGGGATTTGTTGCAGGCGATTGTTGAGCAGTGGGGATGTGGTTGTGGCCGATAGCAGATCCACTGTGGGTGTGGGTTGAGCTGTGGGAGGGGAGCGGAGAGCCCGGAGGGAGCTCATGCAGAGCAGGGGGAGAGAACACTCACTCACACTCACTCACTCACCTACCCACTCACCCACTCACTCACCCACTCACCCACTCACTCACCCACCACACTCACTCACTCACACTCACTCACTGTCACCCTCACTCACACTCACAGTCACTCACACTCACAGTCACTCACACTCACAGTCACTCACACTCACAGTCACTCACACTCACAGTCACTCACGATCACTCACACTCACGGTCACCCACGCTCACAGTCACCCACGCTCACAGTCACTCACGATCACTCACACTCACAGTCACTCACACTCACAGTCACTCACACTCACAGTCACTCACACTCACAGTCACTCACACTCACAGTCACTCACGATCACTCACACTCACGGTCACCCACGCTCACAGTCACCCACGCTCACAGTCACTCACACTCACAGTCACTCACACTCACAGTCACAGTCACTCACACTCACAGTCACTCACGATCACTCACACTCACGGTCACCCACGCTCACAGTCACCCACGCTCACAGTCACTCACACTCACAGTCACTCACACTCACAGTCACTCACACTCACAGTCACTCACACTCACAGTCACTCACGATCACTCACACTCACGGTCACCCACGCTCACAGTCACCCACACTCACAGTCACTCACACTCACAGTCACTCACACTCACAGTCACTCACACTCACAGTCACTCACACTCACAGTCACTCACAGTCACTCACAGTCACTCACAGTCACTCACAGTCACTCAACTCACAGTCACTCACGATCACTCACACTCACGGTCACCCACGCTCGCTCGCTCACACACTCTCACACACACTCACACACTCACACACCCACTCACTCACCCACCAAACTCACTCACAGTCACCCTCACCCATCGTCACACTCACCTCTGTGGAACAGGGGTAGAACACACACACCTCACTTCCTCACTCTCTCGCTCTCTCGCTCCAGAGAGAGAGGCGGCCAATTGGGACAAAGCTGCAGGACAGCCTGGGACCCCACCATGGGAACGTGGAATTTCTGCTCGTATCTGGAGAGCGGTGGTGCGGCAGCGGTCAGCGCACTGCGCTACGAACCCGGCGACGATTATCCGAACCGGTCCTGGGCCTTCCCTAGGTCGACTCGGCCTCAAATGAGTAACCTGGTGCGGTGTGTAGTAAACATCGCCGCCACCGGGGAGACAAAGGCGGCCGGGCGTGGCGCTGGCCACCCGGCCCCTCGCGCGCCGTGCCGGCCTTCGTGGGTGCTGCTCGCTAGTGACGGCACTTGGCCCCAATAGTGTCGCAGGTTACACGGGGGAGCTTTGGTTGGGTCACGTGGTGGGGTCACGTGGTGGGGTCATGTGGTGGGACCACGTGGTGGGGTCACGTGGTGGGATCACGTGGTGGGCAGCTCCCATGTCAGCTTCGCAAGACGCAAATCACTGGCCGGCGTGTAGCAAGAGTAGATCAAATCAGGATGTGGTGCGTGTCCGCCCGTGTCTCTCTCTCTCGGTCTATCGAGCGAGGTCACTTCCACCAGCATTGGGACTGGCAAGGAACTTGCAGGGGCTGCGCTTTCGCCCTGAAATCTCAAAGAGATACTGCCTCACCAATGGTTAAATGCAAGGACACACACACAAGTATAAATTAACATTCCTGCATTGCCAACAACAACAACGAAAATACATACACTTCGATACGCCACAGTTAACCGACGAAACAATTATCGTAATGAATCAACGTTATTATGATAATCTCAAGTAAATTGCAGTTCTACAATCTCGTTCTAAGTCGGCGTCGCATTGGCTCAGAGGGCACCGCGTGACTAAAATGCCGGCTCCCGATTGGCCCTGGCGGTGCCCGTAAAAAGTAGCTTCCCTCGCGATATTTAGAATTAGTTTTTATAATAGTAACGACGGACGCCACGATTAGGCTAATTAGGGGAAAACATTTTAAGTAAACAGACGTTTGGCTACTTGCACAAGAAGACTGCATCATTATTGGCGTTAAATAGCTAAAATATTTTAAGGAACTAATGGAGGGTAACCTCCCCCCCCACACAACCCTTCATAGCTAAGTAACGAACATTGGTATCGTCCGTGCATAGGTTTACTGATTAGGACTCAATCATTACTGGAACATTGTGGGGAGGGGGGGGTACTCAAGACTTTTAAAACAAAACCCCCTCTCAATGAGAGACAACAAACTTCACTTACGATTACCCAAAGTGGATTTAAGTTATTGTGGGAAGGATATAAAATCATTGCCTCTACCCCTAGAATATTCATCCATTAAGTTAGTACATCCCACCGAGCAACTCGAGCTAATGAGACTATACCATTAAAATATATGCGACTGGGGGGGGGGGGTGGATAATAATTTACACAAAATCCTGGAAGTGAAACTGAATTAAGTTAAAAATCTCCCTTTTCTGCTCAATGGAGTCCACACTTGGCACAGTCTACACTTGGCACGGGCCCGCAATGAACGCCGACCTATTGGGACTGTACCATCGCGGGGGGTGGTTGGGGGTGTTCAGCGCTAGGTGGTGGAGCTTTGAGGTCGAGTGAAAAAGCGGGAGATGCGTTTGGCGCCCAGCTCGTGCCGCGTGACGGAGAGGCGGTGCTGCAGGTCCTGGAGACACGGAGACGCACATGGGGACACACAGAGGGTGACCATCATTGAGCAGTTGGGGGGGGGGTGATAGCAGTTCCACTGTGGGTGTGGGTTTGGCTATGAGAGTGGAAACAGAGAACCCGGGAGGAAACCCGTGCAGAGCAGGGGGAGATAACACACACTCGCACACTCACACAACCATTCACTCACTCTGTAGAACAGGGGGAGATCATACAAACTCACTCACTCACACAACCACTCACTCACTCTGCAGAACAGGGGGAGATCATACAAACTACACACTCACACACTCGCACACTCACACAACCACTCACTCAGTCACTCTGCAGAACAGGGGGAGATCATACAAACTCCACTCACTCGCACACTCACACAACCACTCACTCACTCTGCACAACAGGGGGAGATCATACAAACTCACTCACACACTCACTCATTTTGTAGAACAGGGGTAGAGGACACAAAAACTCCACACACACACACACACAGAGAGAGAAGCAGCGCCCAGTCCGGGAGTGGAACCCAAGCCGGCTTCTCCTCTCGGCCAGCGCCACCGCCGGCCGCCCCGAAGTCGAGGCCTGGTGCCGCCCCCACAAGCCTGACCACTCGCCTGGATCGTGCACTCGGCCTCCACCAGCCGGAGCTTGGAGGCGGCCAACTCGCGCTGCACGACCCCGAGCCGGCTCCTCAACGCGTCTCCATCCTCCTCCTCCTCCACCACCTTGTCCACCACCACCTTGTCCACCACCACCTTGTCCACCACCACCTTGTCCACCACCACCTTGTCCACCACCACCTTGTCCACCACCACCTCGTCCACCTCCTTGTTCAGGGATCCAGCCGAGATGCTCTCTCCCAGCGGCTCCAGCGAGCAGTCACCCTCCACCTCCACCTCCTTCATCTCTTCCTCCTCCACCACCACCTTGTCCACCACCTCCACCACCACCTTGTCCACCACCACCTCCTCCACCTCCTTGTTCAGGGATCCAGCTGAGATGCTCTCTCCCAGCGGCTCCAGCGAGCAGTCACCCTCCACCTCCTCCACCTTCACCTCGTCGCCGCGGGGTTCGAGCGCGACGTCTTCGTCTTCCTGTGGCTCACTCGAGGAGTCTCTCACGACCTCCTCCAGAGCCACCACCTCCACCTCCTCCTCCTCCACCACCTCCTCCTCCTCCAGAGCCACCACCTCCTCCACCACCTCCTCCTCCAGAGTCTCGTGGTGGAGTTCTGCTGGGTCGGAACTGGGCGAGGTCTGGGCCACAGAAAGCTGCTGCCACTGCTGCTGCTGCTGCCGCTGCTTCAGTAAGCCACTGAGCAGGGCTGAGCAACGAGCGCACGCCTGAGATCGACTCTGGACACACAGAGAGGGGGGGGGGGGGGCGGGGGGGTTCAGGGTCGCAAACGAACTTCACGGAGCGGTGGATTCCGTCGCTCCATCTCCTTCTCCATGATGGTGGGGGTGGTGGTGGTGGTTGTGGTGGTGGTTGTGGTCCTGGTTGGTGGTGGTGGTGGTTGTGGTTGGTGGTGGTGGTTGTGGTCCTGTTTGGTGGTGGTGGTTGTGGTGGTGGTTGTGGTCCTGGTTGGTGGTGGTTGTTGTGGTTGTGGTTGGTGGTGGTGGTTGTGGTCCTGTTTGGTGGTGGTGGTTGTGGTGGTGGTTGTGGTCCTGGTTGGTGGTGGTGGTGGTTGTGGGTGGTGGGGGTGGTTGTGGTCCTGGTTGGTGGTGGTTGTTGTGGTTGTGGTTGGTGGTGGTGGTTGTGGTCCTGTTTGGTGGTGGTGGTTGTGGTGGTGGTTGTGGTCCTGGTTGGTGGTGGTTGTGGTTGGTGGTTGGTGGTGGTTGGTGGTGGTGGTTCGTGGTTGTGGTGGTGGTTGTTCTCATTTCGGACGTGGCTCCCGCCCCTCCGTCTCCCACAGCGCGACCCTCGCGTTGAGTCAACACACAAAGACAAAGATCCCCCGTGTAGCCTCTAACAGACTGTAGGGGCAAGTGCTGTGTGAGCAGCGCCTATGAAGGCCGGCACTGTGACACACGAGGGGGTGGGTGGCCAGCACCATGCCTGGCTGCCTTTGTCTCCCCAGTGGCGATGTTTACACACAGCACCAGGTACCCATTTTAGGCCGAGTCGACCTAGGGGGAGGCCCAGGACCGGTTCAGATAATCGTCGCCGGTGTTGGCCGCGAGCGGGAATCCAACTCGGGTCGTAGCGCTAACCGCGGCGCCACCGCTCCCCACACAACCGCAACCACCACAGCAGCAGCAGCGCACGGCTCTCTGACGCTCTCCGCACAGTGCTCATTGTTGCTGGCCGCTGGGCGTTGTGTAGGAAGAGAGGGGGCCCCTCACCCGCACGAGGTCCATGCTCCTCCGTCCGTCTTCAGAGAGCTCCTCCAGCTGAGCACTCAGTCTGGAGCTCATCTGTGGACATCATCATCATCATCACCACCATCATCATCACCACCATCACCATCAATCACCATCACCACCATCAGGGCTCGAACCCAGGATCTCAGTGTCTCTGACACGGCCATTGTGAACCCCCTGATAGAGAGACACCCAGACCCAGGGCTCGAACCCAGGATCTCTGTGTCTCTGACACGGCCATCGTGAACCCACTGAGAGAGAGACACCCAGACCCAGGGCTCGAACCCAGGGTCTCAGTGTCTCTGACACGGCCATCGTGAACCCCCTGAGAGAGAGACACCCAGACCCAGGGCTTGAACCCAGGCTCTAGGAGTCACTGGCCGGGCCGTGGTGACCGCGAGGAGTGAGCACCTGCTTGTGGGTGGCGATGGCGTCGTGGTTGGCGACGGTCGCTCGCTCCACGCTGCTCAACTCCCTCCTGCACACCTCCTTCAGCTGCGGGGCCGGAGAGACGGGCAGGGGGGGGGGGGGGTTGGATGCACGCGGTGTGAAGGTCTGGAGTGAAGGGGTCACCTACGTGCCCCCCCTCCTGCGTCTCCCCCCGCGTCCCCTCCCCCTCATGTCCTCCCCGTGTCTCCTCCATGTCTCCCCCCGCGTCTCCTCCATGTCTCCCCCCGCGTCTCCCCCAGTGTCTCCCTCCGTGTCTCCCCCCGTGTCTCCCCCCGTGTCTCCCCCCGTGTCCCTCCCAGTGTCCCTCACCCCGCGTCTCCCCCGCGTCTCCCCCCATGTCCCCCCCGTGTCCCTCCCCCCACGTCTCCCCCCACGTCTCCCCCGTGTCACTCCCCCCACGTCTCCCCCGTGTCCCTCCCCCCGCGTCTCCCCCCGTGTCCCTCCCCCCGTGTCTCCCCCGTGTCACTCCCCCCGTGTCTCCCCCCGCATGTCTCCCCCGTGTCCCTCCCCCCGTGTCTCCCCACCAACCTGCGTTGTCTCCGTGTCTGCGCGTCTCTTCTCCTCCTCCGTCTCCTTGAGTCTCACACCCAACAGCTGCAGCTGCTGAGTCAGCAATTCCACCCGGCTCTCCACCTTGGGGGGGAGACACGGGGGGAGACACGGGGGGAGACACGGTGAGACGCGGGGGTGAGACGCGGGGGAGACGCGGGGGGGGGGGGGAGACGCGGGGGAGAGACGCGTGTGATAAACAAGGCACGAAGACACCCCATGCGCGATGGTTGGTGATTTGGTGAGTGGTGGGTGACTGGGTGGGTGAGTGACTAAGCCAGCAGCGAGTGGCGGGGTGAGAGTGACTGGCTGGGTGAATGGGGCGTAATAGCTCGGTGAGCTGAGCGAGTGGCTGGGCGAGTAGGTGAGCTAGTAGGCGGGTGAGTAGGCGGGTTGGTAGGTGAGTAGTTAAGCGAGGTGGTGAGAGAGTAGATGGGTAGGAAAGCGAGTAGGTGAGCGAGTAGGTGAGTCGTTGAGCGAATAGGTGAGTGAGAAGGTGAGCAAAGTAGTGAGCGAGGTGGTGAGCAAGGTGGTGAGTGAGAAGGTGAGCGAGGTGGTGAGTAGGTGAGTGATGTGGTGAGTGAGGTGGTGAGTGAGTAGGTGAGTGATGTGGTGAGCGAGGTGGTGAGTGAGTAGGTGAGCGGGTAGGTGAGCGGGTAGGTGAGTAGGTGAGTGGGTGAGTGAGAAGGTGAGCGAGGTGGTGAGTAGGTGAGTGATGTGGTGAGTGAGGTGGTGAGTGAGTAGGTGAGTGATGTGGTGAGTGTGGTGGTGAGTGAGTAGGTGAGTGATGTGGTGAGCGTGGTGGTGAGTGAGTAGGTGAGTGGGTGAGTGATGTGGTGAGCGAGGTGGTGAGTGAGTAGGTGAGCGGGTAGGTGAGTGAGGTGGTGAGCGAGGTGGTGAGCGAGTAGGTGAGCGATGTGGTGAGCGAGGTGGTGAGTGAGTAGGTGAGCGGGTAGGTGAGTGAGGTGGTGAGCGTCACCAGGTCGAGCTGGGCCCGCAGTGAGGCCTTGTCGCGCAGGATCTGCCGGGCGAGGTCGTCGTTCTCCTGCTCCAGGCGCAGGTTCAGCGCAGAGAGGCGCAGAGCCGACTCCTGGCGCACGTCAACAACAACAACAACGTCAACAATGTCAACATCGTCAACGACATATATGTCAACAACAACATTGCCAACAACGTCGTCAACTGTTTCAACAACGTCAATGACATAAACGTCGTCAACAACAACGTCAACAACATTGCGAGAGACGCCCTAGGGCCTGAGCCCCAGGCCCCCGGCGGTGCTGGCCGACCCCGGCGGCGGCCCCCACCTCCACGTGCCCCACCTCGATGTGCCCCACCACCTCCACGTGCCCCACCTCCACGTGCCCCACCTCCCCGTGCCCCACCTCCACGTGCCCCACCTCCACGTGCCCCACCTCCACGTGCCCCACCTCCACGTGCCCCACCTCCACGTGCCCCACCTCTATGTGCCCCAGGCTGGCCGGCTCGCCGTGGGGTCCCAGCGGGACGTCCTCCGGCGCCGTGGAGTGGGGGGCCCTGGCAGCAATCACCTGGGGGGGGGGGGGGGAGGGGCAGGGGTTGGAGGAGTACGACGTGAAGGTTTGGAGTGAAGGGATCACCCCACGTGTCTCCCTCCCCATGTGTCCCTCCCAGCGTCTCCCTCCCAGCGTCTCCCTCCCCCGTCTCCCCCCGTCTCCCCCGTCAGCGTCTGGTCCCCGCCTCACCGCGAGTCTCCCCGCCGTGAGGGCGCGTTGCAGGTCGCGGTCTTCATCCTCCTCCTGGACGAGGCTGCCCAACAGGTGGGCGTCGTACGCCTCCACGATGGACACCTCGGTCATCATCGTGCCCGCCCAGGCGCGCGGGAGGGTCGCACGCGGTGACGAGGACGATGCACCCACCCTCCTGTAGCGTTCACGCGCACACACACACACACACACCTGTACACACACACACACACCTGTACAAACACTCACACACACACCTGTACACACACACACACACCTGTACACACACACACACCTGTACAAACACTCACACCTACACCTGTACACACACACACACCTGTACAAACACTCACACACACACCTGTACACACACACACACACACCTGTACAAACACTCACACCTACACCTGTACAAACACCTGTACAAACACACCTACACCTGTACAAACACACCTGTACAAACACTCACACCTACACCTGTACAAACACTCACACCTACACCTGTACAAACACACCTGTACAAACACTCACACCTACACCTGTACAAACACACCTGTACAAACACTCACACCTACACCTGTACAAACACACCTGTACAAACACTCACACCTACACCTGTACAAACACACCTGTACAAACACTCACACCTACACACACACCTGTACAAACACTCACACCTACAAACACACCTGTACAAACACTCACACCTGTACACACGTGTACACACACACCTACCTGTATACACACACCTGTACACACACACACGTGTACACACACACCTACCTGTATACACACACACACACCTGTACAAACACACGTACACACACCTGCACACACACACACCTGTACAATCTACTGTAAACTCTCACACCTGTACGATCACACAACAACAACAACAACAACCGCCATTCGCCACTAAGTGGCGGTAATGTCACCACGACGCTTGTGCCAGGCTAGGTCCACGTTAATGCCACGTGAAGTGTCGAACGCCCGCCGGCAGGAGGTCACGGGAAAGACCCAGGTGCCACGAGTCTGACTGAGATGACCGAGATGATTGGCTGATGCACCACCTGTGCCCCTACTGTGCCAACTTGCTGTGTTTTAGCCACCCGGCGCTCCGCTCGTTGTTGTGAGCGTCGCTCCTCCGCCCTCCGTTGTTGTTGGAGGGCGACTGCCTCCAATTGCCCAGTAGCGTCCTTCACGAGCCTCCTCCACAGAGGCCGATCTTGACACCGCTGGTACCAGTCATCGGCAAGTCCACTCAGCTCCACGTCCTCCTGTACCACATCACTCCATCTCTTCTCTAGCCCGTGCCGCGCATGTTTAGCCCCCTCGATCCGGCCGAACAAAAGCTGTTTAGGCATGCGGTGGCTGGGCATGCGGGCTACATGACCCAGCCAACGCACCTACCCACTCACACACACACACACCTGTACACTCACACACCTGTACACACCAACACACGTGTACACACTCCCAAACACACTCACACAAGTGTACACACTCACCTCTACACACACACACACCTGTACACTCACACTCATCTCTAGACACACACACGTGTGCACACTCACCTCTAGACACACACACACCTGTACACTCACACTCACCTCTAGACACACACACGTGTGTACACTCACCTCTACACACACACACACGTGTGCACACTCACCCTGTATACTGTCAAGACAAACATCCCCAGGGTAGCCTGTAACAGACTGTTGGGGCAAGTGCTGTTATTGAGCGCCTATGAAGGCCGGCACTGCGGCACACGAGGAAGTGGGTGGCCAGCACCACGCCCGGCCACAAACACGCAGGCAGGCAGGCACGTGCACACGCAGGCACACAGGCACGCAGTCACGCGCACACACACGCAGGCACACAGGCACGCAGTCACGCGCACACACGCACGTACACACGCAGGCACACAGGCACGCAGGCACGCGCACACACGCAGGCACGCGCACGAGCTACCGGTTCACAATGACCGTGTCGGGGAAGGCGAGCGAGAGATGCCGAGAGCCTGGGCTGCAGTCCGGGTGTCGACCGCACAGCCACAGGGAGTACAACGCTGACTCATAGCATAGACTCACTCAGAGAGCCATAGACTCACTCGGAGAGCCATAGACTCACTCAGAGAGCCATAGACTCACACAGAGAATCATAGACTCAGACTCACTCAGAGAGCCATAGACTCACTCGGAGAGCCATAGACTCACTCGGAGAGCCATAGACTCACTCGGAGAGCCATAGACTCACTCGGAGAGCCATAGACTCACTCGGAGAGCCATAGACTCACTCGGAGAGCCAGACTCACTCAGAGAGCCATAGACTCACTCAGAGAGCCATAGACTCACACAGAGAGCCATAGACTCACACAGAGAGCCATAGACTCACTCGGAGAGCCATAGACTCACTCAGAGCCATAGACTCACACAGAGATTCATAGACTCACTCAGAGCCATAGACTCACACAGAGAATCATAGACTCACACAGAGAATCATAGACTCACACAGAGAATCATAGACTCACACAGAGAGCCACGGACTCGCACGTAGACCCACGGACTCGCACGGAGATCCACAGACTCACACAAGAGACCCACAGACCCACAGAGACCCACGGACTCGCAGAGACTCACGGACTCACAGAAACCCACGGCCTCGCACAGAGACCCACGGACTCACACGGAGACCCACGGACTCACGGAGACCCACGGACTCAGAGACCCACGGACTCACAGAGACCCACAGACTCACACGGAGACCCACGGACACCCACAGAGACCCACGGACTCACAGAGACCCACAGACTCACACAGAAACCCACGGAATCACACAGAGACCCACAGACTCGCATAGAGACCCACGGACTCACAGAGACCCACGGACTCAGAGACCCACGGAGACCCACGGACTCACACGGAGACCCACGGACTCGCACGGAGACCCACCGACTCACAGAGACCCACGGACTCACAGAGACCCACGGACTCACACAGAGACCCACGGAGATCCACGGACTCGCACGGAGACCCACGGAGACCCACAGAGACCCACGGACTCACACAGAGACCCACGAAGACCCACGGACTCACAGAGACCCACGGACTCACACAGAGACCCACGGACTCACACGGAGACCCACGAAGACCCACGGAGACCCACGGACTCACTGCCGACCGGCATCAGAGCGCTCCGCACGCGCCACGTGACGAGGTGTCGTCCTGCGGAGCGGCGCGTCACATCTGTGGCCGCCTCGACAGGTCAACGTCGCCTTCCTCCATTGCGTACTTCCTCTGTGGTGGCCACCACGAGGAGTGGGAGGGTAGGAGGTCTGGCCCTCCCCTAGGTTGACGCAGCCTTAAGATGATAACGCGTGGCTGGGGTGCGCGGTTGGTGGGGGCGGTGGGCACGTCGGGCACTTGAGGGGGTGGGGGAGAGACAAAGGCGGCCGGGTGACGTGGTTTCTGGTTTCTGAACCAAGTCTCCTCTGACCCCCCCCCCACCCCTTCCCCGTGTGGACCGTGACGCTTTTTATTTGAAATGACGTCTTTGATGACTGTAATCAATACAAATTAACCCGTAAAAACAAAGTTTTTCACTATGAATCCTTTATATGCGCGGCATCGGTTTTATTTTATTATTTATTTCTGTTTTTCTTGAGTAAGAGTTTCATTTTTATCACATTGGTATTTTAAATTAAATATTAAAAAAAAATTCCTAAAAAGTGGAAAATTGTGGATTTTTTTTCACGAAAATAAATTGTCACGCACAACGAGTCTATGTGCAAAATTTCAGCTCGATTGGGTTAAAAACGACCGAAAGATTTGCACGGTCGTAAGCGCGCAAGCAAGCAAGTGAACTTAATATAAAGGATTTAAAAATAAAAACGCTCTACGTTTTCGAGTGCGTGTTAGAGTCGACGCAAAGTGCAGGCCAGCGCACGCGCCGTGGTATAAACTAAACAACTTGTTTCGTAGTTACAAGGCAGGGCCCCAGCTGCCGTGGAGGTCTCTGTCAGAAGCGACGTGGCCACCACAAGCAGCTCAACCAAGAGGCCGATACCACCATCATCATCGTCATCATCGTCATCATCATCGTCGTCGTCATCTTCATCGTGGACAGCTATAGCAGCAGCCAAACAGTCTAAGCGATCGGTGGCAATGTTGACTCTCGATGTGGAGGGAGAAAATCCGGAGGACCCGGAGACTAAATCCACGCGACCACGGGGAGAGAGAGAGACGCAAACTCCAAATATACAGCAGAAGCAGCAGGCGTCAGGGTCGGGGTCGAACCCACGACCTCCTGTAGACCAGGCGAGGAAGTCAACATCTCATAGCCGCCGTGATGATGATGATGAGAGAGAGGCACAAACTCTGGATATACAGCAGCAGGCGATCGGGTCGGGGTCGAACCCACGACCTCCTGTATACCAGGCGAGGTGGTCAACATCTCCTGGCCACCGTGATGATGATGAGAGAGACACACAAACTCCAAATATACAGCAGGCGTCAGGGGTCGGTATTGAACCCACGACCTCCTGCACACCAGGCGAGGTAGTCAACATCTCCTGGCCACCGTGGCGCCCCTCTGTACATCACGCTCGACCGTGTCCACGTGCGGTATGTGCACACACACCCACACACACACACACTCACCTTCACACACCTACACCCACACACACCTACACACACACCCACACACACGCGCCTACATACACACACACCTACACTCACTCACCTGTACACTCACTCACCTGTACACACACACACCTGTAAACACACACCTGCCCACTCACTCACCTGTACACTCACTCACCTGCCCACTCACTCACCTGCCCACTCACTCACCTGCCCACTCACCTGTATACTAACCTGCCCACTCACCTGTACACTAACCTGCCCACTCACTCACCTGTACACTCACCCGTACACTCACTCCCCTACACACACACACACCTACACAAACTCACCTGTACACTCACTCACCTGTACACTCACTCACCTGCCCACTCACTCACCTGCCCACTCACCTGTATACTAACCTGCCCACTCACTCACCTGTACACTCACCCGTACACTCACTCCCCTACACACACACACACACACACCTACACAAACTCACCTGCCCACTCACTCACCTGCCCACTCACTCACCTGCCCACTCACTCACCTGCCCACTCACTCACCTGCCCACTCACTCACCTGCCCACTCACTCACCTGCCCACTCACTCACCTGTACACTCACACACCTGCCCACTCACTCACCTGCACACTCACACACCTGCCTACTCACTCACCTGTACACTCACACACCTGCCTACTCACTCACCTGTACACACACACACCACTCACCTCGTGTACAAAGTCACCTTGTGTAGTGTCAAAACAAAGGCAGAAACCCCCCGTGTATCCTGTAACAGACTGCAGGGGGCTGTGAGCGAGTAGCAGCAGCACCTGTGAAGGCTGCCGGCGCTGTGGCACACGAGGGGGTGGGTGGCCAGCACCACGCCCGGCCGCCTTTGTCTCCCCATTGGCGATGTTCAGACACCGCACCACTATACCACTACACCAGTACATTCACCCACCCACACACACTCATCATGTAAAACACACACCTACATACACACTCACCTGTACACACCTATACACTGTACTCACTGCTACATACACACCTACACACACACACCTGTACACTAACCTGTACACTCACCTATACACACACACACCTACACACATACCTGTACATAAACACACCTGTACACTCACCTATACACACACACACACCTACACACATACCTGTACATAAACACACCTGTACACTCACCTATACACACACCTACACACATACCTGTACATAAACACACCTGTACACTCACCTATACACACACACCTACACACATACCTGTACATAAACACACCTGTACACTCACCTATACACACACACCTACACACATACCTGTACATAAACACACCTGTACACTCACCTATACACACACACACCTACACACATACCTGTACATAAACACACCTGTACACTCACCTATACACACACTCACCTATACATAAACACACCTGTGCACTCACCTATACACACACACTCACCTATACATAAACACACCTGTGCACTCACCTATACAATGTTCTCACTACTATACACACACCTCTCTACATACATACACACACCTACATACATACACTCACCTGTACATAAACACAACTGTACTCACTGCTACATACACACCTACACACACACATACACCTACACACACACATACACCTGTACATAAACACACCTGTACTCACCTATGCAATGGACTCACTACTATACACATACAAACATACACACATACACACACTCACCTGTACAACCCACACACCTTTACACTCACCCATCCATACCATATAAACACACACCTGTACACACACCTGTACACACACCTGTACACACACCTGTACACACACCTGTACACACGCATCATGTAAAACAGACCTGTACACACACACACTCACCTACACACTGTACTCACTGCTACAGACACACTCACCTACACACACACACCTACACACACACACTCACTTGTACCACCTGTACACTCACCTGATGTACACCTACACACACACACCTACACACATACACACACCTACATATACACACACCTACACAACTACACACAGACACCTGTACACACCTACATATACACACACCTGTACACACACACACACACCTGTACACACTCACCTGATGCACACCGAGATACGCGACCGAGGCCGATCTCATCGGAACACCACAAATCGATTCCCCGTCTTCTCTCCCCAGTTCCGGGGGGGGCGGTGGTGGTGGTGTGTGGTGTGTGGGGGGAGGAGGAGGTCGCTTTAAGAGCGGCTGAGCAGGACTTTCCGCATTCCTATCGTGCTTAGAAAATATAAATTAAAAATACCCAGAGCCCGCCTTTAAATCGTAGCCGCAAATTAAGTCGCACGCACTGCGCGCGAATTGGCCGTCAAACACCCCCTGGGCGCCGCCTCAAGTGGTACGGTCGGCCCATTGAAATGAATGGGCGACTCGGGCGAATCCATTCGCGTGAGAGGGGGGGGGTAAAGTACCCAGTTCAATTAAATCCGTGACAACGCAAAGCACCTCCGAGGTGCTTACTAACAACACCCCCATGCCTGGGTGTTGCTCGTTAGTGGTACGGTCCGAATTGAGCGACTTGGGCGGATGTATTCGAGTTAGAAGGGTAGGAAGGTGGGGGTCTAAGCACCCAGATCATTTAAATCCATAACATATAGACGACATGTAAAGATAAAAACACCCCGTGTGAGATAAAAAAACACCCCTGTCTCGTGTCATATATGGTACGGTCTGCCCGTAGAAACTAATAGGCGACTTGGGCGAATCCATGCGCGTTAGAGGGGGGCTCAGGGTGGGGTCTAAGAAGCTGATAAAAGTCTCTCATCAACCAAAGATGATGGATCCTTGAAGTCACGAAAACTTCAAATCGATAATTGATAAAAGTCTGTTGAAAAAAAATCTGGAACGTATTATTTATATTTCATCACACCCCTGTGCCGTGTGATAATGGCACGGTCCGGTCATTGAAACTAATGAGCGACTTGGACGAATCCATTTAATTTAGAGAGGGGGGCAGGGGGGGGGGGCTTAAGTTTTCAGTTCATTTCAATCCGTGACAAAAACCCACTCACCCTGCAACGTGAATAAAAACCCCTACGCGGTGCCGCAGTGGTACGCTCCGCCATATGAATGAATGTCACATGGACTGGTCCAAATACACACTCTGAGTTCTTTCGGTAAAAGTCACCATGGAGGTAAAAAATGAAGTAAAAATTAATAAAAATAAAACAATAAAAATCACGACGTTTCGGAGGCAACACAAGCTTCCGTCTTCAGGTGAAACCGTCACAGGAAAATATCTGTACCTTATATAGTGGTTAAGGTACAGATATTTTGCTGTGACGGTTTCACCTGAAGATGGAAGCTTGTGTTGTCTCCGAAACGTCGTGATTTTTATATTTTAATTTCATTTTTTTACCTACACGGTGACTCTACCGAAAGAACTAAGAGTATGAATCCTTGCAGTCACGAAAGCTTCAAATCTAGAATTGATCCAAATTCGTTAGAGGGGGGGGGGGGGTAAGTAAATAACTGCACGTTAAAACCACCCCCCTTTGAATGTCAATAATGGTATGACCCACGGGTTGCGACCGGGTTGACGTGAACGGACTTGGACCAATCCATTCCTGAGCGGGTGCACGAAGTCCCAAGTCCACTTTCGATCTGACAATAAAACAACCCCCACACAACACGTGCAAAGGTTGATATTAAACACCCACCCCCCTCTTCTCGGTGTCACGATGGTACGGTCCGGACGTTGAAATGAATGCGACACTTGGGGACTGATCCATTCGCGAATTTAATGTCAAAATCAGACTAAACCATTGCACCGCAATAATAGGGATGCTGTCAAATTCAAATCGCCTTCATTACATTAACGTAACGATGCATGGATAAACCAATCATCACGTTGTGAAGTGACTCACGCAGCCAGCTATGGCTGCAGGGTTTGGTAGTACAAGTTGTTTAGGTCGTATACTGTGAAGTTTCGATCCACAGTTCCTATGATCACTGTTACATTGCTTTTATGGCTTTATTTTGGTTTGGCCATGTTTGTGTTGTTGTAGTACGGAGTTAGACTGATGGCTTTAATCTAAGTTGTCTTGTGGTTGTTGTTGTTTGACTTGCATCTCACTAGGATGTTTGCCCAGCGTTGGTGTACGGTGATTTTTTCTGAAAAACTTTGCAGTTTTTTACTGAATTTTTCCGTTTGTGCATTGTCACAGTCACTTTAAGATGTTTTCTTGTTTTTGTGTTTTGTTTGTTGCGGTTGCACCCGATTCAAGAGCCGAATGGCTCACATGGCGACATCTAATACATGAAACTGAAAATCACAGTTTTAGATCTGGACAGTTTCTGGGATCACCACCACCACTAACCACACAAACGCAGTCCAGGTGCTACAATAGTGGCGAGTTTGGAGGGCAGGACAACCCCACTGTTGTACCGCACTTCTATGCGACCCGCAATATGACCAGCGTGGTGAAGTATGGTCAAATGATAACCGCCGCTCCCTCTTCAAATCTTTCTTCTGTTTGCCTCGAGGCGCTGTTCTCTGCTGCTCGTGAGGCCGCGGCCAGCGAGGAGGAGGCTGCTGCCATCAGAGCCGTGTTGGTCGTTTGCGTGTCCACCACAAGCACTCTGTGTGTGTCACACTGTGTGACACTGTCACTCTCTGTGCGTGTCACACTGTGTCACACTGTGTGTCACACTGTGTGTCACACACACACAACAACCGCCATTCGCCACTAAGTGGCGGTGACGTCACCACGACGCTTGTGCCAGGCCATGTGCACCTTGAGGCCACGTGAAGTGTTGAACGCCCGCTGGCAGGTCACGGGGCAGACCCAGCAGGTGCCACGGGTCGACTGAGATGACCGAGATGACTGGCTGATGCACCACCTGTGCCCCCTACTGTACCAACTTGCTGTGCTTTAGCCACCCGGCGCTCCGCTCGTTGTTGTGAGCGTCGCTCCTCCGCCCTCCGTTGTTGGAGGGCGACTGCCTCAACTGCCCAGTAGCGTCCTTCACGAGCCTCCTCCACAGAGGCCGATCTTGACACCGCTGGTACCAGTCATCGGCAAGTCCACTCAGCTCCACGTCCTCCTGTACCACATCACTCCATCTCTTCTCGAGCCCGTGCCGCGCCCGTTTAGCCCCCTCGATCCGGCCGAACAAAAGCTGTTTAGGCATGTGGTGGCTGGGCATGCGGGCTACATGACCCAGCCAACGCAGCCTTGCCTGCCGGAGGAGCTCACCGATGGGACTTTGCCCAGATCTTTCAAGGATTTGTGAGCTCCTCACACAATCCAGCCTGTAGGTTAAACCCAGGATGGATCGTAGGCAGGCCAGCCTCAATGTTTCTAACTGGCAAAGATGTTCCATTAGGGGGGTCCACAACAGACACACGCAAGACAAACAACCCCCCCCCCCCCCCCACGTGTCGCTCTCAACAAGACGGACTCGACAACGATGAGCATCGCGTCCCGTTGTTATTGAACCGCGAGGACATTCCTCACTGTTCACTTCGCCAGGTGAGAGGCTCCGTTCACATCCACCCCAGCGTCCTCTCTTCAACCAGCCGGATGTAACAAGCCTGGGAGAGTCGGCTCGAAGTGAACTTGTAAGGCGCCAGCAACAGGTCCACTGCGACCTTCTTTATTCAACCAAACAAGAAAAACAACTCATCGGGACACTCACCACCACCACCACCACGTATCCTACACCACGCCAGAGTCCGCCGAGAGCAAACTCATCGTCGCTCTTTGAACTCACCCACTCGCTCACCCGCTCATGGACTCACCCACTCACCTACCCACTCACCTACCCACTCACTCACCCACTCGCTCACTCACTCGCTCACTCACTCACCGACCCACGCACTCACCCGCTCACCTACCCAGCCATTCGTTAACCCTCTCACTCACCCACCCAAATGAGCCTCCCTCTCTCCTGGTCTCTCTCTCGAGTTCTCGCTACGCTACACACACTCAACCCCTACCCTCCATTTACCCTTCGTGCCTGTCTGTCTGTCTCCGTGCCCCCCACTCTGTCCGTGGTGGTTGTGGTGGTGATAGTGGTGGTAGCGGTGTTGTTGGTGGTAGTGGTGGTCGTGTTGGTGGTAGTGGTGGTAGCGGTGTTGTTGTTAGTGGTAGTGGTGGTGGTGATAGTGGTGGTAGTGGTGATAGTAGTGATAGTGGTGGTAGTGGTGGTCGTGTTGGTGGTAGTGGTGGTAGCAGTGTTGTTGTTAGTGGTAGTAGTGGTAGTAGTGGTGGTCGTGTTGGTGGTAGTGGTATTGTTGTTGGTGGTGGTCGTGTTGGTGGTAGTGGTGGTAGCGGTGTTGTTGTTGGAAATCACAACCGTCCCTACAGTCCGCCCCCCCTGCCCCCCCCTGCCCCCCCCCTGCCCCCCCCCCCCCCCCGCTAGACGGCGTCCCCAGGCAGCACGCGTCCGCGCTTGCGCGCCTGCTGCCGCTTGCGCTCGGCGCGGCCGCGGCGCTTTTCGGCGACGTTGCCGTCGCGCCGCTGCTGCCGCCGGCTCTGCCGCTGGCTCAGCTCCCCGGCACGAGCCTCCCAGCGCCGCTGCCGCGCCGCCTTCAACTTCTGCTGGCGCTTCAGCGCCGAGCGCAAGCGCACCGGGTCCTCCTTGAGCTTCACTCCCTGGGGGGGGGGGGGGGGGGCGGGGAGAGGTGGAGATGTTGATGTTGGTGTTAAACGTTGGGGTTCATGTTGGTGATGATGATGGCGATGCTGACGATGATGTTGGCGATGATGTTGGCGTTAAACGTTGCTGTTGATGTTGGCGTTGATGGCGATGCTGGGGTTGATTTTGGTGATGATGTTGGTGCTGATGTTGGTGATGATGTTGGTGATGATGTTGGTGATGATGCTGGCGTTAAACGTTGGTGTTGATGTTGGTGATGATGTTGGTGCTGATGTTGGTGATGATGTTGGTGATGATGCTGGTGATAATGTTGGCGTTAAACGTTGGTGTTGATTTTGGTGATGATGTTGGTGCTGATGTTGGTGATGATGTTGGTGATGATGCTAGTGATAATGTTGGCGTTAAACGTTGGTGTTGATGTTGGCGTTGATGGCGATGCTGGGGTTGATGTTGGTGATGATGTTGGTGATGATGTTGGCGATGATGCTGGTGATGATGTTGGCGTTAAACGTTGGTGCTGATGTTGGCGTTGATGGCGATGCTGGGGTTGATGTTGGCGTTGATGTTGGCGATGATGCTGGCGTTGATGGTGATGTTGGCGTTAAACGTTGGTGTTGATGTTGGCGATGATTGCGATGTCGGAGTTGAACGTTGGTGCTGATGTTGGCGTTGATGGCGATGCTGGGGTTGATGTTGGCGTTGATGGTGATCTTGGCGCTGATCTTGGCGCTGATGGTGACGTTCATGACGACGATGTTCATGACGGCGGTGATGTCGACGGCGATGTTGGCGGTCGATGATGATGTTGGGGTTGGCGTTGATGTTGGCGTTGTTCGTGTTGATGACGATGATGTTGTTGATATTGTTGATGATGTTGACGATGACGATGTTGTTGATGTTGCTGATGATGACGCTGTTGTTGAAATTGCTAATGATGACGATGTTGTTGATGTTGCTGATGATGACGCTGTTGTTGATGTTGTTGTTGCTAATGATGACGATGTTGTTGATGTTGTTGATGTTGCTAATGATGACGCTGTTGTTGATGTTGTTGTTGCTAATGATGACGATGTTGTTGATGATGACGATGTTATTGATGTTGCTGATGTTTATGTTGTTGATGATGACGATGTTGTTGATGTTGTTGATGTTGCTAATGATGACGATGTTGCTGATGTTGTTGATGTTGCTAATGATGACGATGTTGTTGATGTTGTTGTTGCTAATGATGACGATGTTGTTGATGATGACGATGTTGTTGATGTTGCTGATGTTTATGTTGTTGATGATGACGATGTTGTTGATGTTGTTGTTGATGTTGCTAATGATGACGATGTTGTTGATGTTGTTGATGTTGCTAATGATGACGATGTTGCTGATATTGTTGATGACGATGTTGTTGATGTTGCTGATGTTTATGTTGTTGATGATGACGATGTTGTTGATGTTGTTGTTGATGTTGCTAATGATGACGATGTTGCTGATGTTGATGAAGACGATGTTGATGATGTTGATGATGACGATGATGATGTTGTTTATGTTGTTGATGATGTTGTTTATGTTGTTGTTGATGCAGCGGCCACCTGTGCCTTGTAGAGGGCGTTGCTCCAGCGCTGCTTCTCCTCCACGCGTCTCGCCAGCTCCTCCTCCCCCCTCTCACGAGCCGCCGTCACAGCCCCCACCCTCTGCTCCACCCTGACCCCACCACCACCATCACCATCATCACTATCACCATCACTATCACCATCACCACTGCCATCATCATCACCATCACCACCATCACTATCACCATCACCACCACCATCACTATCACCATCATCACCACCATCACTATCACCATCACCACCACCATCACTATCACCAACAACGATTATATTGATGGTGGTTGTAGCGGTGGTAGTTGGTGGTGATGGTACCGGTAGTGGTGGTGATGGTGGTGGCGATGGTGGTGATGCTAATAGTAGTGGTGGCAATGGCGATGGTAGTGGTGGCGATGCTAGGGGTGGTAGTGGTGGCGGTGGTGGTGCTGCTAGGGGTGATGCTAGGGGTGGTAGTGATGGTGCTGTTGATGCTAGGGGTGATGGTGTTGATGGTGGTGCTAGGGGTGATGGTGCTGGTGTCTCACCGGGCGAGCAGCTGCTTGTAGTTCTTCCCGGTGAGGGGGGTCACCCCGCCGATGGACGCCGCTCGCTGGGCCCGGCGCTTCTCCGCCCGGCTCCGGGGCGCCCCCCCCACCCGCTCCCTCTCCTCCTCGACGCCGTCAAACGTCAGGCGGCTGAAATTCAGGGCCCCCTTCTTGGCGCCGGCAACGCCGCCGCCACCGCCGCCGTCGCCTTTGCCCGGTTTCCCCGTCGCTCCCTCCCGGCTCGCCGACTCCGCTGCCGCCGTGGCCCGGACCTCAAGTTTCACCGTTTTCCCGCCGGCCCCGGCACTCCGCGGTGGCACGCCGCCTCTCGGGCCTCCCTCGCCGCCTACCGCTCTCGCCCCAACGCCGGCTTTGGCCCCAACTCCGGCTTTGGCCCCAACTCCGGCTTTGGCCCCAACTCCGGTTCCGGCTTTGGCCCCAACTCCGGTTCCGGCTTTAGCCCCAACTCCGGTTCCGGCTTTGGCCCCAACTCCGACTCCGTCTCCGCCTCCGGCCCCGGCTCCGGGGAGTCCGGCCTGGTCGTCCGTTGGCGCCGCCGCCGCCGCGGCCCCCGCGCTCCGCTTGCGCCCGGACTTCTTGGCCTGGCTCTTGGCGCGCTGCTCCTTCCGCTGCTCCTTCTTGCGCCGCCGCCCCTCCTGGCGCCGCAAGCGCCGCTCGTCGGCGGTGTCGGCGGTGGCGGCGCTGCCTGAGGCACCCGCCGGCTGTGGGGGGCGACACGGGGACGGGGGGAGGTGTTGGTGGTGACGGTGGTGGTGATGGTAGTGATGTTCTAGATGGTATTGGTGGTGGTGATGGTGGTGATGGTTGCGGTGGTGGTGGTGATGGTAGTGATGGTGGTTGTGGTAATGGTGGTAATGGTAGTGATGGTAGTGATGGAGGTGATGGTAGTGATGGAGGTGATGGTGGTGATGGTGGTGGTTGTGGTGATGAAGTTGATGGTGGTGATGGTGTCGGTGATGATGGTGGTGATGATGGTGATGGTGGTGATGGTAGTGATGGTAGTGATGGTGGTTATGGTGGTGGTGATGGTGGTGATGGTGGTGATGGTGATGATGGTTGGTGGTAGTGATGGAGTTGATGGTGTTGATGGTGGTGATGGTGGTGGTGATGATGGTAGTGATGGTGGTGATGATGATGGTGGTGGTGATGGAGTCTCACTCTTCTATGTGGTTTCTTCATCTCTGCTGCCTTCTCCTGGAGTCGAAGTCTCAGCATGGCCAGCGCAGAGCCTCCTGTAACACAGTAGCACACACAGCACCTACAGCACACACCTACAGCAGCTACAGCACACACCTACAGCAGCTACAGCCAGCACCTACAGCACCGACAGCAGCTACAGCCACTACAGCATCTACAGCACACACCTACAGCACGCAGCTACAGCACCTACAGCACACACCCACAGCATACACCTACAGCAGCTACAGCACACACCACACTACAGCACATCTACACAATGCTCATACTGACACAGCTGACGATGCCGATGACGACGGTGATGATGGTGACGGTGATGATGGTGACGGTGATGATGGTGACGGTGATGATGGTGACGGTGATGATGGTGACGGTGATGATGGTGACGGTGATGATGGTGACGGTGATGATGGTGACGGTGATGATGGTGACGGTGATGATGGTGACGGTGATGATGATGACGGTGATGATGGTGACGGTGATGATGATGACGGTGATGATGGATGACGGTGATGATGGTGACGGTGATGATGGTGACGATTTGGTGACGGTGACGATGGTGACGGTGATCGATGGTGACGGTGACGATGGTGACGGTGATGATGGTGACGGTGATGATGATGACGGTGATGATGTGACGGTGAGATGTGACGGTGACGATGGTGACGGTGATGATGGTGACGGTGATGATGGTGACGGTGATGATTGGTGACGGTGATGTGATGATGACGGTGATGATGGTGACGGTGATGATGATGACGGTATGATGGTGACGGTGATGATGGTGACGGTGATGATGGTGACGGTGATGATGGTGACGGTGATGATGGTGACGGTGATGATGGTGACGGTGATGATGGATGACGGTGATGATGGTGACGGTGATGATGGTGACGGTGATGATGGTGACGGTGATGATGGTGACGGTGATGATGGTGACGGTGATGATGGTGACGGTGATGATGGTTGACGGTGATGATGGTGACGGTGATGATGATGACGGTGATGATGGATGACGGTGATGATGATGTGACGGTGATGATGGTGACGGTGATGATGGTGACGGTGATGACGTTGATGACGGTGATGAGGTGACGGTGATGATGGTGACGGTGATGATGGTGACGGTGATGATGGTGACGGTGATGATGATGACGGTGATGATGGTGACGGTGATGATGGTGACGGTGATGATGGTGACGGTGATGATGGTGACGGTGATGATGGTGACGGTGATGATGGTGACGGTGATGATGGTGACGGTGATGATGGTGACGGTGATGATGGTGACGGTGATGATGATGACGGTGATGATGGTGACGGTGATGACGGTGATGACGTTGATGTGACGGTGATGATGGTGACGTGATGATGGTGACGGTGATGTGATGATGGTGACGGTGATGATGATGACGGTGATGATGATGACGGTGATGATGGTGACGGTGATGATGGTGACGGTGATGATGGTGACGGTGATGATGGTGACGGTGATGATGGTGACGGTGATGATGGTGACGGTGATGATGGTGACGGTGATGATGGTGACGGTGATGATGATGACGGTGATAATGACGGTGATGATGGTGACGGTGATGATGACGCTGATGATGACGCCGTTACCCTCGCTGTGCCCGCCCACCACCACCGCCGCCGCCGCCACCGCCGTTGTCCCCGTGGTCTTCGTCCGTGCCGCCACCTCCTCCACCTTGCGTCTCTTCCCCGCGTGGCACTCCGGGCTCTGTGGGGTCAACCTCGCTCCACCTGGGGGGGGGGGGGGGGGGGGGGGGGGGGTGACAAGCGGCCACCGTGAACCTCCCAGAGAGACAGGCCGCTGCACCCAAGGCTCAAACCCGGTCCCTCAGTTCACGTGCGAGGGCCTCCATCGTGGTGCCCCCCCCCCCCACCCCGCCCCCCCACCTCGTGCGCCGTGCCGACCTTCAGGGGTGCTGCTACTCGCTAACGGCACTTGCCCCAACAGTCTGTTCGGGCTATATGGGGGATCTTTGTCTTTGCGTGTCAATACATGTGGGGAGCGGTGGCGCAGCGGTTAGCGCTACGCCGCACTGCAAACCCGGCGGCCCGAGTTCGATTCCCGCTCACGGCCTGCACCGGTGACGGTTATCTGAACCGGTCCTGGGCCTCCTCTACGTCGGCTCAGCCTCAAACGAGTACCTGATGCGGGGTGTAGTAAACATCGCCACTAGGGAGACAATGGCGGCCGAGCGTGGTGCTGGTCACGCACCACCTCCTGTGCCGTGCCGGCCTTCATAGGCGCTGCTACTCGCTACTAACAGCACTTGCTGTGACTGTGTGTCTATGAGACTGTGTGTGTGTGTGCTGTGTGTCACTGTGTGTGTGTGTCACTGTGTGTCACTGTGTGTGTCACTGTGTGTGTGTGTGTGTCACTGTGTGTGTCACTGTGTAGGTGTCACCATGCTGTGTGTGTGTGTGTGTCACTGTGTGTGTCACCATGCTGTGTGTGTGTGTCACTGTGTGTGTCACTGTGTGTGTGTGTCACTGTGTGTGGGTGTGTGTGTCACTGTGTGTGTGTCACTGTGTGTGTCACCGTGCTGTGTGTCACTGTCACTGTGTCACTGTGCGTGTCACTGTGTGTGGGTGTGTGTGTGTCACTGTGTGTGTGTCACCGTGCGGTGTGTGAGCCCGGGTCCCAGTCACAGGGGGAGCTGCGCTTCGCTTCGCCAGGCGCATCAGGAAGCTGTCGCGAGCCACCAACGCCTCCATCGTGAGCCCTGCAAGACGCACAACACGCCATCGCAAGGGTCGAGGTTGGTTTCACGTAGCGCGATGAGAACGCAACAGACCAGAGATTGAGGCATCTCATCCTCAAGCGTGACCTCCCGGGCCAGCGATTGATTCTCAACCTCGCCTGGCTACTCCGATTATCACCCTTGTTGGATTGAGTTTCAACCGAGTGGTAACCTCCCCTCCCCGCCCGCACGCCTTGCCTGGCCCCACGTGGTTCCAGAAATAATTGTATGAATGATGAACATCGGTGCTTTAACCGATTCTCCATTTTGTGAGGTAAATTCTAAATTAGCTATTTAACTGCAAGCGAATACCATGGGAGTTGTCCAGTTCACCATGGGAATCCATATTACCATGGAAGTCCAGTTCACCATGGGATTCCAGTTCACCATGGGAGTCCAGTTCACCATGGGAATCCATATTACCATGGGAGTCCAGTTCACCATGGGATTCCAGTTCACCATGGGAGTCCAGTTCACCATGGGAATCCAGTTTACCATGGGAGTCCAGTTCACCATGGGAGTTGTCCAGTTCACCATGGGAGTTCAGTTCACCATGGGAGTTCAGTTCACCATGGGAGTCCAGATCACCATGGGATTCCAGTTCACCATGGGATTCCAGTTCACCATGGGAGTCCAGTTCACCATGGGAATCCAGTTCACCATGGGAGTCCAGTTCACCATGGGAGTTGTCCAGTTCACCATGGGAGTTCAGTTCACCATGGGAGTTCAGTTCACCATGGGAGTCCAGATCACCATGGGATTCCAGTTCACCATGGGATTCCAGTTCACCATGGGAGTCCAGTTCACCATGGGAATCCAGTTCACCATGGGAGTCCAGTTCACCATGGGAGTCCAGATCACCATGGGAGTCCAGTTCACCATGGGAGTTGTCCAGTTCACCATGGGAGTTCAGTTCACCATGGGAGTTCAGTTCACCATGGGAGTTCAGTTCACCATGGGAGTCCAGATCACCATGGGAATCCATATTACCATGGGATTCCAGTTCACCATGGGATTCCAGTTCACCATGGGAGTCCAGATCACCATGGGAGTTCAGTTCACCATGGGAGTCCAGTTCACCATGGGAATCCAATTTACCATGGGAGTCCAGTTCACCATGGGAGTTGTCCAGTTCACCATGGGAGTCTAGATCACCATGGGAGTCCAGTTCACCATGGGAGTCCAGTTCACCATGGGAGTCCAGATCACCATGGGAGTTGTCCAGTTCACCATGGGAGTCTAGTTTAGTTGTGGGCCGGGTAACTGCTGGGCCTACCCGTTCCCAGGTGCACGAGTTGAAGGGACGGCACCGTTATCCTGCGGGCTATGAACGCCTCTGACGATGCAGCAAAGACGGTGGGCAATGATGGTCTCAGGTGTGTATGTAGACATAATAAGAATATTTCGATTTAAAGCTTTCGTGACTGCAGGGATTCATCTTCTTGGTTCTTTCGGTAAAGTCACGTAGAATGGAAATAATCTAATTAAAAAAATAAAACATAATATAATAGTATTTTTATTATTATTTTATTATTTCTATTCTATAATGTTTTATTTTTATTATTTTATTATTTCCATTCTACGTGATTAACACAATATAATATAAAATTGTATTTTATTATTTACCGAAAGAACCAAGAAGATGAATCCCTGCAGTCACGAAAGCTTTAAATCGAAATATAATGTTTTATTTATTTTATTTTATTATTTCCATTCTACGTGACTTTACCGAAAGAACCAAGAAGATAATAAGACCAATTGATTATACTGCAGGACGAATCCGATGAGCTATGAAGCTTTTTCACATGTCCAGCAGGGAGCACGGGGTAAGAACGTGACAACATCATGGGGACCTCCTTGATGTTACAAAACACGACAGGCGTACAAAGTACAAGAAAGGTAAACAAATCACCCAGACACATACAAATACAACACTCAAACATCCCCATCCTACCAGGCAATGCCCCACTGAGGCATTAACTTACTGTTCAAAAGCGACCTGGGCCACCAATGATGATAGCAGCTCAGCAAAGTGGCCCGTCGTGTGGACATTTATAGCAGCAATATAATCGAAAAACTCGAAACGCATGTTTCTTAATATGGAGGGGGAGATCGGAAGACCCGGAGAAAAACATCCACGCGACCACGAGGAGAGAAAGAGACGCAGATTCCAAATATACAGCAGCAGCAGCAGGCGTCAGGGTCGGAATCGAACCCACGACCTCCTGTACACCAGGCGAGGTAGTCAACATCTCCTAGCCACTGTGGTGATGAGAGAGAGACGTAAACTCCAAATATACAGCAGCAGGGATCGAACTCACGATTTTCTCCCTGTCGGGGAGGGACTGACTCAGCCAATCACCACACCTCCCTCTGGGGTCGATAAATTTGAGTACTAGTACTTTTTTTTGGGGGGGGGGGGAGTCAACAATTGTTGTCCGATGAATTCAGCCGCTCCGGCCATAGGAAGGTGGAATTTCCACCACTGTCTCTTGCAGGGCTGTAAACGTCGTCCGAAGCCTCAATGCGACTTGGGTTCGCTTGCTGGAGTTTATGGGCGCAGTGCGCTGATCACTGCGCCACCGCTCCCCACTTGAACGCACAAAAAGAGACAAAGATCCCCCGTGTAGCCTTAACAGACTGTTGGGGCAAGTGCAGTTAGCGAGCAGCAGCAGCGCCTACTACGGCTCACGAGGGGGGGTGGGTGGCTACCAGCACCACGCCCGGCCGCCTTTGTCTCCCCCAGTGGCGATGTTCACTGCACACCGCACCAGGTTGCTAATTTGAGGCTGAGTCGACCTAGGGGAGGCACCAGGACCGGTTCTGACGCTCGTCACCGGTGGTGTTGGTGGTGGCCGTGAGTCGAACTCGGCTCTTTGCCGGGTCCGTAGCGCCCCCCCCCCACGCATTCTCGCAACGCCGATCTACACACGACGAAGATCCGTGGCCGCTTCATAGCAAAGGCACAACCGGTGACTTAAAGCGCAGCGAGCAGGCGGCTCCACGTCTAACAGATACACGAACATTAAACACGCGGTAGAGCACCCCGACCCCCCCCCCCCTCCACGTGGCCTTAGCCGCCTGAGGCCTACGTCGGGCTGTCCGGCTGCGGGAACCAGGCGAGGCCGGCGACTTCGCACGTGGATGGCGACGAGGTAACAGTTACGTTTTTTTTTGCGATTTTAACAAATAATCCTCGTTCAAGCATCTCCGATGACGGGCTAACATCCTCCGCGATGTTCCTTGGGAACGTCGCTTTGCTTACCCGATGAGAATCCGCGTTAATAACTTGGCCGCCTCCTCGGGCAAGCGAGTGTGGGCGTCAATAAAGTTACACGCAATCGTCACGTGGGCGTCTCTGCAACCCGCGCTACCAATAAAGTTATCGTCAAAATCGGCGCGCGCGGTGACGTCACCGCGTTTGCTTGTCGACGACGCGGAGCGACGCGATGACGTCGAGCAGCTCGATGACGTCACCGCGCAACAAACACAAATTCTCACGGCCTCGCAGTTGAGACACGCGCACGAGGAGGGAGGGAGGGGGGCGCCTTGGATGTCGTGGGGTGTGTCGGGGGGGACGTTGATCCATCCAGCAGTGGATTTACAAAGGAGGAGACGGTCAACGCACCGCGGCTTAACCCCGTATTCTTGTGCAGGGAATTTGAGTTTTTAGGTCCCATACGGCGAACAGCCGTTTCAATACGGACAATAATACTGGTAAGAACCCACTGGTTCCACCAGCCCACAGGGGATTATTGTGTCCGTCCATCGTGCAGTGAGGGGCTGGGTGGGGAGCGGCTGGGTGGTGGGAGGGGTGGGGCTGGGTGGGGCTGGGAGGGGCTGGGTGGGGAGGGGCTGGTCACCCCGTGGTGCCCTTATAAAACTCAACGTTTCACCTACTCACGCCGGCTTGTGCCCGCCCTCACAGTCGGCCATATTTGCGGAATACACCACGCCGCCGTTGACCCTGCAGGCCATTGACCGAGCAACCCAACGTTCCTACCAGCTCCCTCCGCAGGAGGAATGTGTTATTGAGTCTGTTTGTTTATTCTTGTGATGGGACTTGGCAGGATGAGCGTCGAGATTTTTAAGGGGCACGGGGTTACCTGTAAGGTCTGAATTTGTCTTTAAGAAGGTAGCCACTGATGAGGGGTTGACAGGTTTGTTGAAGACTTTCAAACTTGCAGTGCCAGGACTTTCAAATCCACAGGGGCACCCACACCCAGGAACCCAACCCAGGTCTTGGCAAGTGCTAGGATTTATTTTCCTCCGGGTCCTCCGGTTTTCCCCCTCCACATTTGGAAGCATGCATCGAGACTGCTGAGATGATTTTGCTGCTATAAATGTGCAACATGACAAGCCACTTTCACGAGCTGCTATCATTTGTGGCACAGGTCGCTTCTGATAAACACATCCCTCCTCCTGCGGAGGGAGCTGGTAGGAACGTCGGGTTGCTCGGTCAATGGCCTGCAGGGTCAAAGGCGGCGTGGTGTATTCCGCAAATATGGCCAACTGTGAGGGCGGGCACAAGCCGGCGTGAGTAGGTTAAACGTTGAGTTTTATAAGGGCACCACGGGGTGACCAGCACCTCCCCACCCAGCCCCACCCCTCCCACTCCCCACCCTCCCCACCTAGCCCCTCCCCACCCAGCCCCTCCCCACCTAGCCCCTCCCCACCCTCCCCTCTCCACCCAGCCCCACCCCTCCCGTTTTTGGATTCACGACGGACGGACGGACACAATAATCCCCTGTGGGCTGGTGGAACCAGGTGGTTCCTAGCAGTATAAGTTCATACCTCAGTGGGACTTTGCCTGGTGGCATGGGGATGCTAGAAGGTTGTATTTTAGTGTGTTTGGGTGATTTATTGACCGTACGTCTTTGTAATTATTGTCGTAACGTTCTTGCCCCGTGTCCCCTGCTGGACATCTGAACCTCATGGCGGTACCCCGGCTCTCGCACAATGTCCGCGATGCAGTCATCTTTAGTCTGTTGATGGCCGGCGATGCGGCAATCGACTCATCTCGACGAGCTGGACACGATGCACCACCACGGTGCGTACCGCGAGCGTTCGGGGTTTCAGCGCAATCGTCCTCGCTGCGTTTCGACATCGCGGAGTGTGGCACTGACGTTGGATCGATTGGTATCCCAGTCGCGGAGTGAAGTACACCCCTGGAAAGTGTCCCAGAAATTAAATATTTAATTGCCTCGGCCAGTTTGTATTATTTGGTGCCCCGAGGTATCGTGTGTGTAAAATAGCTTTTTAGCTCATCGGATTCCTCCAGGATAAATGTTGTGATTGTTGAGTGTATCCGACACGGCCATAATGAACCCACTGATACATCCAGACCCAGGGCTCCAACTCAAAACCTCAGCCGTGCTGGTACTGGAAGGAACCTCCTGGTTACACCAGCCCACAGGGGATTATGGTGTCCGTCCGTCGTGCATCCAAAAATGGGAGGGGTGGGGCTGGGTGGAGAGGCATGGGTGGGGGTGGGAGGGGTGGGGCTGGGTGGGGAGGGGCTGCTCACCCCGTGGTGCCCTCATAAGACTCAACGTTTAACCTACTCACGCCGGCTTGTGCCCGCCCAGTCAGCCATATTTGCAGAATACACCACGCCGCCGTTGACCCTGCAGGCCATTGACCGAGCAACCTGACGTTCCTACCAGCTCCCTCCGCAGGAATGTGTTTTAGTGCATCCGACATGGCAATTATGAACCCCATAAGACGCACCCAGGGCTCGAACCCATGATCTGAGCAGTTTCTAGTTGAGTGGCCTGCATCTGAAATGGCCATCATGAACCCACCGAGACTACTAGTTGCTAGGCTGAGACTTAGTTCATGCCACTGGCTCACTGCACAGGAAAACGATTCAGGCTTATTTTGAGCCCTCGACCCATTCCTCCCCATTATAGTTGAAGCTCGAGACTTAGCGGATGAATTTAACTGCGGCTCAAAATAATCGTGACTCACGAACAAAGCGTCTTCAAGCCTAGCGGCGGATTTCATATTGCAGAAGCTTAATCGGCCATGAGCGTCCCACTGCTGGATGAGGTCACCCCAGACTGATCGTGATACTCAGCCTCAAGACACTGGTCCTGAGACCCGGTCTCAACTCGTGATAATGGTCCCGAGACCCGGTCTCAACTCTAGACACTGATCCTGAGACCTGGCCTCAACTCTAGATACTGATCCTGAGACACGGTCTCAAGACACGGACCTCGACATCCGGTCTCGAGACTTTAGATGACAAACTGAAAGCACATTCATTTCAGAGCATTTTTTTACTTTATTGGATTTCACAGGAAACAACTTTTTTTTTCTTCCACAATCCAAGAATCGTTCGCAAAATAAAGTGGCATAAAAAATATACAAAAAAAAACATTTTAACTCATATAGCACAACAGTCACTTGTTAACATCAAAACTGTGTGTGTATACTGTGTACACAGTGCATTTTACATTCAAAAATATTCTTAACATGCAAAAAAGCATTCATGACACGTAATAATGATCTGGCCCAATGTGTTCTAATACCAGAGCAAGGTTAAGAAGAGAGGCCTAAGGTTAACAGGTGTGACGTTCCTATGTATTATATACTGCCAACAAAATTAAGTCAAACATACTTATTAATTTTCCTCTGTAAAAAAAGTAATATTTATTCGACTCAAGGTAAATGTAATCAAACATTAAATCACTCGACACGCTACTTTATTCAAACTAACTTTTGTCCCGCTGGCTGTGGCAGTCACAAATTATGTCATCGCTCGCCGTCAACACGGAACGGAGGGCCTAAGGCCTCGTTAAGCCAGTGGGCTAATCCAGCCCCGCCGAATAAAAAACAAACTATTTTTGTTGTATTTACCGGGCCGTTAAAAAAACGCCTACACACCGCGCGACGATTTGATCGGCCCCAGTTGGATGATGGACGGTCCCTAACGATACACACTTTTGTGCCAGATCATTTGCGTAGCTTTGACTCCACAACTCTACGACGAATCACACCAGCTGATAGAACCACCCCCTTGACCATGCTACGAGTCACCGTGTTCTCCCACGTTACAAGGGTGGCACACATCACAAACAGCGTTTGCCTCTCCCAAAACAGCCTGTTAACGGCTAACTTTATTAACGAGTTGAAAGCGCACCGAAAACTTTCCCAAGCGGCTTGCAGTCAGAAAGCGGTAATTACGCATCACACACACACAAGGATGTAAAAGCAAATCGATAGACCCCAAAAAGCAATATATTATACTGTCAGCAAATAAGATATTTTTTTCTCCTCACCCACCCAAGTCTTTATTATTCATTTAAGAATACCGAGATGTGGATCATTGCCACTCAAAACTCAACGTTGTAATTTCCGAGATTACGGCACTCCCCACCGCAGCCGCCTCTCGAGTTTAGAAGGGGAATCTCTCGGTATTCACCGAGTAGCCCGAAGCAATTGGAGAGTTCACGAGTCAACACACAAGCAGTAGAGGGGCCCTGTCCCCTTGTGAATACATCGTCTCAGCTGTCGATTTTTACGCAAAATTGAGGGCAACAACTTCCCAGAAACCTGAAGCCACCACACATTCCCATGTACACATATTGATGAGTGGCACCCTCACATTAATAGAATCTCTGATACGGCTATATATTAATATATAAAACATCAGGAAAAGCTTTAACTTATTACGATCCGCAGTTCGATCTGGATCACTTACAATCTGTACGGCGATTTGGTTTGTCGTTGTTGTTACAGTGCGGAGTTTATGTCCACACCGGTTCAATTACGATTTCAAATGGAATTTCCTACAACGGAGTCCAACTTGAGATATTATCCCGCAACTCAATAGTTACAAAGGTTACATTTCAAACTCCCAAAAACCAAATCGAATTCACCTCCTCACCACCACCACCTTCTTGGGCAAGCCACTCATCCACCAATCCATTCTCACATTCTCACCACCTCCTCCACCCACCAACTCACCACCTCAATCCACCTCTTCGATCGTCGGCCCCGACCCCGAGCCGGACTGTGCTCCCCCGCCGCCGGGCGTGGGCCCCCCGGGGAAGCCTCCCGGCGGAGCGCCGGCACCACCGGCGCCCTGGTACATCTTGGTGACGACGGGGGTGCACACCTTCTCCAGCTCCTTCAGCTGGTGCTGGAACTCCTCCGTCTCGGCCGTCTGGTTCTTGTCGAGCCAGTCGAGCGCCTCGGTGCACTTGTCGAGCACGCGCTTGCGGTCGTCGTCGCCGATCTTCTGGCTGGCGCCCTCCTCGCTCATGGCGCTCTTCATGTTGAACGCGTACGACTCGAGCGAGTTCTTGGCGGAGACCCTCTCGCGCTGAGCGTCGTCCTCAGACTTGTAGCGGTCTGCGTCCGACACCATGCGCTCAATCTCCTCCTGGGAAGCGGCGAGGGGGAGAGGGCGAGGAAGAGAATGATGATGATGATGAGGCCGATCCTTATGGCGGTGTCAACCCAAAGACACTGACCCAGAGACCTGGTCTCAACTCTAGACATTGACCAAGACCCAGTCTCAACCCCGAGACCCAGTCTCAACTCCAGATATTGACCAAGACCCAGCCTCAACCCAAGACACTGACCCTAAGACCCGGTCTCAACTCTAGACACAGACCATCTTGAGACCGTCTCCTCACTGATCACGAAAACCCTTTCTCAAAAGACACCGACTACTCCTGGAGACACCCGATTCCCCACCCCCCTCGCCACCACCGCCACCGTTCTCCTCGCTCACCTTGCTGAGGCGGCCCTTGTCGTTGTTAATGGTGATCTTGTTCTCTTTGCCCGTGCTCTTGTCCGCGGCAGCCACGTTCAGGATGCCGTTGGCGTCAATGTCGAAGGTGACCTCGATCTGCGGCACCCCGCGTGGCGCCGGCGGGATGCCCGTGAGCTCAAACTTGCCCAGGATGTTGTTGTCCTTGGTCATGGCGCGCTCACCCTCGTACACCTGCACCAGCACGCCCGGCTGGTTGTCCGCGTACGTCGTGAAGACCTGCACGGCGGGGTGGACAACACGCACAGGCAGACAAGGCAGGGGGAGGCAGGTCAGGAGGGTTGCGATGTTGTGAACTTTGCGTTTTTTTAAGAGCCGGCATTTAGACACCGCTAACAGTACAGGGACTCCTCTACTTATGAACGAATTAGGTTACAGAGGTCTGTTCGTAAGTCGATTTGTTCATCAGTCCAACTTTACATCTGTCGATTCCAAACATGTTGTACGGCATTGTACACTAAACACGGGGAATAACTTTAAACTTTGTATAATCTCCTGTAGATGCAGATGCCACCACCGCCATCTATTGGCCAGCGGTTTAACTTACAACTCTGTCCGAACAGGCAACTGGACGTACGGGGACCAGGTTTGTTCGTATCTTTGAAGGTTTGCACGTTGACTGTTCGTAAGTTGAAGAGTCCCTGTATTCTGGACTTTGGATTCTTGAACTGCGGCCTCAAACTCAAAGATTCTCTTGAGACGCAGTGTAAAGGAATTGACAAACAGGTTCTCCACTCAAGACAATAACGCCGAGACCTGGTCTCAACCCAAGGGTACTGTGATGCCACGACCCAGTCTCAAGACACAACAGACTATGAAGGCTGGCACGGCACACGAGGGGGGTGGGTGGCCACACACACACAAGGCGACGCGCACACACAAGGCGACGCGCACACACAAGGCGACGCGCACACACAAGGCGACGCGCACACACAAGGCGACGCGCACACACAAGGCGACGCGCACACACAAGGCGACGCGCACACACAAGGCGACGCGCACACACACGCACAATTACCTGGGTCTGCTTGGTGGGGATGGTGCTGTTGCGCTTGATGAGCGGGGTCATGACGCCGCCGGCCGTCTCGATGCCGAGCGAAAGCGGCGCCACGTCGAGCAGCAGCAGGTCCTGCACGTTCTCCGACTTGTCGCCCGTGAGGATGGCGGCCTGCACGGCGGCGCCGTAGGCCACCGCCTCGTCGGGGTTGATGCTCTTGTTGAGCTCCTTGCCGTTGAAGAAGTCCTGCAGCAGCTTCTGGATCTTGGGGATGCGCGTCGAACCGCCCACCAGCACGAGATCCTGGATCTGAGGCCCGGACGGAGAAGGCGGTTGAACGTCTCGCCCAACAGCTTATCTCACGTAGATTTATGTTGCGTCTTATTCCATAGATGCTTTACAGCAATTGTATAATTGTACACGAGAGGGCGGCCACGATGGCAAAATGTTAACTACCTTAACCACCTCGCTTGGTGTACAGGAGAGCGTGGGTTCAATCCCGACCCAGACGCTTACTGTTTATTTGGAGTTTGCCTCTCTCTCTCCCCATGGTCACTGTGGATTTTTATCCGGGTGCTCCGGTTTTTCTCCTCCACATTTAGAAACATGCTTGCGAGTATTTGGCTGCTATACATTTCCACATGATGCTAAGCAGTCCACATTGAGCTATCATTTGTGATAGCCAGGTCGCAACTAAAACAGACCTATACAGCTCGGTGGGCCTTACATGGTAAAATACAAAATAAGTTTGTCGTTATAAGAGAGGAGCCAAAGCAGGTGAGTGACAATGATTGTTTAATTTTGCATCTCGCATTATGCTACGCGATGATGACAATGATTGTTGCCCTGCGTGTGCTAGAGAAGTAAGCGGTCACATGGCTCTGTGGCTACGTGGGCTGACATCCACCTCACACAACATGAACACGCGTGTATTTTTATCATTTACATTTTCTTGTGTATCTGTTGCTTTGTGTTAAAAGCATTCGCTGATAAAATAAACCACCGCCATCACCACTGTCACCACAATCACCACAACCATCACCGTCACTGCCATCATCATCATTACCGCCACCACCACCACCATCACTGCCACCACCGCCACCACCGCCTCACCTGCGACTTATCGAGCTTGGCGTCCCTCATGGCCTTCTCCACGGGGTCCAGCGTGCCTCGGAAGAGGTCCGAGTTGAGCTCCTCGAAGCGGGCGCGCGTCACCGACGTGTAGAAGTCGATGCCCTCGAACAGCGAGTCGATCTCGATGCTCGCCTGCGTGCTCGACGACAGCGTGCGCTTGGCGCGCTCGCACGCCGTGCGCAGGCGCCGCACGGCGCGCTTGTTTCCTGACAGGTCCTTGCGGTGCTTGCGCTTGAACTCTTCGGTGAAGTGGCTCACCATGCGGTTGTCGAAGTCCTCGCCGCCCAGGTGGGTGTCGCCCGCCGTCGATTTCACCTCGAAGATGCCGTCGTCGATGGTCAGGATGGAGACGTCAAAGGTGCCGCCGCCCAGGTCGAAGATGAGCACGTTGCGCTCGCCGCCCACCTGCTCCCGCGGGGGAGAGAGGGGAGAGCGGGGAGATTAGATGAGGGATGAGAGGAAGATGCGGAGGATGATAAGGCAATAGATCGGAGACGGGAGGGGAAAGGAAAGGGAGGAGGTGGTTAGAGGAGGGGTGGGGGTTACAGGAGGAGGCGGCGGATAGGAGAGGGGATAGGAAGGGAGGGGAGCGAAAGAGAGGGAGGGCGGTGGTTAGGGGAGGGGAGAGGAAGTGAGGTGGTGGGTGGTGAGGGGAGAGGAGAGCAGTGGACAGGGAGAGAGCAGACACACAAAGGCAAAACAAAGATCCCCCCCCCCCCCCATAGCCTTTAACAGGCTGCTGGGGGAAGTGCTGTTAGCGAGTAGCACCTATGAATGCCGGCATGGCACACGAGTGGGTGGGGTGGCCAACACCACTCCCGGTCGCCTTTGTCTCCCCAGTGGCGATGTTTTTACACACAGGGATACACACACAGACACACACAGCACCACCACCGCCACCACCCTCCTCACCTTCTTGTCGAGGCCGTACGCGATGGCGGCCGCTGTGGGCTCGTTGATGATCCTCAGCACGTTGAGGCCGGCGATGGTGCCCGCGTCCTTGGTGGCCTGGCGCTGGGAGTCGTTGAAGTAGGCGGGGACCGTGACGACCGCATTGTTCACAGACTTGCCCAGGTAGGCCTCGGCAATCTCCTTCATCTTGGTGAGCACCATGGAGGAGATCTCCTCCGGGAAGAATGTCTTCGCCTCGCCCTTGTACTCCACTTGAACCTGCGAGGCGGTGGACATTCCACGTTACTATGGCCCGGATGGGAGAGACAGCGAGCGAGCAAGGTGGAAGGAAGAGGTGTGAAAGCAAAGGCGAGGTTGGCTGATTGTTGCTCCCCTCTAGATGGCCATCATCACCCTTAGTTACTTAGCTCTCACCACCACTTCACAAAGGCCATGCATATGCATGGACTCTTAACATGGACTCCTCCAACGCTTTCCCCAACACAAGTTTGTTTGTCCTCGGGGGTGTTGCAGTAGCAGTCATAACGTTAGTGCTGACGCCAGGCATGCTGGATGCAGACCACAGACTTGCACTTGAGAAACCAGTTAAACCACAAAGTTCAGGTGAATCTATCGGTCTCTTAAATCGTTATAGCCCGTGTGTTTCAGTGTTTGTGTTTCTGTGTACACCTGTTGTGCTCCTCGAGGTAAACCCGAGGCTCTGTGTCCCACAGAGCATCCCTTGCCTATTAACATCTGGCAGTTCACCAGCATCGCTCTAAAAAGCAAGCCCGACTGATGAGGCACTCAAGGTGAGAGCTGGTCCATAGTTTGCTTTCTACTGATCCAATGCTGCTAATATTATGCACTCCCATAAGGCTAGGCTGTGGGGGGAGCTGATGGGATGATGTAAAAATTATTTTTATCCTCTACGTGAATAGAGGCAAGAGGCAGATCTAGAAACTTCCCTGGGGCAGGCAGCGGGTTTGGCCAGTCCCGAAATTTCCACCTCTTTAAATCATATCCCCCCCCTCTCAAGTTAGTAATTAACGAAAAATGTCCATTTATTTTCAGGGTCTTAAGCTGAGCGGAGTGGGGGGGGGGGGGAAATCGCCCCCCCCCCACGCCGCTCACCCCTGAAATCCACCACCGTTGTGGAGAGACAGGTCTGGGCTTGGACAAACATCTCCAATATGCAGTTGGCGGCAGCTCTGGCCTCCTTCCAGCTTGCCTGTGGTTTCCACCGCCTTCAGAATCGCAGACGAACACTGTGCGTGCGTTCCCGCATCTTGCCACATCGTCACTTGCTGCCAGATCCCATGCTGGCAGGCCGCCCTGGAGATTTGCCCGTCGGGTCTATTTGGTCGCCAAGAATGCTGGGCGAGGCCAGCGGTTTGGCAGGGCGCCGGTGGCGTTCACGGTCCAAAATGTATCCAAATGTTCCCAATTTGGAAGAGGACACCGCAATTGACCCGACGGCGAGCACACACAGCCACAATAGTCCCATCACGCCCCCCCAGAACTTAACACCGATGTGTACGTCTGTGCAGTATTCTTCCCGCTTCTCAGGCGACAACAGTTGTTGTGCTTGTGCCCGAATGTGATTTTGCTTCATTTCGATGACCCGAGTCACTCTTGTTTGCAAACGACAAGACTACATCATCCCGGTCTCTGAGTTTTCCCACCTGGTTTAGACTAAATTAACGTGAAAGAGACTGCAGACTTAACAGGGCCCACCCCTCCGCGCGATGGCTTTGTGCCACAACAGCGGCTGGTCGATACGAGAGTCGCAACCCACAGGTGGATTCGCGATCAAAATAATTTTTTGGTGGATTTCGCAACAAATCCCAACACCGTACAGCAATTCTCATTCACACAATGGCAAATTAAACTCCCTGACTAAAGTATTATAAACACATAACATTGTCACTAATATTACAGGGTCCAATCCATCCGGGGTGGTATGCCTGTGGTATAACGGGAGGATGCCGACAGCCACCCGTATTGGCCGACGCTTGCGCGGCTAACGAGAAGCTCGCCAACGCATGGAACGTGCCCCCCCTCCCCAACTACGACCACCGGCCCCCCCCTTGCGCCCGCCCATCCGCTCACCTTGGGCTTGCCACCGTCGCTCACCACCGTGAAGGGCCAGTGCTTCATGTCGCTCTGCACGATAGTATCGTCGAAGCGCCTGCCGATGAGCCGCTTGGCGTCGTAGACGGTGTTGGAGGGGTTCATGGCCACCTGGTTCTTGGCGGCGTCGCCAATGAGCCTCTCCGAGTCGTTGAAGGCCACGTACGAGGGGGTCGTGCGGTTGCCCTGGTCGTTGGCGATGATCTCCACTTTGCCGTGCTGGAACACGGCGACGCACGAGTAGGTCGTGCCCAGGTCGATGCCCACCGCAATTCCCTTGGACGCCATCCTATCGCTGCCCTTTGCTGCCGATGAGGTCGAGAAAGTTGATGTTGGAAAGGAGAAGCGGTTTGCCGATAACGGAGGATTGGCTCGGCTCGCTTGTCGATGCTGTCGAGGTGCGGTGTGACGTCAACTGTCTGGAAGGCCACAAAGGGAAATGGTGGCCCAGTTGGAGATTAGAAAATGGAGAAAGACAGTGGTCATTTTGAACTTTACCCATGTGTTAAAATGTTCATTGATGCTGCTATTATCACAGTGCAAAGGCACAAAAAGAAAAAAAAAACTTTAATGCTGTATGAAGGGCCATTGCCTGAAACATCGCCTGTTAAATACACGCTGCGTTATTTACAACTGCGTTGTCATGTTGAGGGCCTCCACATCCGATCCCCTTAGTGACCAAGTCATCATCATTATAATTATTATTGTAACCACAGGAATGTTCTGAATGCAACTGTTGACAGATTTATTGTACTACTGTTGCCTTACACAGAAACCCATAGACTTGCATTGACACCCATAGACCCAGATACTTGCAGAGACCCCATAGACTTCCGTAGAAAAAAAGACATTTAATTATTATTTTATTAACTCTAGAACCTTCCTTGTAGAAGTACATTCCGCTAGCCAATAAAATTATATTATTTATTTTAGCCTCTCCTAATATGGGCATCGATGTCAACACGTCATCTCCGAGTAACTATTTTGTTTTTCATCGTAAGCCCTAGAATTGCATTGCCAATGAAAAACAGGAGCAGCCGACATTCAGTGGCAGTGTCATCCCCATGGCGCTCGTGCCAGGCGAGGTGTGTGTGGTTTAGTTTGCGAGCACCTATTAAACCCATATTACACACCCCACCCAGTGCCAGGCTAGGTGCACATACACACGGTGTGTGTGTGGTTTAGTTTGCGAGCACCTATTAAACCCACATTACACACCCCAGTGCCAGGCGAGGTGCACATACACACGGTGTGTGTGTGGTTTAGTTTGCGAGCACCTATTAAACCCATATTACACACCCCACCCAGTGCCAGGCTAGGTGCACACACACGGTGTGTGGTTTAGTTTGCGAGCACCTATTAAACCCACATTACACACCCCACCCAGTGCCAGGCTAGGTGCACACACACGGTGTGTGGTTAAGTTTGCGAGCACCTATTAAACCCACATTACACCCCAGTGCTAGGCTAGGTGCACACACACGGTGTGTGTGTGGTTTAGTTTGCGAGCACCTATTAAACCCACATTACACACCCCACCCAGTGCCAGGCTAGGTGCACACACACACGGTGTGTGTGGTTTAGTTTGCGAGCACCTATTAAACCCATATTACACCCCAGTGCCAGGCTAGGTGCACACACACGGTGTGTGTGGTTTAGTTTGCGAGAACCTATTAAACCCACATTACACACTTGTATATTATATGCAGTTATATTAACTGAACAACCAGTACATACAGTTAACGTGTCGTCTATAATCAGTCGACTTCGTACGCAGCTGCTAATTTAACACAAATAGAACACAAATAGAACGCTTAGGCGGACAGCGAAGGTATAAAGTTTAGCTTTGTCGCGTTTATATTAACTTAGGAAACAGTGAAGGGTCGTCAAAGCTGTAAGGGTCGATCCACTGCTGGACAAATTCGTCTCCTACGCCCCAAGCAGTTTCACTTCATTACGGAAATACATTTTGAGCAAAAATGAAACATTACAATGACCTTGGGAGTGTTCTGAGGGGAAAAAATACATTGATAATGAAGACATTTACACTAAATAAAATGTTAAACCGTCGAAATCACTAAACTTGTACTTGCTATAGACTTTGCTTTATAGACTTTGCTTTAGAACCTTCTAGAAATCCACCACCAGAGCAATGACTTCGACAAAAAAAGTCTAAATTTCACCGGCAGTTTTTACCGCCAAATGTTTTTCGTTTAAAACAAACAAACATCAAACTTAGCAAACACAAGATAGATTTATATTGTTTAATTTTACCTCAGATTCACCACCCACGGCCTCCTCAGCTCAATCCGCGCGCTTTTCCTGCTGCTCCGTCTCACTCAGCTGCGAACTCTGCGACGCCGTCGACGCCTCCCGCCCTTTCATAGCGCGGCCTAGCGCCACGTCACCCTTCCAGAACACACTCGCACCCCCCCAGCCCCGCCCCTCCACCCCCCAAACCCCGCCCCTCCACCCCCCAAACCCCGCCCCTCATCACCCAAACCCCGCCCCTCATTACCCAAACCCCGCCCCTCAACACCCAAACCCCGCCCCTCAAACACCCCACCCACTCCCCTCAAACCCTTACAACCCCTCCCCTCAAACCCCCCAACCCCACCCCTCAATACCCAAACCCCGCCCCTCAACACCCAAACCCCGCTCCTCAAACACCCCTCCCCTCAAACACCCCACCCACTCCCCTCAAACTCCCCAGCCCCTCCCCTCAAACTCCCCAACCCCTCCCCTCAAACACCCCCAACCCCGCCCCTCATATCCCCAACCCCGCCCCTCAAACCCCCCAACCCCTCCAACCCCCAACCCCTCCCCTCAAACCCCCCAACCCCTCCCCTCAAACCCCCAACCCCTCCCCTCAAACCCCCCAACCCCTCCCCTCAAACCCCCCAACCCCTCCCCTCAAACCCCCCAAGTCCCCCCCGCCCCTTACACCCCTCACCCCTGTAACTCCCCCCCCCCCCCCAAGACAAAGCTCCCCCGTGTAGCCTGTAGCAGACCGAGGGGCAAGTGCTGTCAGCGAGTAGCGCCTATGAAGGCCGCCACTGTGGCATACGAGAGGGGGTGGGTGGGCCAGCACCACGCCCGGCCGCCTTTGTCTCCCTCCCCCCGTGGCGATGATTGTTTGTACACACCGCACCAGTGTTACTCATTTGAGGCCGAGTCGACCTAGGTGAGGAGGGCCCCAAGGATCGTCACCGGTGGTTTTTTATCGGCGGTGGTCGTGATCGGGAATCGAACTCGTGATCGTTGCGCAACGCTGACCCCCCCCCCACCCTCTCGAAGTCACGTGCTCGTTCAGGGCGGGGCTCTGCCCCCCCCTCCGCGGCGAAGCGAGCCAATAGGCGAGAGGGGTGTGGGGGGTAAGAGGGAGGGGAGGGGCTACCAAACGGGGGGGGGGGGGGCTGCTCAACGCGGTGACGTCAACATTCCAGAACGAGCCACGGACGCCTGGAGGGGTCGCGAGGCGGCGGTCACGTGACGACTCACCCAGGCCCCGTCACCGCATGCCCACGCAGCGTCTTCTTAGAGATTTGAAGCTTTCGTGGCTGCAAGGATTCATACTCTTAGGCTTTTTTCGGTAAAGTCACGTAGGTAAAAATACAAATACATAAATATCAGTTTAACTTTACTTGATACAGCAATTGTGCTGTGACGGTTCCACCTGAAGACGGAAGCTTGTGTGTTGCCTCCGAAACGTCGTGATCTATTATTTGATTTCTATTATTACTTATATGATTTACTTTTACCTACGTGACTTTACCGAAAACACCTAAGAGTACAAGCAGCTTCTGTTGTGGCGGATCGAGGGGGCTAAACGGGCGCGGCACGGGCTAGAGAAGAGATGGAGTGATGTGGTACAGGAGGACGTGGAGCTGAGTGGACTTGCCGATGACTGGTACCAGCGGTGTCAAGATCGGCCTCTGTGGAGGAGGCTCGTGAAGGACGCTACTACTGGGCAGTGCCAGGCTAGGTGCACCTTGAGGCTACTGGGCAGTTGGAAGGCAGTCGCCCTCCAACAACAACGGAGGGCGGAGGAGCGACGCTCACAACAATGAGCAGAGCGCCGGGTGGCTAAAGCACAGCAAGTTGGCACAGTAGGGGGCACAGGTGGTGCATCTGCCAGTCATCTCGGTCGACCCATGTCACCTGCTGGGTCTGTCCCGTGACCTCCTGCACCTAGCCTGGCACAGTGGTGCATCAGCCAGTCATCTCAGTCGACCCACAGCACCTGCTGGGTCTGTCCCGTGACCTCCTGCACCTAGCCTGGCACAGTGATGCATCTGCCAGTCATCTCGGTCGACCCACAGCACCTGCTGGGTGTGTCCCGTGACCTCTTCCTGTCAGCGAACCTTCGGCAAGCTTCACGCGATAGCCTCAAAGTGCACCTAGCCTGGCACAGGCGACTCCGCCGCCGCTAAGTGGCGAATGACGGCTGCGTTGTTGGTCGGGGAGAGGGAGGGTGAGGGGGGAGGGGCTACAAACAAGGGGGGGGGGGGCACGCGCTGCCCCACGCGGTGACGTCACCGTTCCAGAACGTGCCACGGACGTCTGGGCGGGGGAGTCAGGGGGGGGGGTTAAAGTGGGCGGGGAGTCAGGGGGGGGGGGTTAAAGTGGGCGGGGCTAATGGTTAAAGTGGGCGGGGGATTAGGGGGAAAAGGTGGGGGCCTGTTGGCGGAATCTGGCCAATAGCAGAGGAGCGTGGGTCGAAAATGGGGGGGGGGAAGTGGGTTGTTGGGGGCGGGGCCACGGTTGGGGGGCGGGGCTAGCCGAATGACGTCACGGTTCTAGAAACGCGCAGGGCGAGGCGGTGACGCGAGGCAAGAAGACGCGGCCAATAAAGTTATACAAATCTGAAATCACGCACGTGCCGGATTATAAGACGCAGCCAATAAAGTTATACAAATCTGAAATCACGCACGTGCCGGATTATAAGACGCAGCCAATAAAGTTATACAAATCTGAAATCGCGCACGTGCCGGATTATAAGACGCAGCCAATAAAGTTATACAAATCTGAAATCACGCATGTACCGGATTATAAAACGCACTGTCTTATATAGTGCACGCGTGTTACTCCACTGCTGGATGATGAGGACCTGATTGTACTACCGTGCTTGAGCATGCTGGTCACGGCACTAAATTATAAATAATTTTTATATTTTGATTTGAAGCTTTCGTGACTGCAGGGATTCATATTCTTGGTTCTTTCGGTAAAGTCACGTAGAAGGGAAACAAATAAATAATAAAAATATTAAATACAATTCTCACGACGTTTCGACTGGAACACAAGCAATCATCATCAGGTGTGAAGAAAAAAAACAGCAATACATTTTCTTGCTGTGCTTATTTTTTCTTGCTGTGTTTATTTTTTAGCAGGGAAGGCCCCAACTGAGCTACGTAGTTTTTTTTCCCCAAAAGCGACCTGGCCACATGAATACGTAAATATTTTTGTAAGTAAATATTTACGTAAGTAAGTAAATATTTACGTAAGTAAGTAAATATTTACGTAAGTAAGTAAATATTTACGTAAGTAAGTAAATATTTACGTAAGTAAGTAAATATTTACGTAAGTAAGTAAATATTTTACGCGATCTAACCCAAAACAAAAACCTTATTAAGAAAAAGAAGCCAACTTCCTTGGGTTTATCAAATGTGACCAGGTCGCTTATGGGAAAAACACCGAGATTGGATCGCGTAAATCTGTATGCGATCTAACCTCCATGGTGGATGATATTGGTGGCTAAAGCCCACGTGTTATTGTTATCACGTGCAAATACAGGGGGCTTCAACAAATATTCTTCGGTTTTTTCGGTAAAGTCACGTAACAAATGTCAACACTGAAATGGGACCATCGTTTTTCATGGAATCTTCTCCAGGTGGCGGTCTCCAGCGCCAGAAGTGTTCACATTTGTTTGAAGCAACCTGGATATTAGCAGCCAAATAATCTCAACGCGTGATGTCGATTCTAAATGTGGAGGGGAAAACCGGAGGACCCGGATACAAACAAAATCCACGCGACCACGGGGAGAGAGAGAGAGACGCAGACTGCAAATAAACAGCAGCAGCAGCAGGAGTCCTCAGGGTCGGGATCGAACCCACGACCTCCTGCACACCAGGCGAGGTAGTCAACATCTCCTAGCCACCGTGATGATGATGAGAGAGACACGCAGACTGCAAATACCAGAGGTGGGACAAAGTCATTGTTATGCAAGTCCAAGTCGAGTCTGAAGTCATCAAATTCATGACTCGAGTCTGACTCGAGTCCAAGTCACATGACTCGAGTCCACACCTCTGGCAAATACACAGCAGCAGCAGCAGGCGTCGTCAGGGTCGGGATCGAACCCACGACCTCCTGTACACCAGGCGGGGTAGGGAAGTAGAGTGGACGATGCGAGTTGGAGTTTGGGGGCGGTCACTCCACTGCTGGATGTCTCCCTATGACGTCATCATCACCATGTTCACTCCACTGCTGGACGTCTCCCTATGACGTCATCATCACCATGTTCACTCCACTGCTGGATGTCTCCCTATGACGTCATCATCACCATGTTCACTCCACTGCTGGACGTCTCCCTATGACGTCATCATCACCATGTTCACTCCACTGCTGGATGTCTCCCTATGACGTCATCATCACCATGTTCACTCCACTGCTGGACGTCTCCCTATGACGTCATCATCACCATGTTCACTCCACTGCTGGATGTCTCCCTATGACGTCACCATCACCATGTTCACTCCACTGCTGGATGTCTCCCTATGACGTCATCATCACCATGTTCACTCCACTGCTGGATGTCTCCCTATGACGTCACCATCACCATGTTCACTCCACTGCTGGATGTCTCCCTATGACGTCATCATCACCATGTTCACTCCACTGCTGGATGTCTCCCTATGACGTCACCATCACCATGTTCACTCCACTGCTGGATGTCTCCCTATGACGTCATCATCACCATGTTCACTCCACTGCTGGATGTCTCCCTATGACGTCACCATCACCATGTTCACTCCACTGCTGGATGTCTCCCTATGACGTCATCATCACCATGTTCACTCCACTGCTGGATGTCTCCCTATGACGTCATCATCACCATGTTCACTCCACTGCTGGATGTCTCCCTATGACGTCACCATCACCATGTTCACTCCACTGCTGGATGTCTCCCTATGACGTCATCATCACCATGTTCACTCCACTGCTGGATGTCTCCCTATGACGTCACCATCACCATGTTCACTCCACTGCTGGATGTCTCCCTATGACGTCATCATCACCATGTTCACTCCACTGCTGGATGTCTCCCTATGACGTCACCATCACCATGTTCACTCCACTGCTGGATGTCTCCCTATGACGTCACCATCACCATGTTCACTCCACTGCTGCATGTCTCCCTATGACGTCACCATCACCATGTTCACTCCACTGCTGCATGTCTCCCTATGACGTCACCATCACCATGTTCGCTCCACTGCTGCATGTCTCCCTATGACGTCATCATCACCATGTTCACTCCACTGCTGCATGTCTCCCTATGACGTCATCATCACCATGTTCACTCCACTGCTGCATGTCTCCCTATGACGTCATCATCACCATGTTCACTCCACTGCTGCATGTCTCGCTATGACGTCATCATCACCATGTCCACTCCACTGCTGCATGTCTCCCTATGACGTCATCATCACCATGTTCACTCCACTGCTGCATGTCTCCCTATGACGTCAACATCACCATGTTCACTCCACTGCTGCATGTCTCCCTATGACGTCACCATCACCATGTTCACTCCACTGCTGCATGTCTCCCTATGACGTCACCATCACCATGTTCACTCCACTGCTGCATGTCTCCCTATGACGTCACCATCACCATGTTCACTCCACTGCTGCATGTCTCCCTATGACGTCATCATCACCATGTTCACTCCACTGCTGCATGTCTCCCTATGACGTCATCATCACCATGTTCACTCCACTGCTGCATGTCTCGCTATGACGTCATCATCACCATGTCCACTCCACTGCTGCATGTCTCCCTATGACGTCATCATCACCATGTTCACTCCACTGCTGCATGTCTCCCTATGACGTCAACATCACCATGTTCACTCCACTGCTGCATGTCTCCCTATGACGTCACCATCACCATGTTCACTCCACTGCTGCATGTCGTCACCATCACCATGTTCACTCCACTGCTGCATGTCTCCCTATGACGTCACATCACCATGTTCACTCCACTGCTGCATGTCTCCCTATGACGTCACCATCACCATGTTCACTCCACTGCTGCATGTCTCCCTATGACGTCACCATCACCATGTTCACTCCACTGCTGCATGTCTCCCTATGACGTCACCATCACCATGTTCACTCCACTGCTGCATGTCTCCCTATGACGTCACCATCACCATGTTCACTCCACTGCTGCATGTCTCCCTATGACGTCACCATCACCATGTTCACTCCACTGCTGCATGTCTCCCTATGACGTCACCATCACCATGTTCACTCCACTGCTGCATGTCTCCCTATGACGTCACCATCACCATGTTCACTCCACTGCTGCATGTCTCCCTATGACGTCACCATCACCATGTTCACTCCACTGCTGCATGTCTCCCTATGACGTCACCATCACCATGTTCACTCCACTGCTGCATGTCTCCCTATGACGTCACCATCACCATGTTCACTCCACTGCTGCATGTCTCCCTATGACGTCACCATCACCATGTTCACTCCACTGCTGCATGTCTCCCTATGACGTCACCATCACCATGTTCACTCCACTGCTGCATGTCTCCCTATGACGTCACCATCACCATGTTCACTCCACTGCTGATGTCTCCCTATGACGTCACCATCACCATGTTCACTCCACTGCTGCATGTCTCCCTATGACGTCACCATCACCATGTTCACTCCACTGCTGCATGTCTCCCTATGACGTCACCATCACCATGTTCACTCCACTGCTGCATGTCTCCCTATGACGTCACCATCACCATGTTCACTCCACTGCTGCATGTCTCCCTATGACGTCACCATCACCATGTTCACTCCACTGCTGCATGTCTCCCTATGACGTCACCATCACCATGTTCACTCCACTGCTGCATGTCTCCCTATGACGTCATCATCACCATGTTCACTCCACTGCTGCATGTCTCCCTATGACGTCATCATCACCATGTTCACTCCACTGCTGCATGTCTCCCTATGACGTCATCATCACCATGTTCACTCCACTGCTGCTGGATGGATCTCCTGTTGCGATGTGGCAACTGTCCGCCCAGTGGCGGCGCTTGGCCACCTCACCGACTCGACTCCGTCGACACCTAAAACGAACAAATCGATCCGTCGACACCGATCGAGGCCACGATCTCAAGGAGCGAATCGATCCGTCACATCAGCAGCTACATCAGCAGCGACAACAGCAGCAGCTACAGCAACAGCAGCAGCAGCTACATCAGCAGCTACAGCAGCAGCTACAACAGCAGCTACATCAGCAGCAGCGACAACAACAGCAGCTACAACAGCAGCTACATCAGCAGCAGCGACACAACAGCAGCTACAACAGCAGCTACATCAGCAGCAGCGACAACAGCAGCTACAACAGCAGCTACAGCAGCAGCTACAACAACAGCTACAACAACAGCTACGACAGCGTTACTGAGACACGCCTTGATCTCCATCACCGAGAGGAGCGACACGATGCCGCTCGTGCTGGGCTACTGGGACATCCGCGGGGTGAGAGACGCCGCGCACAGATACTCGGCCACAGTAACGTGGAGTTGCCACCCAGTCGGCGCTCTTGGAGGAGGAGGAGGCGTCTGTCTTCTCTCCTGCCTCGTGATGGCTCGTCGTCTTACTGGCGAAACGTCGTACTCGGAGTGGGAATGTTGTGGCCTGGCCCTGCAACACACACGACAGCGGTGTGGTGCAGAGGCAGACCACAACTTCCACAACTTTAATGTTGTGGCCTGACTCCAACACACACAACAGATGCCACAACATTAAAGTTGTGGATGTTGTAGCCTGGCTCTCCAGCACACCGCTGTTGTGTGTTGCAGGGTCAAGCCACAACATTAAAGTTGTGGATGTTGTGGCCTGGTTCTCCACCACACCGCTGTTGTGTGTTGCAGGGTCAAGCCACAACATTAAAGTTGTGGATGTTGTGGCCTGGTTCTCCACCACACCGCTGTTGTGTGTTGCAGGGTCAAGCCACAACATTAAAGTTGTGGATGTTGTGGCCTGGTTCTCCACCACACCGCTGTTGTGTGTGTTGGAGTCAGGCCACAACATTAAAGTTGTGGAAGTTGTGGAAGTTGTGGAAAAGGAACACACAACAGCGGTGTTCTGGAGAGCCAGGCCACAACATCCACAACTTTACATGATCAGAGTTGTGTTTTTTGTTTGCATTCCGACCGCAGGTATTGTGGTCAATGCAAACATGACTCCTTGTAAAACGTTGTCAGTTTTGTTGCCAGATAAAAGGATAAAAAAACTATTATCAGTTGAACTCGCTACGAGCGTACTGTAGAGTAGTACATGCATTGCGTCTCTGCACTGGGTTTAGTGCGTCTCTGCACTGGGTTTAGTGCGTCTCTGCACTGGGTTTAGTGCGTCTCTGCACTGGGTTTAGTGCGTCTCTGCACTGGGTTCAGTGCGTCTCTGCACTGGGTTCAGTGCGTCTCTGCCCTGGGTTAGTGACTGGGTTTAGTGCGTCTCTGCACTGGGTTTAGTGCGTCTCTGCACTGGGTTTAGTGCGTCTCTGCACTGGGTTTAGTGCGTCTCTGCACTGGGTTTAGTGCGTCTCTGCACTGGGTTTAGTGCGTCTCTGCACTGGTTTAGTGCGTCTCTGCACTGGGTTTAGTGCGTCTCTGCACTGGGTTTAGTGCGTCTCTGCACTGGGTTTAGTGCGTCTCTGCACTGGGTTTAGTGCGTCTCTGCACTGGGTTTAGTGCGTCTCTGCACTGGGTTTAGTGCGTCTCTGCACTGGGTTTAGTGCGTCTCTGCACTGGGTTTAGTGCGTCTCTGCACTGGGTTCAGTGCGTCTCTGCACTGGGTTCAGTGCGTCTCTGCACAGGGTTTAGTGCGTCTCTGCACTGGGTTTAGTGCGTCTCTGCACTGGGTTTAGTGCGTCTCTGCACTGGGTTTAGTGCGTCTCTGCACTGGGTTTAGTGCGTCTCTGCACTGGGTTTAGTGCGTCTCTGCACTGGGTTTAGTGCGTCTCTGCACTGGGTTTAGTGCGTCTCTGCACTGGGTTTAGTGCGTCTCTGCACTGGGTTTAGCTGATAGTTCTAGCATGGGGTGGATTGGCTTCATTCAGCAGCGGATCGACTGACCATGGCTGTTGATTTCTCCGCCGTGAATTTCCACGCCATGGGCCACTTTGTTGAGCTTCAATTGCGATGTCCAGGTCCCTCCCGGCAACACGTTGATGCCTCGGAGGGCTTTGCCTGCTAGGATTGGGGATGGTTTAGTTGCAACTTGTGTGTGTTTGGCTGATTTATCATGCTCTTTGGTTTTTTCGGTAAAGTCACACGTAGGTAAAAATTTTTATAAATGGAAACAACTAAATTAAATCACGACGTTTCGGGCACAACACAAGCGTCCTTCTTCAGGGACAACGTTTAATTTGGTTGTTTTCACCATTGGAACCTCATTTGCAAGTAAAAAAAAAATATGATAATTGTTTTTTTACCCTTCTATCTGGTTGGACCAGATGGCGTCATCTGGTCCAACCCATGTGAGACTAGGCTCTAAGGAAAGCTGTCTCGGGTGTGGACCAATCAACTTCAGGGACAGTGCACATTATCAGAGTTATGTTTTTTGTTTGCATTATGACTGCAGGTATTGTGGTTTATGCAAACATGACTCCTTGTAAAAAATTGGTTGTTTTCATTTATTTAATTTATTGTTTCACCCACGTGACTTTACCGACAAAAAAACCAAGGAGCATGAATCCTTGCAATCACGAAAGCTTCAAATCTAGAATTGGTTTCTCACGGTCCACGTTTTTCTCACCCCGAGCTATGAATGCTCCTGATACGTGTGGCCATTCTCCTTGTGCTGGTCCCCTTATCAGAGCGTGTTTGTTCACCACAACTACCTCGGTCCATAGGTCAATCACTTTCAACGACAATGCACACATCGCTATCAGAGCCGTGCTGGTTGCTTGCGAAAGCTTTTATCTCTTCGGGTGTTTGGACATCTTGACACAATCTCCTGTTTCATCGCCGTAAAGCCCAGGGGTGGGGAAAGTCCGACAAGGCCCGCAAAATCATTTGGCAGTTCCAGCCATCACATTAGGGGCGAGTTAATGAAATGTTTGACCAAATATAACAACGGGCTAATTGTTAAGTTGATCATGTTGTACGGCCCGCGAATGATATCAAGTTGGCAGAGAAAAACTTCCCCAGGGTACGCGCCTATTACTCTGTCTCATACTTGGCACCATCCGCGTGCCTTCTCTTGTACTCTGCACTCCCATCATCGTGCCTTTGCTGTCGTAACTTGCGATACCCCGTGCCCCCCCCGTGCCCCCCCTTACTGGACATCTGCGAGTAAAAGAGCTTGATGGCTTATCGGATTCCTCCCCGCGGTCCAAATAGATTCCCGTTCTGTTGGCTTGCGCCGCCGCTGTCTCTACTGGCGCCGTGGTTCGCGTGCGGATTGGTGGGGTCGGTGGTCTGGAGAACATTGCACGTCGGGAGGCCGAAGCTGCCCCCACCCCTCCCCTCCCCACCCCCCGCGGGTCAAAAGTTCACGCGGTCCAAAGTGCGAGTTTCGTTGCGCCACCGTCTCCGCACGGTTGCGCAACAGGTCTGGTGTGGAAGGGCACCTGGCATGAGAGTTCGTGTCTCTTTGTTTGTTGCCCCCCCCCCCACCCCGTGCTCTCTCACACCTCCCATTAGCACGGGGGCCACGGTGGCCAGGAGATGTTAACTACCTCGCCTGGTGTACAGGAGGTCGTGGAATCGATCTCGACCTTGACACCTGCTGTGTATTTGGAGTTTGCTTCTCGTTCTCATCATCATCATCACAGCGGCTAGGAGAGGTTGATGATGGGTGATGTTGATGATGGGTGATGTTGATGATGGGCGATGTTGATGATTGATGGTGATAGTGATGTTGTTGATGGTGATGTTGATGATGGTGATGTTGCTGATGGTGATGTTGATGATTGATGGTGATAGTGATGTTGTTGATTGTGATGTTGATGATGGTGATGTTGATGATGATGTTGATGTTGACTGATGTTGATGTTGCTGTTGTGCAGTTGGCGCACGCCATCCGCCTCTTACTGGAGTACGTCGGTGAAGAGTGGGAAGACAAACTCTACGTGGTTGGAGACGGTGAGACGGAGACGCGGAGACACGGAGAGACAGATGGAACCACACGGAGACACGGGAGACACACGGAGACACGGAGACACATATGGAGAGACACGGGAGAGAAGGAGACGCATATGGAGAGACACATAGACACGATAGAGACACGCAGAGAGCCTCCCCCGTCTGCCGCTGTGATGGCTTTGCACCCCGCAAGGGGGAACAGCCGATTGTAATTGGCCTTCCAACCCCATGGGCAAGACTGTCGGGGCAAGCGCTGTTAGCGAGTAGCAGCATCTCGTGAAGGCCGGCACGGCACACGAGGGGGTGGGTGGCCAACACCACGCCCGGCCGCCTTTGTCTCCCTAGTGGCGATGTTTACACACCGCACCAGGTACTATTTTAGGCGGAGTCGACCTAGGGGAGGCCCATGAGCGGTTCAGATAATCGTCACTGGTGTTGGCCGTGATCAGGAATCGAACTCGGGTTGCCGGGTTCATAGTGCAGTGCGCTAACCGCTACACCGCCACTCCCCACACGCACAGACACACATACACACACGTACACATGCACACACGTACACATGCACACACGTACACACGCACACACGTACACACGCACACACGTACACACACACACGTACACATACACACACGTACACACACACACACGTACACACACACACGTACACATACACACGTACGCACGCACACATGCACACACGTACACACACGTACACACACACACGTACACACACGTACACACACACACGTACACACACACGTACACACACACACACGTACACACAGACTCTAACCCTGGACTCTGCCTCCACCCCCATCTCCCCCACAGCTCCGGGCTACGACAGGAAAGCCTGGCTGGAGCAAAAACACAAACTAGGCCTGGACTTCCCCAACGTAAGTTGTGTCAACATCAACATCGACAAAATCAACATCGTCAACATCGACATCGTCAACATCACAACCAGTATCAACATCAACATAGTCAACATCATAACCAGTGTCAACATCACAACCAGTGTCAACATCAACATCATCGACATCACAACCAGTGTCACCATCAACATCAACATCGTCAACATCACAGCCAGTGTCACTATCAACATCATCAACACCACAACCAGTGTCACCATCACTACCAGTGTCATCATCGCCATCATCTTCACCACCATCATCACTACCAATATCAGTGTCTATCTGGCAACAAAACTGACACCTTTTTTTACAAGGAGTCATGTTTGCATAGACCACAATACCTGCAGCCATAATGCAAACAAAAAACACAACTCTGATAATATATGCACTGTCCTTGAAGTTGATTGGTCCACACCCGAGACAGCTTTCCTTAGAGCCTAGTCTCACATGGGTTGGACCAGATGACGCCTTTTGGCCTAGTCTCACATGGGTTGGACCAGATGACGCCTTTTGGCGTCTGGGCAAAGTCCCATCGGAGAGCTCCGGCAGGCAAGGCTGCATTGGCTGGGTCATGTAGCCCGCATGCCCAGCCACCACATGCCTAAACAGCTTTTGTTCGGCCGGATAGAGGGGGCTAAACGGGCACGGCACGGGCTAGAGAAGAGATGGAGTGATGTGGTACAGGAGGACATGGAGCTGAGTGGACTTGCCGATGACTGGTACCAGCGGTGTCAAGATCGACCTCTGTGGAGGAGGTTCGTGAAGGACGCTACTGGGCAGTTGGAGGCAGTCGCCCTCCAACAACAACGGAGGGCGGAGGAGTGACGCTCACAACAACGAGCGGAGCGCCGAGTGGCTAAAGCACAGCAAGTTGGCACAGTAGGGGGCACAGGTGGTGCATCAGCCAGTCATCTCGGTCATCTCAGGCAGTCGACCCATGGCACCTGGGTCTGCCCCGTGACCTCCTGCCAGCGGGCGTTCGACACTTCACGTGGCCTCGAGGTGCACATGGCCTGGCACAAGCGTCGTGGTGACGTCATCACCACTTAGTAGCGAATGGCGGTTGTTGTTGTGTGTGTGTGTATGTACGTGTGTGTGTATGTGTTCCCAGCTGCCCTATCTGCTGGATGGAGACGTGAAGCTGACTCAGAGCAACGCCATCTTGAGACACATCGCTCGCAAACACGGCCTGGGTACGCAGACTGGTGGAGGTGGTGGCGGAGGAGGTGGTGGTGGAGGAGGAGGTGGTGATGGTGGTGGAGGTGGTGGTAGTGGTGGTGGCGGAGGAGGGAGTTATGGTGGTGGTGGAGGAGGAGGTGGTTGTGGTGGAGGTGGTTGTGTTGGACGTGGAGGTGGTGGTGGAGGACGAGGTGGTGGTAGTGGCGGTGGTGGTGGCGGAGGTGGTGGTGGTAGAGGTGGTAGAGGTGGTAGAGGTGGTAGAGGTGGTGGTGGTGGTGGTGGTGGTGGTGGTGGAGGAGGTGGTGGTTTTGGAGGTGGTGGTGGTGGTGGTGGAGGACGAGGTGGTGGTGGCGGAGGTGGTGGTAGAGGTGGTGGAGGTGGTGGTGGTGGTGGTGGTGGAGGAGGTGGTGATTTTGGAGGTGGTGGTGGTGGTGGTGGAGGTGGTGATGGTCGTGGTGGTGGAGGAGGTGGTGGTGGTGGAGGTGGTGGTGGTGGTGGTGAAGGAGGTGGTGGTGGTGGAGGTGGTGGTGGTGGTGGAGGAGGTGGTGGTGGTGGAGGAGGTGGTGGAGGAGGTGGTGGTGGTGGAGGTGGTGATGGTCGTGGTGGTGGAGGAGGTGGTGGTGGTGGAGGTGGTGGTGGTGGAGGTGGTGGAGGTGGTGGTGGTAGTGGTGGAGGAGGTGGTGGTAGTGGTGGAGGAGGTGGTGGTGGTGGAGGAGGTGGTGGTGGAGGAGGTGGTGGTGGTGGTGGAGGAGGTGGTGGTGGTGGTGGTGGTGCTGGAGGAGGTGGTGGTGGTGGTGGTGGTGGAGGTGGTGGTGGTAGTGGTGGAGGTGGTGGTGGTGGAGGAGGTGGTGGTGGTGGAGGAGGTGGTGGTGGTGCTGGAGGTGGTGGTGGTGGAGGAGGTGGTGGTGGTGGTGGTGGGGGTGGAGGTGGTGGTGGAGGTGGTGATGGTCATGGTGGTGGAGGAGGTGGTGGTGGTGGTGGTGGAGGTGGTGGTAGTGGTGGAGGTGGTGGTGGTGGAGGTGGTGGTGGTGGTGGTGGAGGAGGTGGTGGTGGTGGAGGAGGAGGTGGTGGTGGTGCTGGAGGTGGTGGTGGTAGTGGTGGAGGTGGTGGTGGTGGTTGTGGAGGAGGTGGTGGTGGTGGCAGTGGCGGAGGTCGTGGTGGTGGTGGTGGTGGTGACAATGTGCTGCTGATGATGATGTTGCTGCTGCTGCTGATGATGTTACTGCTGCTGCTGATGATGATGTTGCTGCTGCTGATGATGATGTTGCTGCTGCTGATGATGATGTTGCTGCTGCTGCTGCTGCTGCTGATGATGTTACTGCTGCTGCTGCTGATGATGATGTTGCTGCTGATGATGATGATGTTACTGCTGCTGCTGATGTTACTGCTGCTGATGATGATGTTGCTGCTGATGATGTTGCAGTTGGACAGACGGAGAAGCAGCAAGCCATGGTGGACATGCTGGAGAACGAGGCGATGGACATCCGCATGCGCTTAGTCTACTTGTGCTACGGACCCGACTTTGTGAGTCCCTGCCACCATCACCACCATCATCATCATCACTGTCCCCCACCCCGTGTCCCCTGTGTGTCTCTACCCCCCATCTCCCCTCTGTGTCTCTACCCCCAGTGGCCCTGTGATGATGATGCATCATCATCATCATCACTGTCCCCCACCCCGTGTCCCCTGTGTGTCTCTACCCCCCATCTCCCCTCTGTGTCTCTACCCCCAGTGGCCCTGTGATGATGATGCATCATCATCATCATCATCACTGTCTCCCACCCCGTGTCCCCTGTGTGTCTCTACCCCCCATCTCCCCTCTGTGTCTCTACCCCCAGTGGCCCTGTGATGATGATGCATCATCATCATCGTCGTCGTCGTCGCTTCCATCACCATTACTCCCAAACATCGTTGCGTGCGTGCGTGTCTCTGGCACTGCTATTCAGTGGCCTAAAATAAAATGTTTCGCTCCGGATGATCGCTACAAAGTATGACCTGTGTTTAGATTTAGTGTGCGGATCTTAAAGGTGCATTGAGAAATTATAATACTTCGATTGATGCTCCTACTGTTGCGGAGTGACTCATGCAGCACAGCTATTGCTGCAGGGTTTTGGTGGTACATGTTGTTTATGCCATTTATTGTGAAAATTCCGTCACAGTTCCTATGATCACTGTTTCATTGCTTTAATGGCTTTATTTTGGTGATTTCGAAAAGTGTATTGGTTTAGCCATGTTTGTTTGTTGTAGTACAGAGTTAGACTGATGGCCTTAATCTAAGTTGTCTTGTGGTTGTTGTTGTTGTTGTTTGACTTGCATCCCACTGGGATGTTTGCACACAGCGTTGGTGTACACGGTGTTTTTTCTGCAATATTTTGCTGTCTTTTCTTGGATTTTCTGTTTGCACTCAGTCACATATTCACTTTAAGATGTTTTCTTGTTCATGTTTTGGTTTTTTGTTTGTTGCGGTTGCACCCGATTCAAGAGCCGAATGGCTCACAGGGCTATGTACCTAATCAATGAACTTGTAGAGGGGAGCGGTGGAGCCGCGGTTAGAGCGGTGCGCTGCGCTACGAGCCCCATGGTTGCCCGAGTCTGAATCCCGCTCACGGCCAATGGCAGGTGGCGGAGAGCGTCCGATTACACGTCCGGGCCTGCCCTAGGTCGACTCGGCCTTAAATCAGTACCTGGCGCGTTGTGCCGTAAAACATCGCCAATTGGGGAGACAAAGGCGGCCGGGCGTGGTACCAGCCCCCCCCCTCCCCCCCCGCCGATTGTGTAGGTGCCGTGCCGGACTTTGTAGGCGCTGCTGCTCCTCACCTACAGCACTTTGCCCCGGCCTTCTGTGTGGGCTACCCGGGGGACCTTTAGCTGTGTCTGCGTCTCCGTGCCCCCAGGCCAAGAACCGGCCCGGCTTCCTGGAGTCGGTGCCGCCCAAGATGCAAGCCCTGAGCACCTTCCTGGGAGACAAGGAGTGGTTCACCGGGGACAAGGTGACGCTGCAGCAGCACCACCAGCACCACCACTAGCACCACCACCAGCAGCACCACCAGCAGCACCACCACCAGCAGCACCACCAGCAGCACCACCACCAGCAGCACCACCAGCAGCAGCACCACCAGCAGCACCAGCAGCACCACCAGCAGCACCACCACCAGCAGCAGAAAGATCTCCATCATCGGCATCATCAGCAGCATCATTGCAGTGGCACTTCAGCGTGTTAATGTGACGCCGCGTGTTGATGTGACGCAGCGTGTTGATGTGCCGCAGCTCACCTACGTGGACCTGGTGCTGTACGACGTGCTGGATCAACACCGGCTGTTCGACGCGAGCCTCCTGCTGCCTCACCCCAACCTGGGCCAATTCCTCCAGCGCGTCGAGGTGACGACACGCGGGGGGGGAGGGGGGGCGGGGAGACACGGGGACATGGGGGGTTGGCTACATACATAAGTTCAACACATACATGTACATCCATCGTCACTGGGGAGACAAAGGTGGCCGGGCAAAGTCCCTGTCTGAAGGCCACCCGTGTGATCTCTGTCTTCTCTTGATAGATTTGCGCGATCTCTAAGTGACCTTTGTCTTTGCCTCTAGGCCCTGGACAAGATCGCCGCCTTCATGAAGTCGAGCCGCTTCATCAAATCGCCCATCAACAACCGCATGGCATCATGGGGGAACAAAAAGGAATGAGCCAATCAGGAGGCCCCGCGCAAGGATCTCTCCGCCGCCGTAGCCAATCACAAGTCGGCAGAGCTTAATGGCCATCATGAGACCTCCTTTGCCAGTAGAAAAATCTAATAATCGTTTTTTTACCCTTTTTTAATTGCCCATATGGTCCGAAATTAACAAATAGATTGTAGCCATCGATACGATACAGAGCCCTCATCTCTCGAGGGCAGCCCTAGCTAGGCTCATCGTTATGTTCTGCGTGCGTGACCCTTCACAAGAAGCGGTCACGGTGACGGACGCACAAACACGGTGTCCTGTTGTGTAGTTCAACCCCGAGTGGGTTGGTGGTCACTGCCGTAGCGAGGCAGTGATGATGCCGCTGGTGTTGGTGGTGGTGTTGGTGGTGTTGGTGGTGTTGGTGGTGTTGTTGGTGGTGTTGGTGGTGGTGTTGGTGTTGGTGGTGTTGTTGTTGGTGGTGTTGGTGTCCGTAGCAGATAACTGGGCCTGGAGCGGTGGTGTAGCGGTTATCGCGTTCCGCTACGAACCCGGTGACCCGAGTTCGATTCCCGCTCACGGCCAACACCAGCGACGATTATCTGAACCGGTCCTGGGCCTCCCCTAGGTCGATTCAGCCTCAATTGAGTACCTGGCGCGGTGTGTAAAAACATTGCAACTTGGGAGACAAGCGGCCGGCCTTCATAGGCGCTCGCTAACACAAACCCTTCAACCCCTTATCAGTGCCCCACTCATTACAGACCAACTCAGACCTTATTAGCACCCCGTGCCCCTTAGAATCTCAACGTCAATCCTACAAAGTCCCATCACAAGGGAGAAACACAAATAGACAACAAATAAAACACATTCCTACGGAGGGAGCTGGTAGGAACGTTGGTGGGTTGCTCGGTCAATGGGCAGGGTCAACGGCGGCGTGGGGTATTCCGCAAATATTGCCGACTGTGAGGGCGGGCACAAGCCGGCGTGAGTAGGTTATACGTTGAGTTTTATAAGGGCACCACGGGGTGACCAGCCCCTCCCCACCCAGCCCCACCCCTCCCACCCCCACCCAGCCCCTCTCCACCCAGCCCCACCCCTCCCATTTTTGGATGCACGACAGACGGACACAATAATCCCCTGTGGGCTGGTGGAACCAGGTGGTTCCTAGCAGTAAAAATTGCCTGTATTGAAACGGCTGTAATGCCATATGGACCTGCAAAGTGAATTTCCCTGTACAGGAAATACGGGGAAACGGTACGAGTTGACGGGTATGATAACAGCACTTGCCCCAACAGTCTGCCGAGGCTTTGCTGGGGAATCTTTGTCTTTGTGGCAGACAACTGGCTTAATAAAGACGACGTGGCGGCAGGAGCGAGTGTGCTCGTGTCCGTGTGGTGGTCATCGTCCTGCGTGGCCGGATAGCGGGAGACGGCACGGGCTAGAGAAGAGATGGAGTGATGTGGTACGGGAGGACGTGGAGCTGAGTGGACTTGCCGATGACTGGTACCAGCGGTGTCAAGATCGGCCTCAGTGGAGGAGGCTCGTGAAGGACGCTACTGGGCAGTTGGAGGAAGTCGCCCTCCAACAACAACGGAGGGCGGAGGAGCGACGCTCACAACAACGAGCGGAGCGCCGGGTGGCTAAAACAGCGAGTTGGCACAGTAGGGGGCACGTGGTGTGCATCTGCCAGTCATCTAAGTCAACTCATGTCACCACCTGGGTCTGTCCCGTGACCTGCACCTAGCCTGGCACAGCGGTCCATCTGCCAGTCATCTCAGTCAACCCATGGCACCTGCTGGGTCTGTCCCGTGACCTCCTGCACCTAGCCTGGCACAGTGGTGCATCTGCCAGTCATCTCAGTCAACCCACAGCACCTGCTGGGTCTGTCCCGTGACCTCCTGTCAGCGAACCTTCGGCAAGCTTCACGCGATAGCCTCAAAGTGCACCTAGCCTGGCACAGGCGCTCGCGGTGACGCCGCTGAGTGGCGAATGACGGCTGCGTTGTTGGTCGGGGAGAGGGAGGGTGAGGGGGGAGGGGCTACAAACAAGGGGGGGGGGCACGCGCTGCCCCACGCGGTGACGTCAACGTTCCAGAACGTGCCACGGACGTCTGGGCGGGGGAGTCACGGGGGGGGGGGGGGGTGACGGCAGGAGGGCGGTTGGTGACGTCACGCAGCCCCGTGGCCAATAGGAACGTGACGCTTCACAGGTTCGCCTCGATTCTTAAGAGTCGATCCTGAACCGATTACTTCGATTCATTGATTTTTTCTTTCTCTCTCTTCACCGATTCAGCGGTCACTACGAGAGATTCGATTCTGGAATCGAAATGAGAACACCTGCAGCCTTTGTGTGGATGGTGATGGAATCATAGAGATCCATAGAGACCCACAGAGATCCATGGAGATGCATAGACACCCATAGAGATGCAGAGACCCATAGAAACCCATAGAGATCCATAGAGACCCATAGAGATCCAAGGACATCCATAGAGACCCATAGAGATCCATAGAGCCATGGAGACCCACAGAGATGCATAGAGACCCATGGAGATCCATGGAGATGCATAGAGACCCATAGAGATCCATAGAGACCCATGGAGACCTATAGAGACCCATGGAGATCCATGGAGATGCATAGAGACCCATGGGGATCGATGGAGATGCATAGAGACTCATGGGGATCGATGGAGATGCATAGCGATCCATAGAGATCGATGGAGATGCATAGCGATCCATAGAGATCCATAGAGACCCATGGAGATCCATGGAGACCCATAGAAACCCATAGAGATCCATGGAGACCCATAGAGACCCATGGAGATCCATGGAGATGCATAGAGACCCATAGAGACCCATGGAGATCCATGGAGATCCATAGAGATCCATAGAGACCCATAGAGACCCACAGAGATCCATAGAGACCCATAGAGATACATAGAGACCCATAGAGATCCAGAGACCCATAGAGATCCAGAAACCCATAGAGATCCACAGAAACCCATAGAGACCCATAGAGATCCATAGAGACACATAGAGACCCATGGAGACCCATAGAGATGCATTGAGACCCATGGAGATGACACTGCGAGAGAGAGAGAGAGAAGCCACGTGGAGTAGAGAACACACGCAGGGCTAGAGGAGACATCACCACCACATTGATGTTCATCCAGCAGTGGATAGAGGATGATGATGACACTGAGAGACAGAGAGAAAGAGAAGCCACGTGAACTAGAGAATACACGCAGGGCTAGAGGAGACACCACCACCACCACATTGATGTTCATCCAGCAGTGGGTAGAGGATGGTGATGACACTGAGAGACAGAGAGAGAGAGGCCACGTGAACTAGAGAACACACGCAGGGCTAGAGGAGACATCACCACCACCACATTGATGTTCATCCAGCAGTGGGTAGAGGATGGTGATGACACTGAGAGACAGAGAGAGAAGCCACGTGGACTAGAGAACACACGCAGGGCTAGAGGAGACACCATCACCACCACATTGATGTTCATCCAGCAGTGGGTAGAGGATGGTGATGACACTGCGAGAGAGAGAGAGAAGCCACGTGGACTAGAGAACAACACGCAGGGCTAGAGGAGACATCACCACCACCACCACATCGACCTTCATCCAGCAGTGCAGAGACCATGCTCACGAGAATAGTCGTCACAGTCCCCATGATCGCTGTTTTATTGCTTTCATGGCTTTATTTTGGTGATTTCGAAATGTGTATTGGTTTAGCCATGTTTGTTTGTTGTAGTACAGAGTTAGACTGATGACCTTAATCTAAGTTGTCTTGGGGTTGTTGTTGTTGTTTGACTTGCATCCCACTGGGATTTTTGCACACAACGTTGGTGTACGGTGATTTTTTCTGCAATATTTTGCTGTCTTTTCTTGGATTTTCTGTTTGCACTCAGTCACATATTCACTTTAAGATGTGTTCATGTTTTTGTTTGTTACGGTTGCATCCGATTCAAGAGCCGAATGGCTCACAGGGCTACACCTAACACATGTGTAGCGTTGTAAAGGACGGACTAATAAACTTCTTTATGGCACACACTGTTTATTATCTTAATACACAGTCCCTATCACACAAAGGGGGTATATGGTCCCCTTACCAGTTACCCTGAGGAGACACAGCCTCCGGACCTTGCAGACTATCTAATCTCCCTGCTCTCCCAGCGTCCTCTGGCTGGACCTAGGGGATCTCTCCCCGACCACTGGTTACTCTGAGCCCGAGCCCTGACGAGGGCTGGAGGGCTTGGTCCAGGGTCCTAGATGTCTTCGGCCGACTTGGGTCTTCGTGTAGCAGAACTGGCCAAGAGCTCTCAGCGCTCCGGCTTTTATACCTGTTCGTGGCCGGGTTGTCCAATCCCCGGCCACCTCGTGGGACCCTCCGATTGGTCCTTCCCAATCTGGCGTTTGGATCCTACCTCACTCCCTTTGACCCTGACCGTTTGATTGAACCGAACCGCTCTCTCACATCCTTAGGTTTTTTCGGTAAAGCCACGTAGGTAAAAACATTAAAAAGTAAAATAAAATAAAAATCACGAAGTTTCGGAGGCAACACAAGCTTCCGTCTTCAGGTGGTACCGTCACAGCCACAACGGCTGTATCAAGTAAATGAGAGATTTCAGGAGTTACCACTGCGTTTATATAATGGTTGGAGAAGGTGGTGGGGCATGGGCCGCATCTTTATTATTAATATGGTAAGGTGAGGCTTGAGACTAAGAATAGACTGCATCACAAAGGCTGAGCCTTATGGAGAGGTGCGGTTTGTGACTCAACCTGTAACCGCTCTCTCACATTTCGATTTAAAGCTTTCGTGACTGCAGGGATTCATCTTCTTGGTTCTTTCGGTAAAGTCACGTAGAAGGGAAGTAATAAAATAATAAAAATAAAACATAATAAAATAAAACATAATAAAAATAAAACATATTATTTTATTATGTTTTATTTTTATTATTTTATTACTTCCCTTCTACGTGACTTTACCGAAAGAACCAAGAAGACGCTCTCTCACAGTTTGCGAACAGCGAGTAGTTAACGCCACGACACGTGAACTTGAACTTGAATAGCGATTTCAAATGGGGGAGGGGCGAGGGAGGGGAATCGATCCGAGGCGAGTGGAGTAACGATTCGGGAGTCGATCGCCTTTAAAAAGCAGCACGAATCGATTCCCGGCGTTCAGTGAGGAGTGAGAGAGCGAGAAGATGCCGCTCCTGTTGGGCTACTGGGACATCCGCGGGGTGAGAGACGGCGAGAGAGAGAGAGGGGGGGGGGGGCGGTCAGCTCCTCGGCCATAGCACCGTGGAGTTGTCACACACCCCCCCCCAGCCGCGAGGCGTCGTGGTAACGGCGCTCGGTTGATGTGACCCATTGCACTGCGCCGCGAGGGCTGTGAGATGTTAACTACCTCGCCTGGTGTGCAGGAGGTCGTGGGTTTGATCCCGACCCTGATGCATGATATGCATGCTGTTGCTGTATATTTGGAGTTTGTGTCTCTCTCTCTCATCACCATCGCGGTGGCTATGATATGTTAACTACCTCGCCTGGTGTGCAGGAGGACATGGGTTCAATACCGACCCTGACGATGCCTGCTGCTGCTGTATATTTGGAGTTTGCGTCTTTCTCATCATCATCACGGTGGCTAGGAGATGTTGACTACCTCGCCTGGTGTGCAGGAGGTCGTGGGTTTGATCCCGACCTTGATGCATGATATGCATGTTGTTGCTGTATATTTGGAGTCTGCGTGTTTCGCTCATCATCATCACGGTGGCTGTGAGATGTTGACTACCTCGCCTGGTGTGCAGGAGGTCGTGGGTTCGATCCCGACCCTGACGATGTATCGCTCGCGTACAGAAACTGTTGTCATGTGTACACATTGAACAACAACAACTCTTTGTGGTGGTGTGTACACATTGTACACACCGCAACAACTTTGTGGTGTGTACACATTGTACAACAACAACTTTGTGTGGTGGTGTGTACACATTCTACAACAGCTTTGTCGTGGAGAAGGCCCATCGCCCGAACCGTCGCCCGTCATGTGTATATTATATAAGACCCCCCCCCCCCCGGTGTTGTCATTGAGTACCGTGTTGGGTTGTTGCGTGAGGCGTCTGTCACAGGAGCCGTCACGCTGTGTAACGTGAACAACATCCTTTGTCTAGTGAAGAATGGACTGCTCCCGCCCAAACTAAAAGTACATTCCTCTTCTTGGTTCTTTCCGTAAAGTCACGTAGAAGGGAAATGATAAAATAATAAAAATAAAACAATAAAATAATTCTCACGACGTTTCGGC